ATATTCGGAAGGCTTTCCAAATGGTGGGAGTGGCTGATGAAGACCAGAAGTTTCAAAAGTTTCTTTGGTGGGAGGACAAGAATATGAAGACCATGAAAACTTATTTACATAAGAGGGTAGTTTTCGGGTTAAATTGCAGTCCGTTCATTTTGGCTGCTGTTTTGGATCATCATCTCGAATTAAAATCAAAAGGGGAGAAGATGATTTGTGATTTATTGAAGAAGTCGCTCTACGTGGACAATTGCGTCATGTCGGTGAACTCGTCAGAGGAATACTTCATGTTCAAGAACAAATCGACAGCAATTCTGGCGGATGCAAAAATGGATTTACGACAATGCGAGTCCAATGTGGAAGTCGTCTCTGAAAGTATGAGAACAAAAGTACTCGGACTCAACTGGGACAAAGAAGAGGACACATTATATTGCCAGTTGCCAACAGAATTATCAGTCGAAGTGGTGACAAAGAGAAGTGTTCTTTCTTTGATTTCCCAGATATTTGACCCCATCGGTTTCACCTGTCCAGCAGTGCTCCAGCCCAAGTTAATGTTACAGGATTCATGGGTGGAGGAATTGGGATGGGATGAAAAGTGGGATTCACCAAGTTCCGAAAAATATCAAAAATGGATTTCGGAAGTTAAGGAACTTGGCAAAATTCACATCCCCAGGCTAGCATTTGGAGGAGGACTGGGGGGAAGTTTTCAGATCCATTGTTTTTGTGACGCCAGTAAAAGCGTCTACGCCGCGGTAGTCTTTGCGAGAGTGGAGATCAAAGGAAGAGTATCAGTCCATCTCGTCGTGGCGAAATCAAGATTGGCACCATTGGATAAGAAGAAATCGAGAAAGGTGACCATTCCGAGGCTAGAGTTACTTGGCTGTCTGATTGGATCTCGTCTTACCAAGACCGTTATGGATTCTCTGACCCTGGAAGTGAACCAGATCTTTCTGTGGAGTGACTCGACCACGGCGCTGGCGTGGATTCGTAGAGCAGAAGATTGGGGCACGTTCGTAGGAAACAGATCAAGAGAAATCAATTGTCTCACAAAATCGAATCAGTGGAGACATGTGCCAGGCCACATCAACCCAGCAGATCTCCCATCCAGAGGGTGTTCGCCAGCAGAACTATTAAATTCAAGATGGTGGGAGGGACCGAGGTGGTTGTATGAGAGTTGCGAGGCCTGGCCAAATTGTGAAGATGAGGAGGTGGACGAACCGGAAGTTGCGGAAGAAAAGAGGAAGACAGAAATCGTCATGACCGCAGCAGTAGTCCACCAAGAACCTCGATTTTCAAATTATATGAAAAATGTGCGTGTTGCTGCTTGGATGAGAAGATTTATTGACAACACGATCAAGAAAAAAGAACATCGACTCATCAGTTCGTGTTTGAGTTTCAAGGAGATTAAGGCAGGAGAAAGGGATCTTATTTACGCCATCCAACAAAGTCATTATGGTGCCCATCCTGAAGTTAAGAATTTACATGTTGAGCTGAAGGAGGACCGACTTTGGCACGTCAGAACAAGGCTGACCTACCGAGATGACACCGAGCTATTCAGAAGTCCCATCCTGATTCCAAAAGAAGATCCGATTACGAAACAACTGATTGAGTATGTTCATCATGCCCACTGTCACGCCGGTGCTCAATTTGTTTTAGGCAAATTACGAGAGAAGTACTGGATTGTACAAGGTCGAAGGGCAGTGAGCTCATTGATCCACAAGTGTGTCACGTGTCGGCGTCACTCTATGAAAGCGATGCCGTGTGAACCAGCTCCGTTACCAGTGAGTAGAATCGAGACAAGCTACGCGTTCCAGACGACGGGGGTCGATTTGGCAGGACCTATAATTCTGAAAGGAGGAAAGAAGGCCTGGATCGTCCTCTACACTTGTGCGGTGTACCGGGGCGTCTATCTGGACGTGATAGAGTCACTCAGTTCGGATGAGTTTCTCGATTCTTTGGAGAAATTTGCTTGTGTGATGGGTTGTCCCAATCTAATCATCAGCGACAATGGGACGAACTTTGTCGGAGCTAATAACTTGATGAAGAAGTTGGATTGGACTCGTTTAGAGAAGAATCTGAATTTGAAGAGGATTAGGTGGACATTCAATCCAGCCACTGCAGCGTGGTGGGGTGGATGGTGGGAGCGTCTTGTGAGGACCGTCAAGGATTTATTGAGGAAGATGATCGGATCGGCCAAGCTCACCATGAAAGAATTGGAGAAATGCCTTACGTCAGTTTCCTACACAATTAATAACCGGCCGTTGACGACTCTTACGGAAGACTGTGAGGATTTAATTCCGCTCACACCTGCTATGTTCATGAAGGATCTACCTATTTCCGGCTTACCAGAAAGAGACGAGATTACAAGTAAGGATCTCATTCATGCTTACCACAAGATTGTCAACTTAAAGAAGACATTGAGGGACCGGTTTCGAAAGGAGTATCTTGGCCAGCTTGTGCAAATGAAGAATAACAAGAATTCTCCCAAACCGGAAGTTGGCGACGTCGTTCTTGTGGGATACGACAATAAGAAGCGGTTCGAGTGGCCACTCGGGAAGATTTTGGAATTGTGTCCAGGGAAAGATGGAAAAGTTCGAGTAGTGAAGGTGAAGACGGCTACAGGAATTTTGACTCGTCCCCTTCAGCGACTTTATCCCCTGGAAATTCATAGTCTCAAGTCCGTCATCGTTCCGGCAAACGTGATCGAGCTGGCGAAAGCAGCACATTCAAGTCATGATCAATTAGAAGAAAGTGCTGAGACCTGCAACATTAAAACCCGTTCTGGCACAGTGGTCAAGAAGCCATGCAAATACGGGAAGTGGAATTATTAGTTGTTAGGTTGTATATAAATTCTTTTAATTATTTGTATTATTAAAAGAGGTGGGAGAAATGTTGGATTTAGCCATAAATCTCCATATTTAATATGATATTTAGTTTCATGTATGTATTTTGGAAAATGAGTAATTTTACATGGAAAAAGTGAGACTCCGAGCGGGCGTCTCAAATTGGTAAAAAAGGAGCGTTTTTTGTGTGAATGCGCAGTTGAGTTGACGAAGGACAAAGAACTGGTCGTGTCATTCACAGTTTAGAGAGAATTAATATATTTAGTTTGAAATTATTCTCTAATTAATTGCTTTTGTGTAAATAAATTGGTGTGTAAAGAAGAGTAAAGCCAAAGAGTATCTCTTTCTCAGTTTATTTTGCATTCAAGCATAGTTTTTTGACCAACGGGTCTTGTTTTTAAGACCAGACACTTAAGCTCTACGGTTCTCAATCAGAGTTACGCTTGGGACGGGTAGTCGCAAGGACCGAGCTCAAACAGTAATTGTAGTGTAATATAATGCTCTATTTTTTGCTACACAGGTTAAGGTTCGATGCTTCTCCATTCATACGAGTGCATGCAGTGGTTTTGCATGTACTGATTAAATCACCTACATACATACATAAGGTGCCTATTGTTCGGCAGCATTATACCGGTGTAAGACCTCTAATAAGACAATGGATGAGAAAACCAGTTCGTTCCCGACTTGCGACACGTACGCAAAATACACGGCACGACATTTTTCACGGATGGCGCAAAATTAAGTGGACTAATGAATTAATTTCTTCATAAGAACGGGCATGCGTGTGTTTTAAAGGATTGTTCAAGAAATTTTCGAGATGATTTGCAAATCCATGACATTTCGTGCCTTATTGTTCCTTCATGTCTCTTTACGAGTGTAATAAACATCGTTAGTACAATTCTTAATTAAATGGCAAACGGTCATCTAAAGGAAAGTAGTAAATTCAACGTCTCGCTTACCTTACCAATTAACGCTAGCTTGCCAAAAAGCATACTGCGCAATTTACGTAATTAAGCTATTTAAATGGATGCATACATACGTGAATAATGCGATGGTCCGAGTGGGTACGTGAACAAAATGAGCATTACTACATGAGATAATGCAGAGGTGGTTTAAAATTTGGAGAGCATCATTAAATTGTTGAGTCTATTAGAAGATCGCTTTTTCTCTAATCTGTAAAATGTTTGGATGAGTAATTAATACGCAAATTTTGACAATTTGCGAAATGCTAGCGAGGTTGTCTTGAACATTTTTATGTTATTTATTCAATGTCAATGTCGAGTGGTACGTAGTAATTGAAGTGTGTGTATGTATTCAGGAGGTGAAATGGTGCATGTCTTGAGTGGATTGTTTCGAGAAGTAAACAATATTTTTGTACAAACAAATATATTGCACAATTTGTTGGAGAAAAAAACATAATATTTTATGTAATATAATTGAAGTAGTTTATGATGACGTTGATATCAAGATGACAATGCAGTATTTTTTTATATTGTTAACCAGGAAATTGTACAGGCACTCTTCACATATAAGTTAAAAACAACACAGTTAATATTATCCGGACCACGTAAGAGCAGGACGGAGAGCAGACAAATGTGCAGTAGAAACCGCTAACTGCCCGTAAGAAATACATGGGAAGCCGATGGCGGTGGTGCACCACTGGCCTCCCAGGTATTTCTTACGGGCGGTAAGCGGTTTCTACTGCACATTTGTCTGCTCTCCGTCCTGCTCTTACGTGGTCCGGCTAATAACAAAATCAAAATATTTCATTAATGACGTTACAGTACTTCAATTAATATATTCGTAACTGCATATATTCAGAATTATGGGACTGATTATATCAATCACTAATTTATCAATAATAAATAAATATCTGGAAAAAAGCCACTGTCCCAGATATTACTTCGAAAATTCGTATTTAATGTTGATTTTCCAAATTCGTTGACCCGAAATTTCTTACAGAAATCATAATATAATGGTACCTAAAATACGTCATTAGATAAATCACAATAATATTATAACCTACACTAACCTAACCCCAAGACCTGGATTATATGGGGAATCTGACAAATGAATAGTTGTGGAGACAGATTTGGGTTATTTCTCTGTACGTTAACAATGGGAAATAGAAGTAGATTGACAATTAGTGTAATTACTTACAATGCTTAATAATTGTTCGAAATGTGGTTTATCAAATTCAAATCACGTCTAAAATTGAGGTATATAAAAGCTCTAAGGATTCGAATAGCAAGTAAATTCTCTGCAAAGTCCAAGTTTTCCAAGTTTTTAAATAGCTGCTCTATCATGTGGCGTAAGGTGGCGTATTTTTTGTCTGTTATCGGGGTTTGTGTGTTTGCTCAGGAAATTTCCACTGATGTAAACCTTATCAAATTCGTGTACTACGACGCATCTGCACCCAGCACTGGGGTAGAAATCGTCTTCAATGACGTACAATCATTGACAGCATCAGGGCTCAAGGCTGGCGTCCCCACCACACTGGTCATTGATGGCTTCCTTTCCAATGGAGAGACTCCTATGCCAAAAACTACTAAAAATGGTCCGTTTAGCAAAATTGTATTTTGCAAGGCATATTTTTTTGAAATTATTGGTTTGGTCCACAGCATTGATTCAAAATCGTCCCCAAGAAAATGTGATTATCGTAGATTGGGGAGCCCTGTCGGGTTCCGGGACTCCAATTCCGAATCAAGAAGCTCTTTTGCAGACTTATGTAAAAGTTCTGCCAAACATTGGTCCCGTTGGGAGACGAGTTGCACAGTTTCTCCATTTTCTGAAAGTAAACAAAGCAATTTCTTCCAGCCAGGTGCATATCGTTGGGCATAGTCTTGGGTCACACATTTCCGGAGCTGCTGGATCATGGGCGCAGCGTGACTTTAATGACACGATTGCCAGAATAACTGGTTTGGATCCGGCAGGTATGATAAAAAGTCAAAGTTTAGTAGACTTTGGAACTAATTGTAAAAATCCACGTAAGGTCCATTCTTTTCTGGTGGAAACGATAATGACAAACGACTCCACAAAGAAGATGCCACATTCGTAGATATTTATCACACGAATAGAAACATGCTTGGCGACAAGGATCACAAAACTGGCGATGTGAATGTTTATGTGAACGGGGGTGATAATCAGCCTGGTTGTGAGGAAAAGGAAGATAAAGGTATACACAATTATAAATCAGTGGTTAAAAAGGTCATGCGCATTAGTCAATGCACATACATATTACATGAATATGATACCTCCCAGCCGTGTGCAGTCACTCTTACTCGTGGCGATTGTATGACCTCGCATACACAAGGGAAATAGAAGCTTGTCCTTGTACTGGTTTTGCATGTCAGTGCAAATCCAATTGTCAGACGACTTGCAGTAACCCGATTCGAATTGGGGACCAAATGCCCACCAGGTACATGAAACAATTAACGTTTTGACTTTGAATACCAATACTGAGGATAAGTTATGTATGCGCATATTATTACTTTCTAGTGCACGGGGTGCTTACCATCTTTTGGTATCGGACACTTTTGAAAAGTGATCAAACATTTTATAAAAGCAAAAAAAAACACAAAAGATAAATTCAAATAAAGACAAGTTGTCAAATTGGTAATTTATTCGTTCCACTAGGAAATATCATTTTAGACATTTATTTCTCATTGTATGCATATAACCCGAGTTTTACACAATATTGTTTAAGATTACGCTTATTTTTTCGTAAGGAAATGAGACCGAAATATTTTCCGTCATTTCCTGCAAATCGCAAGTGTTCAAAATAAATGAATCTCCCCTTTCACCTTTTGACAGACAACACTCGTGACTCGAGATAGAAAACTGTTCTTCTTCACGAATATAATGAGCAATGTACTTGCTAATTTTAAATTTATGGTTCTCTTGCGTGTAACTTCTAGTTAAAAGTGGAACTGATCACTTTTAGTTGGTAATTTAAATTTTGGTTTCCTTCCACAATATTCGCTCCATATATTCACCAACCACAAAGGGATGCAAAACATGTTGACCACAACAACAGCGTCTGAGGATGAGTGACGTATTTTATGACATTGTTTTCAAATTATCTTTTTTCTTTGCCAACCTGAGAGGCTTATCTTCATATTGTTGGTCTGCATCGCAAATCTTGTACGTGCAAATCTCATCTCGTTTTGCATCTCATTTCTATTGAAATCCTCAAAAGGTTTCATTTGCGACTTGCCACACATCTGAATTTCAGTTCTACTTATTAGTTTCAGGCTTTGACTTGAGTTCAATAATGCCAGATTACAACAACTGCATGTGTATGCGGGATGTGGTAAGCACGTATTGATAGGGAGCAAACTTGTTCGAATTTCTCATTAATAAATTATATCATTAGCTAGCATCATACTTACATATATGGCTCGGTTTGGTGGTGTTAGTGCCAAAGTTAATTTTCCGTCCGGTTATAAATACCTGTGCCTCTGCTGAGGAAAGAAATCATTACATTTCAAACTCTCATGCTGTACTTTAAACTCTCATTTGGTAGCCGACTTGGAGAATCTCAAGGTGTGAATCATTTAATCCACGGTGTTAACACATTTATACGAATTAGTCCCGTGTGGGATACATAATTGGTGTATCCTCTTCTGTGAAATACTAAATATTATGTATCTTTATAAACTGCGAGTTACATACACATCTTTTGTGCCTGTCGGAAACAGAGGTCAATTAATATAGTACAAAGGTTGAATCTCGTAACAAATCGTACCTGGACAAAAAAAGTACCTTCTCAAAACTTGAGCCATCTTAACAACTGTGTGATGCGTAATAATAACACAAAGTCTGAGGTTCAGGTGCAGTGAATTTTTTACAGCAGCGTGAGGTGTCTGGGATGTGTTAACTGGAAGTGATAATTTAAGAGTCATTTAACTGTCAAAAAAATTGAATTTGCCAGGTGAGTTTGCAACATTTTGCTCGTGGATTTACATACATTCATACAATTCGTATGTACTTGGAACCGACCATGCCCACGGTGATCATGAACTTGCCAAATGCTCAACTTATGTATTTTTTGCATGGTGCGAATGACGCGAGTTTAATGGAGAGTTGAACTAATGACGAACTCTTATTCGTTGTAACATTATGTAATATCTGTAGTAATTCTGATTACTGGTTAAGCTTTTTTCTCACAACGGTCAGGCTGGCCCCTCGTGAGATCGATGTACGTACATCGTATATACATAGTTAGTCACAAGTTCCGACAAGTATTTTCTCGAAGGAGTCTGTGAGGTAAACATGTTTCATTTTGCATGTAAATTTGCACCGTTTTCCTTTGCGAAATTGGTGTGTAATTAAGTTTAACAAGAGTCTACTGGCCACAAACACGCACGCACGAATCAATTTTTCTCCGATTTTTTGGTTAGTTGTTCATTGAAGTTGAAAGAATTAAAATGTGAATTTTAAGACGCTCTAAATTTACATTTGGATTTTACATTTTTTTCAGGATCCCATCATCCAGGAAGCGGTGCAGGTTATTCAAATTGTAAGTGTTACAAAAAAATATGCTTGTTACCGTTGTGCGGTTGTAATTTTGTCAAAAATTTTTGACAATATAAACTAGGCTGGATTTTTACGCAGTAGATTACCCTCATTCAATGCAATTCATGTGATTCATTTCACTGAACTAGCATGCGACACTCGAATTATACATTTGTAGTAAATTTTTGAAAACAACACTTAATTCCATTTTATATATTCTAATTTAACCGAATTCGTACTTTGTGATGCGCGAATTATCATGCAAAATTTTGAAGTTGCACAGATTTGCAAAAATCGCGAAATATATTCAACTTTGTTCTTGAAGAATGACAGGATAAAGGACTTGGCGAACAGATTTTTGATTGTGCAAAATGTTTACCATGATTTTTCTGAGGTTTAATAGATTTTGATCGACGTTCCGTCAGTCGATTTCAATTGTTTGCTCGTCACCTAACATATTTTTACGGAAGGCAATTTTTACCCATATTATAAAATGAGATCAGGTACTACATCACACATTTAAATCTTAACGCAACATTTTTATTGCATTACATTTCATGCAGTTACGCAGAGACGGAGTTTGTTGCCTCCATTTCTTAGATAATTTTCAAGATTTTATTTTTCGACCAATTGAAAACACATTATTGACTCTTTGAACATTTCCGTTGACGTCATTAAATCATTGGTTTTCAGAGGTTTACCTTCATCTTCTCGAGTTAGAGAGTGAGTGCTATTCAAACGATAAACCTTGACCCAACTCTTTTCTGGAACTGTTGATCTAAAAGACTTGCCGTTTTCTTGACCCTTTTTCCCATTGTACAACAAATTACAGGAATACAAAGGGTAAGAAAGAAACCTTTTCGTGGTGACGCACAGATATTGCATTTTGTATGGAACCTTCACCTTATTTACATACATAAATCAATGCTATATGTGCATTTCAATTGTCCTTCTATTCTCCGAATCCCACTATCAGTCTCTGCAGGGCAAGAATGTAGGTCACGTTTACGAGCCTGACCATAGGCATACACATGCATCTAAAACAACCTTGCATTATTGTTTTATTACCTTGAATTAAATAATTAACAATGATTACAAAATTCCTATTTATTTATTCTATCGAAAAAAAACTATTTTAAAATTATTTATCAAATAATTTTTATAACGAATACTTTTCTGGTTTACAGCCGACGACGAAGTTTCAGAAGACCTTCTTATCGTCCTCTTTACCTGTATTCCCCTAATTGCTGCAATTGTTGTGATATTTTTTATTGCGGCTGCAATAAGGTGAGACAAAGATAAATTTTTTGATAAAATTTCAGTCATAATTTTATTTTATTTTTTTTTTCCACAGAAAAATGAGACGTTCCGAAAGTTTGCAAGAAGTGCAGAGAAGAAACGAGTTTAAAATGTCCAGCAAGGCGAACAAGGGGCTACACACATCCTTCTCAAATCCTCTCCAGTCTTTTTCACTCTCAAAAAAGACCAAGTCCAAGAAAAATGCGGATCCTCCTTCGCCCATGTCTCTCCATGAAATTCGCGTAGTCCAAGTGCCCAGCAGAGGTCAGAACCGCGCCAGCCTAGGGACACAGTTATCACTGGAAAGCACATCGTCAACAAGCAGTTCGAATACTCCCAAATCTCTGAACAGCCCGAATTCCCTATATTTTTCGCAAGTTCCTCCCTGGTACTTGTACTCCACGCCGTACTACAGGTCACAATACCACTTGAATAAGCTACACAGACAGTTATCCAATCACGAGGTGGGTGGATCTCTTCAGTCCTTGGGAGGATCGATGCAATCACTAAATCAATACAATAATTATGTAAACCAATCCTTGACCGGAGCAGCAGTTTCATGTGCTCAGCAAGCCAACAGTACAACAACCATGGGGACGATGGCGTCGTCCGAGTCCGAACCAGATATGGATTCTTTCGACAAGAAGAAAAAATCGAGTAAAAAACTCAAGAAAGTTTTCCAAATGATGAACATTCCTAAAAGAATACGGCAGCATCAAGCCGAAAAGAATAGATTTAACATTTACACGATACCAAATGAAACGAGAGAACAGTTAAAACAGATTTATGTGTACTAATTTTCAACCATACGGCTTTTAATTCTCTTTGCAGATTAGATTTTAGTCGTCATCTCGTAGCAGGTTAATACTTGATGCATATAACAAGTGCCAATTAATGAATAGGCTGCGAAATGAATGTATTGCAAATATAATATAATATAACAAGAAAGTATAGATTACTTTTTAATAATTACGGAACCAAACCCTGTGTCAATTGTCATTGCAGGAATATTTTAATTAAGTACTTGTGACAATTATCGTCACATTAAAAATGTTACGACTGTTATCTTAAGATGATAATATGTAATGGGGTGCATTCTTATATATTCTTACATATATGCTAAAAATGTGTATCGTACAACAATACAGTTACCAAACCAATACCTTCAAAATATATATGTACGTACGTATTATATTGTATAGCTGTGAAATAAAACCATCCCCGCACAAACTACATTCTGCCACAAATACATGGATGTTTTACTTTACTTCATATTTGGATTAACATGTCACAACAATTAATACATAGCAGAGGAGGTGTTAAAATTATGTATATCATTGTTTCGCAAGTATTAATTGTTGTGCAAGTTTTTCACAGGAATTTTAAACAAAAACTTTCATTTTTCTTTGGGTGGTGATAATGCTTTAAATCTATATAGAGAGTGGCTTAATTGATAGACGAGCAAGATTTCCTCGTGGACAGGGGCCGTTTCGCAAATCTGTTTCCGGCAGGATTACGGTCACAGGAGAATCCAGCCCCACCGGTGGATCCCAAATCCAGAGATTCGATGGAAATGTTGTGAGCAGCGTGGCGACAACAGCTCGATTGTTGAGGAGAGTGGAGGTGCTGTGGGGTGTGGCAGGATGACTTGCTTTGTACAGGAATTTCTAGTCCCAACTGGCTCACCACGGTTTGTAAATTCTCTCGACTTGTCTAAATTGGATAAAACTTGGGATAATAATGATTTTTAATTTTTAATCTACTATTTTTTGAACTTACATTGCCCAAAGTCGCATCCAAATCTCTCGCAGAAAGTCTCGCGTCTCCATTGCTGATGGGGTTGGTGTGGATCGCTTCATGCTCCAGAATGTTAGGCAAGGGTTCATTGAAATCAATCATTGGAGGTCCTGCAACAATAATTAATTATGAAATTAAAGTAATCAGATCCACGTTAAATTACTTACCAGCGATGAGACTGTCGTTCGAAGAAGTTGACTCTTCGGACTCGCTTGAAGCCACTCTTCTCAAACCATTAGCACGTCGTCCCCTACGGTCTCGATAGACGAGAAAGGAAGCGTCTTCACTCATTTCGACCATGTTTTCACTTTCCTCTTCGAGAGAAGTTTTGTGCGACTCTTGCCACCTCAGACACCTCACGCACGCCTTGTCTTGGTCAGTTTCTGGGGGTTCTGGTACTTTAGAATTACTCTTCTTTAATTTGGACCCTTGAGATAATCGCTCATTAGTATTTCCCAACTTGTCATTTGAATTATTAATGACACCTACAAAAGAAGGAAAACTTAAGATATAGTAGAGTAATAATAAAATTTTATGGAATTGTTTCATGGGGGATATATTTTTCCAGAGGTAAAAATTTTGTCGTTAGGTGCATCGTTAAGGGAACTGGTTAACTTTGTTCAAATTTTATGCAGATTTGAACCTGATTTATACGATGTGATAACATGATTACTTTATATATTTCTGACTAAAATAATAATGTGTAGCATTGTAATTTCATTTCAACCCCTACATTTGTAATTTTGTACATGAAATGTGCAACAGGCATGATTTTATAAGATTTCATGCTCACCATTACTCGTCCAGATATTAGAAATTGATTTGACGACACGTTGACCAATTTGCAGCAAGTATTGCAATTTATTGCTTTTATTCTGTGGACACTGAATTGTTACGTTGTCATAATCGGTACCAGTGGCATCACCACGGCCGCATGGATCACTGCGCATTGGACAATTTTCTCCAGAAATTGAGAAAGTTCTCGCCTGGTTCCTCATTCGTTGAATATTTTCATTTTCATCCATTTGAATCACAGTCTCTGCTTGAGTGTCCCCTTCCGCCCTGCAAACGGACTCCCAATACTCCCAGTTAAAATCGTGGAGCTGACTTGGGTGATAATTTTCCTTAAAATAGCTCTCCGACAGTCTCCATCGGGCAGAATTGATGAAAAAGGGATAGCTTCGCTTCGGCTTTCGTTTAGCTTGATCATTACGGAACTTGAACATGGTCAAAAAGTCGTAAAAGACAACAAATCCTCGTTTAATGACACCTTTTTATTGCACTCTGGAGGATGTGAATTGTGTCACAATTGCATTAAAGTGTAAAAATGGAATTTCCTGTTTCAGTCATTAAGAACCCATAACTACCAGTAAGAATTGTACCGGATTCGTGAAAATACATAAATATAAATGCAGTTTGCATTTTATAGTCCATATTTAAAAGCTTCGTGTAGTTTAGAACTTTATAAAACGAGTAAGAGTTTTGCCCAATGTCATTGATTGATGACAAGAGAGTCATTTTATTTAATTCGCCTTCTTATTATACTGCACGAGAACAGGTTGCATACATGGTAGTAAAAACCCAACTAGTCAAGTAGGAATTTACCTGAGACCAAGAAATGAATGAGTGGTCTGGTGATTGCCTTCTCAGGTATTCGTCTGCGTATGTACTTTTCGGCCGGGTTTATGTATGATGCATTTCTGGCATGAATGAAAGAAATGAAAGACAAAATGGTTGAGATTTGTAAGTATTTCCTTCGCAGCGATGTAACGGATGTCAAAAAGCACTTCTTCAATCCTTGGTTTGTTCATGGCTACAAGTTCCCCATTTTATAATAGAATTTACTCCCTGAGACGTCATTTACTTACATTTACGCAGTAGTCTTTAATAATAGAATAAAAAGTGCATAGAATTTTTACCCCTCAAAAGACGAAGGGTTTCTTTCATTACTTAAAGTTAATGAAATTTCCCTGATTGATTTTCCTCCTCTCTCATAAAAACTTGAGACAAATGATTGTTCGAATTCCTTCGTCTGTATAGAAATCAAAGCGGCGTGGTGTATGTAATACATTTCGTGATTTGTAGTGGCACGACATGAAATGAAACAACTTTACGATACAACATGAGTTCGGAAGAACGGTTGTTGAAGCAGCCGACGGAGATGGAGGATGGAGTTTTATGTATCAACTCTTGAAAGCACACACAAAAGGGTTATGACATGCTGCTTATAAGTATCCGTAAAATTTGGCCTGCCTCTTTTTAAGAGGGTTTATATAGGAATATATAAAGGAAAAAGGAAGAAGGAAAGCATGCTCTTACTTCAGATGTTGGTGGGTTGGTTAGTAGATTTCTTTCGGTGTCGAGGACCCAAAATCCGTCCAAAATCTCTGTGTTCTGAGTCGATTACGTGCCGTCGTCTGATACATACGGACATACATAATATGTCGTGTTAAAAGCCTCCCTGACTGAGAGTGAAGTGCTATGTAACATCATAATTTGTAGGAAAAAAGTAGTCTCACAACCACTCCAGTCACAAAGTCAGTAGTCGAACCGTGCCAGACGTTGGGAGACAAGATCTAAATCTGTATCTACTTGAGGAGAGGATCAAGTTGGAGACAAATTGTTTCTTTGAACCGTTCATCAGCCGAGAAGATTTTAAAGATTTCTCTCGTAAGTAAGTATGCTCACTCAGTTTGCTTTAGTATCGAAATAAGAAATACCTCAAGGTTTGGTTTTCGATTACAAGTTGAAAGTCAGCTAAAATACCGAAGAAGCGTTAGTAATGGTGCAATTACACCCTTCCACACCTTTTCATACCGACTTATGTAACACATTAGGAGCAGCAAGCTGAGCGCATTAATGGCAATGTGCATGGTGGTTATGTAATTAATGCGGAAAACCCGAGCTAAAATCACGACTTGAATCCATAACTAATTGTTCACTTAATATCTAGTAATACTGAAACATGATTATTACATTATCGAACTGGTTCCCTTTTATGGACTACAAATAATAATATACGACTCTCTCTCTACATATGTACTTACATGCATATTTATTTACCATATTATGTATAGCATGGCCTGGTCTGGTCTGGGTGCTTGTTCTGTTAACGAAAACCAAATTTGCAACATTTCTTCTTCTTCTCTTGAATGAATAAACTAAACTGATTCCATGTTTCTTCCCAAGCTGCTGCACCTTTAAATCCGTCACCGCAAAAACTGTATACACATTGCGCATTCTTCTTGGAGATTTTTGAGGATGCCATCAAAATCAACGTTTAAAAAAAATCATGGTCAACATTATGGAATGCTTTTCGGATATTCAAGAATGTGGATGAATGCCCGACCACCGACATCATCAGGCAGCAGAAGGCACAAGAGTATGTAGAGCTGCATACTAAAAACTGAAGGCGTCGGCTCGTAAATTGTGATTGATACCTGCAAATTTGCATAATGGATTTTATCCCGATTTGAACATTCCTATAATGTTTTGCAAAATAAGGGGCATTTATTTTTAAACTGAAGTCTGCACTACGTACGTCGTGCACATAAAAATATGAGATTTTATATACATAACTAGTCTATGATAATTCAACTTTTAGCAAGAAATATACATACGACCGAGGATCTTTATCTAGTCACTTAGTCTCCTTTTCTCTGCACAGTCTCTCTACATCAAATAACAGAGATGGTAAAATGCAACGTGGATAATTGTTGCAATAAGTTTGTGATCATGTGTGTCTGAGAAATTAATCTCATGAAATTGAACCCATAGCCAAGTAAAGTGTCTCAAAAAGTACGACGGGTGCCAAAAAAATATGCAATAGTGTCTCAAGTTCACTCAATCTGCTGATAAACAAGGAATCAATTGTCTTCAAACTATGCAACTAACTGCGGACAAAGAACAGAACAAAACATGGATTGAACTCATGAACCTAAGTACGCGACGCATTATAATGCCTGCAAATAATACAGTACACTACGTCATGTGATAAAATGTGATTCATATACAGAAAAAAATATTCAATTTCTACTACTCAGAGATAAACTTCATTATTCAGAGGTTCTTCTTCTTGTGACAGTTTTTACATGCATATGCAAAATATATCCAAAAACGAATCAAAATGAATCAAAATCACAATAAAATGATGAGAGTTTTATTAAAATTAACTTTATTGCTGCTACTCGCCCTCCAAATCGTTTCCTGCAGCGACGATAAAAGTGATTCCAGTACAAATATCAAAAGTGCAAATGAAGGTGAAAATGGTGACGCAAGTGAAGTGTCTGAATTTAGAGCTTTTGACGAAGCAACTCCTCCCCCTCGACATCATCAGCATAGTCAAAAGAAGCATCAAAGCAGATCACGTCACCAGACTTGTAAGCCGTCCAAAAAATAAAATGAAAAAATATGTATTTATTGTGTAATCCAATTTTATCTTGGTATTCGATTTTAGTGTTGCGCGTCGTGGATCAAGAACAAGAGGCCATTCCTCCCACGCCATGGAATTCCCGAGACCCCGCCGCCGTCGAAGGTGATGACATGGTTGGGGAGGATGTAAGAGGACAGCCAAATAAGGAATTTGATGATGGGACAAGTACAAAAAAGAACACGGATAACCGTCCAAACATTGTATACGCATTAATAAATATGGTTATCTGAGATTTGAGCAGGAAACCTTAACATGAGCTCTCAATTGATACGTAGATCTTAATCATGACGGACGACCAGGATGTGGAACTTGGTTAGATAAATATTTGCAATGCATATGCCAAAAAGAAACAAATATTTAGAATTGCTAACTTCCTACATGTATACACGGGTTTTTGCAGGAAGTATGGAATACATGCCGGAAACGTTGAAAATATTTCGTGATAATGGTGTTGAGTTTCGACATGGATATGTCGCAACGCCAATGTGCTGCCCTAGTCGAAGTTCTATCCTTACGGGATTGTGAGTTGCTAACAAATATTTATTTGCACGATGAGTTGTAATTGTAATGGATTGCCCAATGTATTTACTTGATTTCTCTCCGACAGATACGTTCATAACCACAACACGTTCACCAACAATGATAATTGTTCCAGTATTATGTGGCGAGAAAAGTATGAGAAAAAGACATTCGGTGCTCATCTTTATTCATCGGGGTATTACACGTCGTACGTTGGGAAATATCTCAATAAATATGATGGATCTCATAGTATGAAAGGAAATACTTAATTTACACGCTAAGACGTTGTGCATTTTGCTAACAACCGGCTGCTTTTTCCAGTCCCCTTTGGTTGGAACGAATGGAACGGTCTGCTCATGAACTCGAGATTTTACAACTACACGGTAAACGTTAATGGGAAAAAGTTTCGACACGGAAACGATTATGAAAACGATTATTATCCAGACGTGAGTTTTTATTCTTATTTTTCACGTACTTTATCATCGCACACCTTTCTTTGCTGGATTCATTCACTGCACTTATTTAGCATACCGAAGCAAGTTTGTTAATTTTGTGTTTTACTCTTTGTGATTAAAAAGGTGATTGCCAATGAAACCCTCGAGTTTTTAACCCGGGTAGGAAATGATGAAAGTAGACGACCGTTCCTCCTGGTTTCCAGTTTCCCGTCGTAAGTCAGCAGCCATTTGACATCCCACTCGATTTCATGAATTATTTCAGCATGTAAATAATGCTCTGCTTTAATTTCAGTCCTCATGGGCCTGAAGATTCGGCTCCACAATATTCCGAAATGTTTCTTAACGTCACAACTCATCACACGCCAAGTTACAACTTTGCTCCGAACTCTGATAAACAATGGATTCTCAGACAGACCAACGCAATGACACCGATACTCAAAGAATTTACAAACCTCTTGATGGCCAAAAGACTGCAAACTTTGCAAAGCGTGGATGTTGCGGTCAAAGCAATAATGGATAAATTGAAGGAGACCGGGCTAGATAAGACCACGTATGCCTTCTACACCTCGGATCATGGCTATCATGTTGGACAATTTGGGTTGGTCAAAGGCAAGTCAATGCCGTACGAATTTGACATTCGGTATAATAATTAAACTTTAACTACAATGTGATTGATTGATATCAAAATATTACAATATGCAAATTTCCATAATTAGGGTCCCTTTCTTCCTTCATGGTCCACCCAGCGAGGTGAAGAAAGGTATACAAATTCTCGAGCCGGTCATGAACATCGATCTCGCTCCAACCTTCCTGGATTTGGCTGGAATCCACGTTCCCGATGAAATGGACGGGAGAAGTATTGTCCCACTAATAAAACGGTACGGACCCAAACCACCCGAGTCAAACGTACCTTTTGTTTGGAAGGATGTCTTCCTAATTGAAAGTTCAGGACGAAGGGACACACATTTACCCACCACCGCTCCAAGTGTAACGCCACAACCTTTAAAAAAATCTAGGAAATTTCGGGACGAGAAACGTAGGCCGTTACAAGCTGACAACGAAACAATTCGTATCAACACGCTGTGTCAACTTCATCCTCATCCTTGTCTCCCCGGTCAGAAGAAATACTGCAGAAAAGAGAGGGATCAAAACGAACAGAAAATACAGCTTCGAAAATGTCGTCAATCCGACTTTGTGGAGGATCCTTTCATGATATCACCCCAAGTTTATGATCCCCTGTACCAATTAATCAGTACAAATAATGATAACAATTCCACCACCTTCCCCGAAGCGGAATCACCAGGATTTCCCTCAAAACGATGTCGATGTCGCTATAAGCGATCCGACATCGACACGGAATTGGAAGAATTTGACTGGGATAAAGAAAGAAAAATTATTGATGAAGAGATCGAATTACTCAAGAAAAGAATAGATGCTCTACGCCAAAGGAGGCGATCAATGCGTCGAAAATGGTTGGTGGACAATAATCTTGCGACAGACCCTTCCACCACAGAACCGGAGAATGCAACCACATCTAAACCTATTCATAATGCCAGGCGAGGAAAAGGTCACAATATTTCACAGCACAAGGATAAAACCGGTGGTCAAAATAACAGAATTGTGACAACTTCTTCCACTCAACCTCCCACAACGACAACTTTGATCACAACCACCACAGTCACCGAGAGTGAAGAGGAAGATGACGAGGACGACGAGGATGAAGACCTTGACGACGATGACGAAGAAGACGATGAGAACGACACCAGCGAAGATGATGAAGAAGAGGACGACGAGGATGAACCGATAACCACACCCACAACAACAATTCTTCCAACTTCAACGCCTACTACTACCACTACAACTACAACCACTAGTACAACCACTACTCCAACCACAACGACAAAAAATTCTCAAGTATTTGGAAAAGTGAACACTAATTTTATACCGAGTCATAACAAGTCAAATCATGGAACATTTCAACAACGTACAAGACCAATGATGGGACCTAATAATAAAAAGAGAAAGCAGGAACTCGGACTAGATTTTGAAGGTGATTTCGAATTGGATTCGTTTGTTCGGCACAAACATAGGAATAGAAATCGACACAGGAATCGTCACCGACCAAAGTTCAATAATAATGGTCAACTTGAACCGAGGTCTAATATAAATGAGAGCGATACAAATAAGGAAGGTACGGATGGTGAAGCGCAAATATGTGATTGCAACAATGATCCCCGGTGGATTAGGCAGAGAGAAAGAGAAGATCGGAAGCGGAAGAAATTGCTCAGTAAATTTAGAAAGAAGCAAAAGTACATGAAGAGGATTGAAGACCCTGTAATTTTGAAACAGGTCACCAAGCTCATAATTTTTTCCCTGTAATTTTGTGCCTAAAATTGAGAAAACTTTCAATTTTTTTTACTTTCACCAAATAGGCCGAAACCTGTGGAGCAGAAGAGAAGATGAATTGCTTTTGGCATGACAGGTACATATTTATCGTATGAAAATTACTGGTAAATAAAGAACTAGCTTACGTTATAAGTAAAATATTTAATACTTTTTTAGTGACCACTGGAAAACAGCACCATTTTGGACAAGTGGATCCTTCTGCTTTTGCATGAACTCAAATAACAACACATATTCCTGTCTCAGATCTGTGAATGCAACACACAACTATCTCTACTGCCAGTTTGTTACAGGGTTCAAAATGTATTTTGATCTTCGACAAGGTAAACTTTGAATTTTAAATTGGTTGATTAATTTGGTAGATCCCTATGTATAGTTTAACTCATTTGAATTGATTCCTGCATTTAGATCCGTATCAACTGTACAACACGATTGGAAGTTTACCTGCCGCACAAGAAGATTGGATGCTCGTGCAATTGATCAGATTAAAGAAGTGTAAAGGTCGAGCTGAATGTTGGGGCGAAATTGACGTGAATGAGCAAGCAATCCAGTCTTCAATCTGGGAGCAGATTTTCGGAAGGTATGCAAAATCTGTCGCATTACATATGTATGTACATAATTTTCATATTTCCTTTAAATTAATAGATGGCCCAGGAAGAAGAAACGAGGTCATAGAAGGAAGCAAATTAATGTAGATTAGTGATAATAACATGACATTTTTTATAGTGGGTTGAGGAGTTAGTGCATATCCGTGAGCAACTATTGTTATAATAACATTGTGAGAAATGTTCTTTGTGATATGACAAATCGTATTTATTTGTGCATAACAGTATTCATTTGACAATTTAATACATAATCGTCCTACATAGATTTATTTATTCTTATTTCGTTCTGTGGTTATTTATCAATCAATTTTATGCTTGCCTGGTTTTTGTTTAATTAAAATATATTTCTAGCATTTATAATTAATTAATTAAGGAATTTGTAGATGTCAAGCGCATTTTTTTAAATAAAGTAAAAATCTAAGAAGCAGAAGTCACATACAAATTGTGTATATTTCTTGCATTAGAAAGATTACAAGTAACCTACCACCGACCTCAGAGGCGATTACGACGACCATCATAAATATGTAAACACGAGTCCGGATATCGTAATCAATAACATCAGCACCAAGGACGCCCTTCGTTCTCTGTTCTTGTTTGTTGCTCAAAAGAATTTCTTCTCCGAAAAAAATCGATGCCGTGTCAAATCAAATTACAGAAATGTTTTTCTCTCAACCGTAGTAAATAGTATATTCTAACCCGCAAAATTCCGGATTTTTGCTGAGTATCGATTCTTTACATTTTAATAAAGTAAATTGCTCCAGAAATTTTTGAGACTAGGTAATTTTATTTGATAAGACAGGACTTTCTGAATCAATAATTCCCTAGGTATTGATTTAATCAGCATGAATTTGCGATTCGCAACCATGAAATATTTAGCGAATCTCGTACCCATATTACTTATTCTCTTGTACCGACCGACTTCTCTCTAGATTTGCACGGGAAGCGGCTTGTTGTTGCAGAATTTGCGACAAATGGTAAAGTTCCCACTCTTGTCTTCATTATCTCGACATGACAAAAAGTTTTATCACTCATGACATGAGGATATTTGACACATAATGAAACACTACTTTGCAGCACTCTATATTGGATCAATAGTAAATCATCGCAAGTTATTTTGATCCAAACACACACACGCCTCACCAAATAGGGACGATGAGAGGAGAGCATTGCCAATCTAACTTTTTTCACTTTCTTGGCCAATTCATCGCGATAAGTTGCCAATTTTTGTTTACTACTACGGACTGCGGAATAAGATAAGGATACAGCTTGCTACCATCCTTGTACTTTTGTGTTATCGTCGTCATTGATTTGTTCTAAAGATGTCCCAACCAAGGAAAAATAGAGGCGGAAGGAGACAGCGAGTTTTACAGAATGATGAGTCATAGTCACGTAGATATCTAACGATAAGTGCATGAAAGAACGATGTTACTGCGAGATATTGAGAACAACTAAATGTTCTTTTGGATAGAATTTTTCGTACCACATTCTTATATCAGGACAATGCGCTTTTAACTGAAAAATGTCAGATTTTATGTCAGATCCGGATTTAAATCTATGCAGTTAGATACAATCAGTTGATGGCACGACTGAAAAATGCAGCTAAGCAAACACTATGTGATCATCAATGACTCACTCTGAACAGAAACTGGCCAAGAACTTGAAAACCTTTCCATCTTTCAGCACCCAGAAACAAAGCAGTAGCAAAAAGAGGTTAATGTTGGGACAAAACCGCAATTCACAACGTGACATGACTGACATTCTTTTTGACATTTCCTTGTCCTATCCTTCAACCTGGCTGGGAGAGGACAAGAAGAAATATAGAAATTCTCTGACTCTGAGAAAGTTTTTTCTTCCTACGTACGTATAATACCACCACGGGTGCATCAATTGCCAAAACTTTCCACAAAAGTAGAATACAATACGATCCATTGTGTGTGTGTACGCGAATAATTTTTGCGATAGGTAGGGAGTTAGTTGACACGGTTATTTCAGATGCGGATTTAAGCTTGGATGACGGTTCGTTCGTGGTGAGTTTCTCTGAACCTCTGGGGACCCATTCACGAATGCACTGAAGCAAAAGTGATAAACAAAGCTGTGGAATGTCAGAAGTAGTTGGTGGAAAGGGAGAAGTAGTGGATTATTCGCTAAAAATAGACCAATACGCTATACCATTCGCAAAAAATGTACGAGTTGTAAATTAAATGGCGAAACTTGGGTTGTGAGTCAAGTTTGGAATTCGCCAAGGTTTTTCCTCCACTCCAACTCCCTCAACAAGACGGAAGCTTATCTGGCTTCTTACAAATTTTGTTTGTGTTCTGCTCGAAGCATTGGATGAAAGATCATTTGAAGGAGTTTCCAATGCCGTTACAGGCGTTGACTAATGAAGCGAAGTCCACGTTAATTAATTAGAGGAGCCGGATTTTGCACAAACATAGAGACAGCTTTTGTACAATTTATGTAGAATAAAAGATAATCATGACAATCTTAAGTCGCATTGTACATGTGCGTGTTTGCGATATTCATGCAATTCCACGATCAGAAGTAGGAAGCAAAACGTAGTACGTACATACGTACACAGAAATTGGCACAAATATCTGGAGTATCTGTTTTTTCCATGTGTAATTGCTACCTCCAGAAATGGGGGACATCGTATGACATCAAATTAAGAAATGTCCATCAAAAAATAATTTGAGCACTGCTACGTATCACCAACCAATATGCTCTAATACATAGCTGGACATATTTTTTTGCAGGGGGACGGAAAATACATACGTGTGTACGGATCAGTGGAAAAATCGTGTTTATTTGTTCCGACCAATTGGAATGCTCAAACGATGGCAAAAATGTGTGTTTTTCATGAACATTTGGGTTGATTTGACACGAGTGCAATTTCATGGCGTTGGTTGCATGCATACCACTTTGCTAACTTATTGTACCTCGATTCAGGATATTGGATATTTAACCCGGGTCTTATTTCATTGAGAACACAGTTGTGCTTTCGAGCTACTAAGCGATCCAACCCGTGTTTTTGTCCGTCGTCCTGTCTCTCGTACCTAACTAAATACACTTCCAGTTGCAGCAACAAGGTATTTGCAACCCATGCGAATTTTTTGCAGACTTTTTTTTTCCCGTAGTAGTTGATTCGATTTGTTAGGAAACTTGTGATTGTTCCCTTAATCACATTTCTCTTGTCTTTTGTCCTAGACGAACAATGAGCATCTAGTACTCAACCACCTGCTCATTTGTACATGGTTTGTCTGATATTCTCTGTTCCAACACGTCATTACAGATACATATCTTGATCTATTTCGGAAAAGTGTGTCCTATCCGGTGGGAGATTCGCAGAGCCAACTTTCTCCTCCTTGAAGAAACACAGGCCTCCGTCCAACATCGTCATCACCAGTGATTCATACTTTTGTTGTTGCTGCATCAACTTTTTGGAAGCTTCACGGTCACAAGAGTTTTCAGTCGTTGACTGAAAACATCATTGTAATCCTGGACTGCAAATTTTACCCCCGATCTACTTACTACCATCCGTTCCCTTCTCATCACCGGGTTCATTCATCCTTCCCTGCGGTCAAGATAAGGAACAAAGTCATGGCTGAAGTTGGTAAGAACTATAGTTTTTTTTATCGATTATCAATACTTTATCGTCACTTTGGTCGTATCGCTTTTCGATCTACAAGCCAGACACGGTTACAGAAAAGAATGGCTCGTTACGGGTAAATTTTTGTCATAAAAGTGGCTTTTTCATACTAACGGAACACCAAATTGATTGGAAAAGGAAGAGTTATTGGGTTTCTCGACGATGTTGCGTGCATGCATAAACGTGGCGAAGGTACATGAGATTAATGTAATCGCGGTAATGAATACTTCCAAAAAATTGGTCACTTTGTGAGAAACTCGGAATTTTATTTGTCTGGAAGTGCCCGACATTGCATAATACATTTTTCTGCTATTACCTCGTGCGTGTGCTAGATTATAATATCCATTTCATGGATATCTATTTCTCATGAATATGAAACCCTAACAACTTTCTTCATGATTTTATGACTCTGGTTGGAATGCGTAATGACTTTTCTAAGCACTTCAGCAGTAAAATTTTGTTTATGTAATCTAACAACCAGACTGTCATCTCGATCTGTTGAGATTTTTTTTATATGTACGATACTTGACACCGTACCATGAACTTTCCGTTTTTCGATCGGAGCAGAACTATAAATCTGAATACATCTGCTCCGCTTAAAGTTTCGAATCCGACCCAAAGTCAAAACATTTCCCAAAAGCGTCACTGCAATTGTCCATCTTGTCACCAGTCGACGACGACGACAAAACATGAAATTTCTGCGCCAATTTCCAATCTGAGCCAGGGTCAAGCTGCTGCTGCTGCTTGTAATGATTTAGGGGCAGGAGATTTTAGTAAGTCGTAAAGTACTGGTGATAAAAAATTCATGATTTATTTTCAAAATGGAGCACTTCTTCAATCTTGTTTAAATTTGACGCATAAATATCTACATACGTGCTCCAGAGGGAGGGTTTTAAACAAATTCCTTGTCAAAGTGTTCGAGAAAACAATCTAGGCCAATCGCCCCGCTTTCCACTTAATCTGTGTTAAATAGGCTGAATATCTATGTTATGCATTTGCATACATACATATTTGCGTAACACTGAACTCCTTTTCTGAACAGCAAATTAATATTTATGTTTTTTGAAGGGTGGGATTTGAGTTGTTCAAAACTGTATTTTGTGCTGTCAATGTCAATTACGCGTTTTTAAAGCATTTCTATTTGCACTATGGAATTTGCATGATTCTCCTGTCATCATGTGCCTACTAAATACTTATGCATATCTACACATGTACACTTATCTTATCTCCTCTGGCACTTATCCAAGTACGAAGTTTTGTTTTGCTAATGCGAACATTTTTAATAAAAATTTCAGATCGTCGGTGGTTGTTCAACAACCCTTCAACAATCAACGGCGTTGGTGTTGGCGTTCCAATGTCCCCAAATCCTAAAATGCATCTGGAACCTATTAAAGTCCAACCGAAGAATGTGACTCGAGGAAATAACGGCAATGCCATAATCTGCAAAAGCAACGCACCCGCACTCTCAATGTGAGTCACTTAAAGCATTTTTTGCATTTCCTGAACAAAACTTGTCGTTCGTCGACATACTTATTTTAGGAAATGGAAGTGTTACACGTGTATTTTGAAATTTTGAACTGGGCAAATTTCCACGAAACGAACAGTGATTCTCATTATCATCGAGTTTATAATATGACTTGCCCAACCTTCATTAACTTAATGAGCCGTTTTTATACGTGCCAACGTTATTCTATTAATTGTCCTTATCTTGTATCAATTTTTTTGTACAGAAACGGCTTGGGTTGCGACATTTTGAGTCAAATAAATGAAATCACGGACGGACTTTATCTCTGTGGAGCAAGGGCGATGAGGGCGCAGCATTTGTTGGAACTTGGAATTACCAACGTCGTCAATGTAACTGTCGAACTGCCCTGTTTGAATATTGATGAGGTATGTACGCTGACTTTTTGTAGTGTGTATTTGTAGTAAACAGTTCAATCATGAAACACATTTTGAAGTTGTCAACTCTGGTGCCGAGATCAAGTTGAATCATAATGCTTTGCAAAATAGACGCTAATTTCATTATGTTTTTCGCACGAGTGCTCAAAGTCATGCACTCTATTTACTCATCCTGTCATGGGGTCTGGTATAATTTTGCTAAATAAAATATACGCAAACAAACCACGTTTAGCATACACGTATTTATCCGATTGGAAATCAAGGCGCAATCACTTATCTTGGCGAAATATTCGAAAGTATCTTGGTCCATGTCTTGTTGTAGTAAATCATGAAACCACGCCGTTTCGTGTGAAGTTTGGATGCGTGTAAGTAGTGAATGTTTATGGATGTCAAAGAGTTTCACGAATTCCTGGGCTTTGTGCCAGTAATGAAAAATACTATTTCGAAAGACACGACATTCAGTTGGTAAGATAAGTTATGGCTCCCACTGGATTCTGACCGTGTGGCGATTTTATGTGCAAAAAGTCATGTGCAGATTATTATTTCATGCAATCATTTTTTTGCAAAGCAAACAATTTCATGAAGATAAATAGCATTTCATGTTGCTGCACCTTTAGCTGATTGTTGACCCATGCGATCAATTCGGTTTTGATGGCATCGTATTACACAACGAATAAGCTAGTCTGATAAAATACCATCCCGGGCATCGCTTCTTGGCATTTTAAACTCTTCAGTTATGGCATAGGCATCCACACTTTGCCAGCCAAAACCCAAACATGGCACCTTCCTGACGCGTCTGAAATAATCATGCTTTTTGCCTTCCAAATTCAAATAAGAAGTATTCGCAACGCAGTCACATAGATGACAAACGGCCAAAACTTCTTCAGGCAGGGTAGCACGTTGCGAATGTCGTGGTTGGTGGCTTGTTCCGGCCAATTTATGGACGTTATGAGTCTCATCATCGCTGCCCATTTCCATCCACCATGGAATTCTTCACTTTTGCCAAGTCATGGCAGGCAAGTAGGTGTCGGAAAATTTGAATAACATGGTGACTCATTTTACCATGAATGAATCAAAAGTTTAGGAATTAATGAGACAAAGCAACCCAGTTTACGCGTAATTTTGGTTTTTAAACATATCCAGATATGACGGAAGGAAGTAGTACTAGAGGGTGGACGTGATATCAAATATTACAACTTGCAATGTCTGTCATCCACCTCTTTTCAGCACTAAACTGCAAAAAATCCTGTTCCGCATATTTCCACGCATTCATATACCTTCAAACATTATTATGCCAAATTCAGATTTTTTGCCCTCCACGATTTCAGATTAGATCCATATTATTCATCTTCCATATCTATCTTTAACTTGCGTAGAAAAAAGTTATTTCCTGATTTTCGTAAGTGTTCCACGAAAAAGTGTGTGCGATGCGAGATGGTACGAAACTCATTTGTTTTCCGACCCACAAACAACTAGTTCTACTTTCGCACAAGTATTTTCGCACATTTATCTAGAATTAGGTCTCCTGCATACGTGCAGAGATTCGGATGACGCTTCTTCTGAATTTCTGATAAACAATTTGTAATTGGAAAATAATGTTGTTTGTTTTTTTACATTCTTCACGCCGAGGAATGTCGGCCAATTGGGTTGTGTGACGCAAATTGTGTATCTTATTCGTCATGAGACTATGTAATCTGATTTAGAGGAGACACCTACATTCCCACCGTCGCACTCGCTATGCATATAGGATAATTAATGGATTAATTTAATATCTGAATAAATACGAAGGTTCTAAACTCGAAATGTATGAGGAAAATATGCCTCACTAACAAAATATTTTCCTGTATTTTCAGATAGAAAGCATGAAAATTCAACTGGACGACTCTCCCTACGCAAACTTATCCTATTATTTTGATCGTGTCGCTGATAAGGTGGACGAAGTCCGACGGAAAGGAGGTCGAATTGTAATCCATTGTGTCGCTGGAGTCTCCCGGTCGGCCACCTTGATTATCGCGTACTTGATCAAATACAAAAAGATGACTTTGCGACAAGCCTACAATTTTGTTAAGGTGCAAAAAAAACTTTTTCATGCGATTTTATGTAACAATTGGCAGGGTGCTTATTAGGTTAGATAACTACCTAAGGTTGGATAACTTAGGTAACTTGGAAGATATGCACTCAAATGCTGTGCAGACGGTCTATAATTAGGTAGAATTTGAGACGAAGTTTTGCACCCGTCTTTATTTCCAGTTTGTATGTATGCAGGATTATGGGATTGAACTTTGCATACTTTTCCCACTTTTGATTTTCCTCAACACTTACGTTTACGTAATCGAAACTACTTTTGTTTTGACTTTTACAAAATTCCGGACGTGCGGAGACCTTGTCGTTTCCGAAAAAAAGATGATTATAAAGCGTTCCTGTGTATAATGAAAGCCTGTTAATCTTGCCAATTTTTACCCAGAAATGTAACAATGCTTATTGCCAATTTACAGGCTCGTCGTTGTTGTATACGCCCCAATGTCGGCTTCTTCCGTCAGTTGGTGAGTAAATTCCCATTTTGTGGTGTGAATTGTAAAACGAGTCAAGTAAAGAACAAAAAAACTGAAATTCGGTTCACTTGAAGGTTGACTATGAATCTCGGTTAATGGGGTGCACCTCGGTCAAAATGGTTTGGAATGCCGCTGCTGGCGGGTATATTCCCGACGTTTACGAGCCCGAGTATAACAACACGCTCCTCTTCCTTAAGAAATACGGATTGCAGTCGGACCGGCTTGGACGATGTGCAGGGGAACGGTATCGACGCTAGTGGAACGTAAATTATAAAAAATTGTATGCAACAATTCGGTTTATGTATTTATGTGGATTAATTTATTATAACGTGGCGATGAGTATAGAGGAAAATGTTATAGTTTTGTGTACCACTTACTTTTTTCATGCACTCCATATACTTATTCGCTCGCTCGCTGTGTACCTTGCTAAAGAAACGAATGCGAAATGTATGAATAGTGTTGAAATGTGTACGGAATGTACGGATGGCGAAATTCCTATGAAATAGATAAGTGATGAGCGCGTCAAAATGTACATATGTACCATAATTTAAATGATATTTTAAGCTCATTCTTTTTTGCATTGCTTCTTTCACAGCTTCGATTTGTATATGTACATATATCACACTTATTTTGAGCTACTGAATTTTTATTCCTTCATGATAAGTAGTAAAAGGTTAAAATAAATTGTAATATTTAGTAATTCAAATTATGAAAGAAAAACTAAATTACGAAGAAGATTATAGTAAAACATCACAGCCATAAAATATACAAAATGTAGATTGATAAAATTCTGTAAATCATTATGAAAGTTGGGACCAAATATGAAATAAACCAAAATGAAGTTATTATCCCATCAAGAAGTGTGATAAGTTGGCAGTGATTTCGGAGATGCACGATTAAAGATTAATTTGTGTTAAAAGCATTTACACATTGAACTCATTCCAATTCTATGCACACCTTGACCCGTGTTTCGACCTTGTGAAAAACGAACAATGAATCTCTGTTTGTCGGAAGCTTTTTTAGTGTCGAAATAAACGATGACATTTTCACATCAAACCTTGATTTTCTCCTTGATTTTCGTGACATCTCCAACTTCGGAGATATGTACGTCCATAGGAATCTGTACATATCTGCAATGTCTCAAGTCTCAACTACACTATAAATACAGACATAATTTTGATATAAGCAAGGATTACTTTTATTACGAGATTAAAACAATGAGATTCTCAGTCTTTTATTTGACTTGCATCATATTTCCTCACACCGAGTCCACGTTGGTGGTCTTGCTATAATTAATTGCGCATTCTATTTTTATTCGATTCTTGTACTAATTTAGGAAACAATCGGCAGTTAATTAAATCCGATTTGCACCTGTCCATCGTGCAATCTTTTCCCGTAGTAATTAGTGGTACTGCATGGAATGTAGATACATTCACATGCCTGCCACCAAGTGCTTTCGGACTTTCCTACTACAGTATCGTGATAGTTTACTCCTTATCTTTTCTGCTACTTTCACCTTTAGCAGTTGATTTGAAGTATGATTACCTTCCATCAATCATCCTTTTTTTACAATATGATCCAGGTCAGAGTATATCATTAGTAATTCATACCAGTCAGTCCTGGATCGAATAGGTACGTACTACAGATATTCATGGAGAATACCAAACACTAAAAGTCACGTAGCTAGGATTCTTCTTCTTTCCACAAAATATTTGGTCGATGCTGGAGTTGAAGTTGATGAATGTTGGAAAGTCATGGCATTAGGGAATCACTGCACCCTAACCCACGACATGCTTATATAATTGTGAAAACGGATTATCTCCCCAATTTGACACGAATCTCATCAAAGTCACACAAAGGGCGATGCTATTTTATGCAAAGGAGTTGCTGACGATGAGATCATCAATTTTAGATCCGCATTCACCTATGAAAGGTTATAATGAAGAAGGTACATATGTGCGATTTTGAGTCAGAAGGGACTTTACGGCAGAACCGGTCCTGACTGGAACCATACGTATTAAAATGATGACACGATAATATTGTACAGTTCAATTTTGAGATGAGACAGCTTGTACCCATACACATTCTCATAAGACGAATAAAATTATAGGGCAGAAACAATGTAAATTAAAGCTGATCATCTTCATTTTATTGGAGTTACGTAAGATGCACAATTGCGCTGGAAATGTATGTATTTAGTTGTTGCCAAAAACGAGTCATGATGTCAGTCAACATCAAATTGACGGTTGGATCCTGATTTACGATTATACCCACTTTTAACGGATTGCTTTTTGTTTGATTTTTAATTATTTTCCGCTTAATTGCAACTACAATTCCGAGTAATTTTTAATTATCAAACGAAACAAAAACCTGAGTTAGTCCAGCTTTTCGTACTTTATTTTCGTGGTAACGTGACGCGCAGAGTGGGGACGGGACGATACTACATATTTACTTGCATATCCTGTGGGAAAGGGATTTCGCAATTTTTTTTACCTTGTTCCCACAACACAAGGTGAGTACCTTACATTTTCCATGCAATTTTTTGTGGTTTGTATATTATTCTCATGTTTATTCCATGACACACATACATGCACGTATCTCAAGCATAACAAAAAAAAAATGAATTGAAGCCACAATCTTGTGTCCATATTCAATTCTAGCAGTAATGTTAGTTAACCTTGATCTTGGCCGCAAGCACAGAAAGGTAAAGGTAACAATATTATACTTACATGTGATCCAGTGCAAATTTATGATACTGCTGCGTATAATAGTCTAGCAATAGCTGGACATTAATTATTGGGTACTTGTATTTCCTTGTGCCAAATTGGCATTGCGAATTGCATTATAATGGTGTAAATGGAGATAGGGGCAAGTTTTCAATTTTGAGAATGCAAATGTGTTAATGCATATTTTGCATTCGGCAGATAGAAAACATCTCATGGAATCGACAACAAGAAGAAATGTGTCATCTCGAATAGTTAGTGTCCTTGTCTGTGGGGCACTCATAGTTCTTTTTCAAGCTGCTGTTCCCTGTGTTGAAGCTGCAGAATCAAGTTAGTTACAAATTTTTAATTGTGCTACGTATATTATTGAAGACATTTTAAAATATTAAACTAACACGATATGTTAATAGCTCCGGGATGTGGGAAAATTGACAAAGCTTTACTCGGTCGAGATCCACGCGTTGCTGCTCCATGGACAGCTACGCTTTTGTACCAATCCAATTTCAAATGTGGTGAATTTCGCCAAAGCGGATCTGGCCATGGGGTCATTGTTGGTCCAACCACGGTTTTAATGAGTGGTCACTTTTTGTGGGGGTCAGACACCAGCAATGCCGAGACGTCCAGACTTCTTCCGTTCAACTCTAGTAACTTTATTGTCGCATTGGGGCTAAAATCAAGACAACCTTTTTCCGCCGATCAGTATACGCAGTTTTTGAAGGCAATATATTTTTCAGAAATGGTGTACAATTTTATAGTTAAAATTGAAAATGGATTAATTAAATTTTATAGATTTCTTACATCCGCGTGCATTCAGGATCGTATGAGCGATACTCAAATAATGACATGGTCATTCTACACTTGACAAATCCAATCCGATATTCGTCCTATGTTCGACCAATTTGCTTGGATAATTCTCCAGAAGTTGTAATCACTAACGTCAACTCTACGGAAAAACTTGGAGATTTGACAATCAGTGGGTTCAACAGAGGAGTACCGGACGCAGAACCATTTGGATTCCTTGACTCGGCCATTTGTAAGCAAAAGTTGACCACGGAATATCAAGAAGCTTCTCAAGGCAGAGAGATTTCAAAGTCAGGAATTCCTTGCGGATTCTCTTCCAAGCTTCGAGAAGATGTCCAAAGTTGGAATGGATATGGAAATGGGTTAATTCAGTCGAGATTTCTGGATCCCGGTCCAGGAAAGTCGAGGAAGGATACAGTCATTACGAATCTCTGCTATCAAAAAGGGTCTAGCATCATAACCTTTTACAATGATCGGTGGTACATGATTGGAATGACTGGAGAATCGTTGGGGATTACGTGCAAAAATAATAATTTATACTTTATCTCATTCGTCACGTATAAAGAAAATATAGATTGGATTCTACAAAATATTCGGTATTTTGTGCACATATTTTGTATCACCTTTATCATTTTGAAGTATTGATTGGAAATTTTTGGAAATTCAGGTTCAGCACAAATTCCTTCGTCTGTGACAACGGACAAACGATTGATCTCGCCAAAATGTGTAATGATTTTCAAGATTGCACCGACGACTCTGATGAAAATCCGAAATTCTGTTCAGCAATTAAATGCGGAACAATATTCTCATCCTTTTGTACCAAGTGTGAGACGAAAAATTCGTTCCAAATTCTAGGGAAAACTTATTCCTATTCGAATGCGACAAGTTCTGATGAAGTGAAATGTTCTGCTTTAAAACAACCAGAGGTAACTTGTTTGATAACAATAAGTACATTTCGGAACCAAATTTTGTATGTCAACTTTCACCCAGGGTTCTTTACTGCATTGTGAAAATCCTATAATCAGGAAACGAATTACATGTGAATACGGATCTGACCCCGGTATTTGAATTTGTATTTCAATGTTTACTGACGATGTCATCCGCGAATTATCAATTAAATTTAAATTTCAGGAACGAAAGCAGTGTTCCAGTGCAAAACTGGAAAGCCCAGCGAACCCTCTTCTTACTGCGTGATAACGTGCAAAGATGACGGGAATTGGACCGACGAATTAAAGACTTATACATGCAAAAGTAACTCTTCCCTTGGAATTTCTGGTAAATTCAGTCATTTAACAAGTACTTACCCAACGAATTTGTATGCAAATTTCTTCTCCCTAAGGTTATAGTTGTGCATAAATGGGGTATTGTACATTTTTTATTAGGATCATCTCCCGATATCGTCTTTTCTCATGGCAGTAATGCAAATTGGATCAACAAGATTTTGCTCAATCGTCCCGAAAATAGTAACAGTAATCCAGATGATGATCCCAGTCTGGATAATTGGACTCCTCCTCAGCTCTCACCAAACATTGGAGACAAAACTGGGGGAGGAGGAGGAAGTCGAAATTGCAGAGGTTTTAAAAGGAAGCCTGTAAGTACATATACTTTTACAGAGGAGAACGTAGAAGAGAAACTGAAGGACAAATTAATCAATTAAGAAATTATGACGCCTTTGGTTGACAGGGTCTCAAAATATCATGCCGTGCTCCTGGTTCATCTGTTTCCTCGTGCTTAGAAAGCGTTTCTCCTGGAACAAAAGCCGAATTTAGTTGCGAGCAATACTACCGTCCAATTTTTTCTGCAGCGTCAGGTGACATCAGTCGTATCATCTCAAATTTTGGTCAACTTTATTTAGCGTGCAATAATAAAAATTGCATTTGTAAGCGAAAATATAATTAGTTTCATATTTTTGATATGTATTTCCCAGTTATCAAAACTTGTCAACCGAATGGACAATGGAGTTTGGAAAATAGAGCGTTCGAATGCAGATTGGGTAATGAACAATGAAGACAAACCTCTCAATGTAAAGTCTCATGCATAAACTTATCTCCAGATTGTGGAGTTCCGAAACGAGATCTTGTCGGCCATATTGTAAATGGACATGTCACTTCTGGAACAAAATGGCCTTGGCATGCCATCATGTACCGCAAAACGAAGGATGGTCAACTTGCCTATATTTGTGGGGCAACACTAATTTCGAAACGGCTACTCCTTACGGCGGGTACTTAATCAATGATAATACATTTAGTGAGTTCAAATTTAGTTTAAAATTAATTGCATTATTAAGCACATTGTGTGACGGATCGACGTGGAAAGGCATTACCAAACTCAGATTTTGCCGTCATATTGGGAGCAACTAGCAATAATCTGGAAGAAAATTCAGGAGACCCTAATTCTCAAATTGTTTCGGTATTTTGAATGAACTTGAAATACATGTTAACGTCAAAGAGTATGCATGTTTAAGTTTAAATTTGAAAATTCCAGTTGGACAATATCACAGTAAACCCAGCATTTAACCTCAATACATTCGAATCAGATATTGCTTTGATAAGGCTGGCAAAACCTGCACACATTTCTGATTTTGTTCGACCTGCTTGTTTTCCCTCTACGATTACACTACACAATGAATTACTCCACCTCAGTCCTGGAAGTGAAGGACATGTAATACCCAACATTTTATTTGATAAATATGTCAATCTATAAAAAACAGGATGAAACTGTTCTTGAATGTTGCAGATTATTGGATTTGGGTATGATGAAAGTGGCAGTCCGTCTAACAAGATGAGAGAAGCGTTGCTTCCCGTTGTCTCATATTCCCAATGCTATGACGTGGTCAAGGTTCTTGCAACCTCTTCACAATTTTGTGCTGGGTTCACGAACGGTGGGATTGAATTTATCTAAACAAGTGCTTAATATTTAGAAAGAACTAACAAATATGACTATGAATTGCAGGGACTGCTGCCTGTAATGGAGACAGGTACGCCGAAGTCAATATTACAATTATGTAATTATTAGTCAATCCACATGCTAATTATTGATATTTCAGTGGTGGAGGCATGTTCTTCGAAGATGACACGTACCCACGACGAATGTACTTACAGGCAAGTGTAGGTGCATTTTTGAAGCAAGTCGAATTCTAAATGAACCATTAATTACAGGGAATCGTCAGTCACGGAAATAAGGACGACTCGACAGGATTATGCGATAAGAATCAATACTCGATATTTACAAAAGTAGCTACATTCAAGAACTGGATAAATGAAATTGGACTGAATCTTGACGAGGACTTTTAGAATGTATACCAATTTCAGTAAATGTTTCTAATTTATGAATGCTTATTTACGAATAATAATACTCACTTTCTACAAAATTGAAAATGGTGAAAGTTAACGTGTTTTTAATTTTTCTAAGAAAAACTTACGGATTAAAATAAAATATTGTTTTCGTCCATTTTAGAAAGAAAGCGAAATACATAACAAAAATGTTAGAACATAAATTACTGCATCCGAGGCTTCTTCCTAAACATTTTACTCTTCTGCCCCCGAGTATCGTTTCCTGGAGCATCTCTGCTTTTGAAAGTACGCTTTCCCAAACCACTTAGATCGCAGGCTGGAGGACTTGTAAATCCAAAACTCTTTGCTACATCCTTCAAGTTAACTTGATTTATGTCAAAGATCGTTTTCAAACTATGCGAGTCATAGGCGCGAAGGTATGCTTTGTAGGCTTCACGGGCGGATTGATTGAGGAAATAATTTGTCCCAATTAATTTTTCGAGTTGAGGCTGAACGTTTGCTACTTTACTCCAATCTACTTCGATTTCACTGACTGGGACTTTTGCAGCTAAAAAATAAAACAAAAACTAGATTAGACTGATTACATCTTACATTTTTTCTTGTAATAATAAATATAGTGGCCTTTCTTACCCTTAAGATATCGAAGGAATGGAAGTTCGTGAGGCGACAAAGTTAACAGAGCTTTTCCACACCCATCTACACCGCGAGCTGTTCTTCCGACTCTGTGAATATATTCTCTCGGGTCATCTGGGGGGTCGACTTGAACGATCCAATCAACACGAGGGATATCCAACCTGACCACGGAAATTCAACATTGCAACTCAACAATTCTTTAACTGAAATTGTATAAATTATTTTTCAGATAAACTCACCCTCTTGCAGCAACATCAGTACAAAGGAGAATTCCGCTGTCGGCTTGACAAAATTGAAAGAATGTGGTGGTACGTTTAACTTGCTTTTGTTTTCCCTATTTTGTGCACATATAAAAGTTAATGTCAAGTTGGTGCTATCAATAATTAATAATTTTACTTACATGAATGCATGACACGGGAAGGTCGATGTAATTCAGTAGCTCGTGATAGAATTTAACTGCCATACACGAACTCAAGAACACCATAACCTTTCGTTTTCTGTTCTTCTTCAGAAATGTGAACAAAAACAAAAATCTCTTATCTGCAGGACACACGACGTAACCTACAAAATAAAAAAGAGTTTGTTAAAAAAAACTGCAATAATATGGTTAATAAAATCAAATCTAAATAATCCAATAATCACAAGTCACCTTGTTCTAACCCCTCAACCGTTGCAGCATCTTTGGAATCATCAACACCAATGTACATTGGTTCCTTCTTCAAGGCTAATTTTGTTATTTCTTCAACTTTCTTGGTTGCAGTAGCGCTGAAAAGCATAGTTTGTCTTCTCTCTGTAACATGTACAAAATCACAATTAATAACTGCAAATAAATTATCATGTAATACTTTTAAATCATAGCTCACTTGGAAGAATGGAAACGATCCTCTTCAATTCCTCCTCAAAACCAACTTGTAAAATACGATCCGCTTCGTCCATAACAAAGCATTGTAAATTCTTTGTCAAAAATCCTGGTGTGTTTGAGAGATGGTCGAGTAACCTTCCTGGAGTGGCCACAAGAATTGTAACACCTTTTGTCAACTTTTCTGCTTCTGCGGATCGATTTGCGCCTCCCATAACCTGTAAAGAATAATATTTTAGTTAACCAATCAACTATTACATAGATAAGCTTAATGAACAGGCTTTCTTACAAGTCCACATGTCTGTCCGGGGTACTCATCCATAATCTCCCTAAGAACACCAAATATTTGCATGGCTAATTCCCTAGTAGGCGAGATTATTACAGCTCCAGTTCCATTTCTCGGAAGCATTCTGAAATATGTAACAATATTATATTAATTAAGTAATTCAACGACCAGTCCCAATCTGTTCCAAAACCTAAATACCTCAACTTGGCGCAGACTAACTCCACGATGGGAATAAGGAAAGCTAACGTCTTTCCCGACCCAGTTTTAGCCGCACCCACGAGATCTCGACCTTCCATCAAGTGAGGAATTGCTTTGGCTTGAATTTCTGTCATTTCCGTAAAACCCATCTTCTCAATCGCCTTTATCGTGGGTTCAGATAAGTTCAGGGATGAAAATGATTTGGACACACCAACAGCTGCTCCCGTTGAAGTTCCAGGCACTACCAAATTAAAGAAGATTCGAATATAGTTGAGGCCCTTCACCCTTTAATGTTATTTACGGTTGAATAACAAAACAAAATTTTCAACTTACATTCAAGCGATTTTAAGACCTGCATTTCTTTGTCATCTTCTTCATCTGACGACTCGTCATTACCCTTGTCCACATCTTTAGGAGGAGGAAGTGGTTTTGGGGGTGTGACTTCGTCAAGCTTCTTCTTTTTCTTCCCCATAGTGGCCATAATTCCTTTACTCTTCTTTTTGAAGTTACCCATGTTGATTTTTTAAAGCTTGGCTTGATTAAACTTTACTAATTGCAATGAATATTGTAAAAATCAAAATTTTTATGAAATCTTTAAAATAGTAAATTAGCACGGAAAAAGAAGAAGAAAATGCAACGAGAGCACGTTGTGAATGTGTGTGGAGGTATTCAATTTACCAGGCTGGCGGTTGAAAAAGTGCGATGTTTAGTCTCGTATGGAGCTTGTAGCAACATTTTCTTTGCTGCATTAGTGCATTGCATTGCATCTTTTTGAACAGTTGCCATACTGCACTGCAACAAACTTTCGTACATTTCCATTTGCGATATTTAAACGGAAATGGAACTAAGAATTTGAAAAACGAATTAAAAATATTTTCAAACTTATTTCTCATCTGCATTTCATGAAAAACTATAAGGTCAAGTCACATACATAACATATCATAATTATAATTCATATCGCTCGATGATCATGAACATGACGACAGCAAGGCCCTTTTGACTCTGATCTGACCATCCTCTGAAACGGCATTGTAATAAGTTTGAGATAGTTACTGTTTTTGATATTGCCAAAATAAATGCCCTTGTTTTCGCAAAATTATCAGCAGAAGCTTATCAGCCTTTCGATGTTAAATGCATAAGTGAAGATTAATTAACCTGTCAAATTTCCGTGTGACGAACTTGGACAATTTATAATAAAGGTTAAACACACTATATTATGCACAATAGATCATCGACAATTTTCATTACGGCTGAGGATTTTTGCATAGCGTGTTAATTATTTACTAATACTAAATAAGAATCATAATGGCCCGATTAGTAACATTTCTTTCGTTACTTGCTTTAGCTTTTGCCCACCCACATCAGAAGCAAAGTGTGGGGTTTATTAGAAATTATCCAGTACCTCTTTCTCAAGGAAACGATGGCAAAGTCGTAGGAGGAATTGACGCAGATCCTGGCGAATTTCCGTATCAAGTTTCCATCCAGGTCAAACCAATCTTTGGGGACAGATACCACAATTGTGGAGGCATATTGATAAACCCGACCCATGTATGTAGGATACAATATTTAATAATTTTTACCCACGCATAACACTCATTTCTAGATTAATAACTTCAAATACATAGGTAATAACTGCAGCTCACTGTGTCGAAGGTCAAATTCTGAACCAAGTTTCTATAATCGCTGGCGCTCATAACATGAAAATTGGCGAAATCAATCAACAACTTCGTATCCCTAAGCGTCTGATTTGGCACGATAATTTCGACAATGAAATTTTGTATCATGACGTTGCCGTCATCACTGTGACCGAACCGTTCGAGTTAAACGAGTGGGTACAAACACTACCAATTTCCGAAGAGGGATTTAACCACGCTGGAGAATGTGTGAATACAGGATGGGGAAATACCAATCCTGCCGATTACCCAATTACTATTCCTGACGCCCTGCAAAAGATTACACTGGAAATATTTCCAAGGTCTAATTGCACTGCTGCCTTCAATGGTCTTAACCCTGTTGATGACACAATGGTTTGTGCGAGAGGGTTGGACGATGACAGTTCTAAAGGAGCGTAAGTATTGCGATATTGTGCTTACATAAATATTTATATTATTGTGATGTCATTTTGTATCAAATTTTAGATGCAACGGCGACTCCGGGGGCCCATTAGCCTGTTTGGACGGAAACAATCAAACATATCTCGCAGGGATAGTGTCATGGGGCATGAATCCATGTGGACAGGTAGATAAAAATTCAGCCTAATTCACTATAATTACATTCCATTAATCTATTTTTAAAAAAATTGTCATTTGTTTCAGTATCGCTACCCCTCAGTGTTTGCAGATGTAGCAAACAAAGAGAATCGTGATTTCTTGGTGCTGGAATTAGCAAGACCGTGAAAGGATTATTTATTATTACAATATTTATGAATAAAATTTATTATAGTGCGTTAGAGATTTTATTGATGAGATTTTAACTCATGAATGAGACAATTTTGCATTATTATTGCGGAGGAAAAGTGAGACTTTTCTCATTTGGGCCCATTCCAATTGCGAAACTCATCTTTACAAACTTTACAAGCCGAATTTACAAAGTTGCACATTCTGTAATTGAATTGAATAGTTTTTCATAGATAACAAAAATTCCTAAAATGGTTTAAACTTGATAATCTCTTCACTAGTAGTAATACTGTTTAATCATCATGGCTTCGTCAAAAGTCTTTTTCAATATTTTCCTAAAAACTAGTACTAATACCGGCCAATTTTTACCATCATGTGGCATAATTCCTAAAAGAATTCACACAAAGACCACTCTTCGGGCACCCCCACTACCAACAGAGCTCGCTCCTCAGTCCTCTGATGTCGATGAAGCTGCTGAGGCGAATGGCGAAGGGACTGACACCATCAGTAAAGCGATGCACTCTTATATCCAAAGGGCGAAGGAACATCGTAAGCAATCAAAATGCATAATAAATAATTACTAATTTCTTGTAGTAATTTGGATAACTTTTAATATAAAACTAATTTGCTGTATGCAGAGGAGTTCATGGATAAGGAAGAAAAAGAGTTTGTCTTTGGAAGAAGACATTTAGCAAATATGATGGGCAAAGACCCAGAGACGTTTTCGCAAGCAGATATAAATGTAACATATTTAGGGGACATGTCTAAAATTTGTTGAAATTGACATAATAATTCAATTTGCAGGAAGCAATTCGATATCTCTTTCCGTCTGGATTGTTTGAACCAACAGCACGACCAATGATGCGACCCCCACAAGAAATTTATCCTAAACAAAAAGCTGCTCAGTTTGACATGTCGGGTCGACCCCATCACCCATTTTTCTACACAGCCAATCCAAATTTCTTCTATTTAATGCATGTGAGTAGGCAAACAGTAGAAATAGTGTGTCCTATGCTAGATTTAATGACTAATGACAAGTTGTTATATTACAGGAAATGGTCAGCAAAATTAATAAAATGAATGCCAGTGCTGGAGGACTTTTAGTATCTGACAACAATACTAATGTGTAAGCTCATATTATAATATAATTTTTGATTAATTCATGTAACTTAATATGTATGCCTACTCTTTACCAGAGCCTTTGCGGGGTCAGTTTGGTTACCCAAGCACGAGTTGGAACAAAGATTAATGGAAACATTGTCTGATAAGCAGTACACAGAATGGATTTCTTGTTTGGAAAGGATAGCACAACATCCTGAATTTGAAAAGGAACTGGCCTTTCTAAAAGGATATCGAAAAGAATTAACCAAACAAACAAAGGTCGACGAATTACCATCTGTGACCTTAGAACCTGATGGAAGAAAAAGTTGTTTTATTCCAGGTACGACAAGTTTATTAACACATTTAAAAATCAACGGTTTTATAAAATTAGATATCTGTAAAATTGAACTATGCATAACTCATAACAAAACGAATTTTGTTACCATTTAAATTTTAAACCTATTAAGTCGCATACGTGTGAATCATCTTGACGATGTTACCAATCGCGTCTACCAACTCCACATTGTCCATATCTTCATTCTTTTGACATTTTCTCTCCAAATCATGCAAAACTCCTTTCAACTGTTTTGCAAGTTTTTTGTTGCAGTCTTCAAGTCCATTCTCCAACAATGTTAAAGCCTAAAGTACAAGTTTGAATGTAATCGTTTATTTAAGTGCATCAAATGTATTTAACTGTTAATTAGGGAATTTTAAAATATTCACCTGAACCATATCGCTCGTTGCTGACTCGACACTTGTCTTAATGTTATTAATTTCTTCCGTCGTCGTTTTCGTCTTTTTGATGAAACTTTCAAACATTTTCGTGAAGAATGTCATCTAAAATAATTCCAGAAAATGGTCACATTTTATCAAATCGTTAACTAACTCTCTAGCTTACACTTTTCTCTGTGCGAGATTCCAAGCCTTCCAACTGCTTTTCAAAATTTTCCAATGCATTCTCATACTTTTTATACTGCTCCATCCGTAATTTCGCTTGCAACTGCTCCAATTTCTGTAGATTCTCAACTTCAATTGATTGCACTGAAAAAAATATACAAACTATAACTTCTTTCGCCCTATTTTCGCATAATAAAATGCCACTTACTCATATATTTTCACTTGGATGAAAAATTACTACCCCAACAACGCACTTGATCCCTGAATCAAACCGCTTATTTTTCTTCAGAAATTCGAAAAATTTGAAAATAGTAGTTGCAAACAAGTTTTGACGGACACACATTCGGATGGGCTCTAGAAATGAAATGGCTACATTTGGTAGAAAAATGAGTGAAAAAAACACCAAAACAGTTGAGTCCAGTGGTCAATGACCTTTGGCTGGGCAAGTGGGTCAGTCAACCTGACTCACTCGAGGGAAAAATAATATCAATTTAACTAAAGCAAATGATGTTTTTATGATCATTAATTTTAATTAACTATGCTTTTCCATTGAAATTGCAGTGTGCATGAAGAAATCTGCTCGAGGCGAAGTGAAGGTGACCCTTCCAGGGACGGGTCGCTTTAACATCAACAACGGCCAAGGGCTAGAATACTTTACAATGACCCAGTCGAGGGAAGTGGTCCTCACCCCTCTCCAGCTAGCCGGCTGGTTGGGAAAGGTCGACGTGGACGCTTACGTTCAAGGGGGCACGGAATTCGCAGAGCATCAATCATATGGTGGAGAAGCGTCTCGAGCAGCTTGTCTACGGTGGGGAATTTCGACAGCGATTGCAGCCTTAGGTAAGTAGATAAGGATTTAAAGAAGGTTAATGATAATTATATAGCACGTTTGTCTTGGGATGCAGGTGCGGACGCAGAGAGGTTGAGATTGGCCGGTTTGTTGGTTCGAGACCATAGACAACGCGAGAGGCAAAAGTGTGGTCATGATGGTGCAAGAGCGAAATGGACGTGGAAGAAACGATAAAATTTTTGAACTGCAACATTTTAGTCACATATATCTAGTTAAGTATTATTGTTTTGTTATACATATATATTCATAGTTTGTTGTTTGTTAACCTTCAGTCGAGTTGCAAAATAAAACGGCGTGCTCAAGATTAAATTAAATAAGTGAGGAAGTTAAAAAATGCAATATGTAACTGTGAATTTAGGATGCACCGTGATGACCATGCTTTGCTCACGCAAACTCTGATTTTGATGAGTTCTCATACTTCAGGGATTTTAATTAAATACATATCTCCAACTAGTAATTTTGTAATTAATGGAGGTGTGGTGACAAGAGGTTTGATATGGACCAAACCTTGTGAATTTTCCCACGTCATGGAGTGCAAATACATGAGCTTATAACTAATGCACAAAACCTCAACCTTTACTCATGTTTGCTCGCAATTTGTTAATTTTCAACAACAATAAAAGCAATATTATTTATTGCCCGATTGTTGTTGATCTAACCATGCATTAAATGTAATCCTTAATCCTCGTTCCTCGATGGATTAGTGTCAAATTATCGCATGCAAATCAAAATATTTTTTAGTTCATTGTCAATAATAATGCTGAAAAACATACGGATTTATTGCTCATTATTTGTACAACCTGATCAGTTAGGAAAGTTACAAACAGATCCCTTGGCATCAGAACATACAAATATTTCTGCACGTGCAATTTCAGGGTTTCCATCAATTATTACAGAATGTTATTCATTACGTTATGTAATTTACATATGCACCCGACGGATCCATTCTGAATTGAATACAAGATTGTTGCTCATACATACTACCAACACTATTATCATTATTTTACTACCGAAGCGAAGTTACATACTTGTCGCCTGGCTAGATATGTAAGGTACCAGATGCCAGTTCATGTGCCTTCTGCAAAATAACGATTACAAGGACCATCGCCTTTTTTCACCACTCTTTGTTTAAAAGTCTCAGCAAATAAAACCAATTAAATTAAGTGACCGCCGCCCACCATTCACAAGTCCCAAGTTTGGTTTCTCAAAACTTGTCAGCTATTTTGCTGGATTTACATATGATTACTCATTTCCGTGAATGGGCAGGAGACAATAAAACACCAAATCAATCAATGTTTAATTGAGCGTGATACAAATGTATGTACCATGTGTAAATGTATCGACAGTTCTTTTAAGTATGGGAAATGACCTCATGAGACGACTGGCAAGATTGGAAGTACTCCAAACCACATAAATCCATCATTTTTTACTTCTTTTTTTATATAACAGATCACCTTCTTCTTATCGTCATTCATTTATTCAGTGTCGCATTAAATAAATACGAACAATAAGAGACACATGTATGTAGTCTCTTATTGTTATTACTTCCGGAATTTTGACGATTTTTGCCTGTCTGAGTGCAACCATTACGTATTTGTATTTGTTCTCAAATGTATCCCCATGAACCGTATTCTTCTCGATTCACGAAAAAAAAACTACAAAGCAAACTTAAGACTAGAAGTGGGTGCAGAAATAGCCGATGAAATAAATCTGTCCTGTGGAAATAGAAAGGCTATAAAACATTCTTTTGTGTTGAGGAAAAAATCTTTTAGGTTAGAAAATGGGTTGGTCTGGGGAAGTGCGACAAGAAGAAACATTCGCAAGGCCAACCGACCATGATGCACAAACGGCCCATCAAGCAGTTCAAAAACAAGGCTTTCAAAGACGAAGAATCCGTTACAATTTTACGAAGCTATTCCATGTGCTTTCGAGTAACGCAAAAAAATGCTGGAAATTTTAGGATGTGTGTTACATAAACATTACAATTATCTCCCTCTTATTACATTTTCAAGAAAATAAAAAGGGGGTTGATGCATTCTTTGATGTGTATGGACACATATTGATGGGAATGACCATGATTTTTATTATGAAGGAGCGAGCACGTTGCCAAACGCATTAAGCAACAAGCAAGCTAAAGACAGCAAGGCCACGGTCATGGAAGATACAGCATAATGGTTGGGACAAACGGAAACAGAATTCAACATCCACCAACACAAAAGCGGGAATTAAACTAGGGAGGGAGGGATATGCAGCTCTGTTAGCCAAGACCAAGAAGACATTGTCCATCCTCCATGAAGACGTTTGTGCCAGGTTCCTGTCAGTCTTCTGTTACGGTTAGATGACCCCGGATTGATGGAACGTTATGGTCCAGATCCAATGTTATGATCATACCCCGGAAAAATATTTTTTTATCCTACCCTACTCATGTTGAGCTCAACACGAGTAGGGTAGGATAAAAAAATATTTGTCCGGGGTATGGTTATGATGGACAATTTCGTTTAAAGACAAGCATCCCATTTTCCTCTGGGAAGTTATTAAACGTGGTTTTACAATATGCGACAAGTTCATGTACCTTTTCCTCCTATTTGACGATTCAATTAGACTTGGCACCCCCACGGGAAGCCGTTCTTCTCTTCTTGTTACAACAACTCTAAAGTAATTTTACGACCGACCGCACCTCGGACTCACCACACGACTCCTGATTATTGCCGTGTTTTGTGGTTGAAGTAACAGCAGTACGCTAACTTGATTTGATGTTCAGCCGTGTCCAACTCTCCAAATTATTAGCTTTCTCAAAACCAACCTCCTTGGGACACTTTTTGTGTATTTTGTAAAATTATTCCCTCAACAAAGCTGAGAATTTTCTCCGAAATTGAAATAAAGGTGAAGTCACGTCAACAGATTTTCTCTCTGTTCCCCATCCGTCTTTGATTTCATAGTAGAAAGCTTTTAGCTTTTTGTTTAATCTTGACCCAATCTTGGTCTTCTTGGTTTGTGATTCCATCGCAAATCCCATCGTTACTTCTTCTAAACCTTGACTTGCAGTGTCATTCCTTCTTCCTTACTGACTTTCCCTCCTCCTCGTCGCATATTCCTGTTTGGGACTCAACCTCTCGTCATTCTCTTGCAGGAGAGAGAAAGCAGGGGAGAAAGTGGGAAGTAAATCGTCTTATTCTTCTCACAGGAATTACTTTCGCCATGTCTCCACCGACCGACGACTTGACTTGAATGCGTAGCACGGTTCCATATTGTGGTTTACTTGGTTTTCGTACCGTTTTGGTGCAGTGAATCGTGTTGCGACTAAGCTAAGAGTTGGTTGGGATGTGTTAGTTGTGTGTGTCCTCCTCCCTCCTTTTCCCATCCCGGATTCGGCAACTCGGGCATTTCGTGGATGTAAGCATGAAATTGAGCTGGGACCACTGCCACTGGCTTGGTTGGTCTTTTATGCGAGGAGGATTCTCACAGAGGAAGTAAGGCCAGACAAGTGAAGGAATTCCGTTTCGGACAAGTCTCACAAGACTCAGTTGCTGTTTGGGAGTTGGGGCAAACTAAACTGACTAAACTGGTCCTGTTAAAATCCAGCCCTTGACCATCGTTTGTTTGTACATATGAAACTTTTACTTTAGTCATACATACTTCATACGAGTTGTAAATTTGAGACATGCAGTATTTATTCAGTTCAGTCCCAGCAGTTCTGCATGTCAAGTTAAAGTAGGAGGCTCTCTCATTCATGGTGTGAAAAATAATAGCACTAAACTTGCTTATAATTCCGTTCACACAGCGTACGTCAACTTATTCCATTATTATTGCGAAGAGCTGCGTTACAGTGTGCAAACAAAGTGTTGAGGACACGGCGTTCGTTGTGATGAGAATGTTGTGACTAGTTTAAATTGTGATAGATTAGTTGCAATCCAGTGTGTGAGTTGGTCGGTGAGACAAGGCTGATTGATCCTCTGTGCGAATTTCACTGCTGGAAGAATCTATCCAAAGTTTTAATATATTACATATGTACACTTTTTCTACCCGATATTACGAAAAGGTGACAAATTGAGACTGTAAATACGCTGCTGGACAGAAAGTCTCATTTTTTTTCGGTGGAGTGAAATCTAACATAATTTTGTTTATTTATTGTGTTATCTTAATTAATTAGACACAATTTGGACAAATTTGCATAAAACCTTGACCCAAGTGGTTTGCATGTGATTTTTTTGTCTTGTTTACAAATAAAAATCTACTTATCTACTTTGCTGACTGGTTGTGACCAGTAGTTGTGATAGTGAATCAATATCTGATAAACAAATCAAGCCAAGATTACACACACACATGAAGAAGTAACATCCATTAAATATTGTGTACATGTAGGATTAGCATTAAGTCACTCTGATTACGATGTAGTCGTCTCTTTTAAGAGTAAAGCGGCGGAATTATTATTGAGCTGTAGTCTCTTGTGAGTACATGACTTTTGGGTATTATTAATCCATCAAAATGCTTGTTTGCAGATTTTATCTTGTATGAATTATTTAAGATTGAATGTCAAAATGTGATTGAATTTGTGCCGAAGAAAGAAACGCCTCGTGGTAGAATAAATTAGTCATGCAATGTATATAGTTAAAAATAAGAGAGGCAAATATTTAGTATTCTGCATGTAATATTATTAAAAATGTCGAAAACCTGTTGAAGTCAAGGTGGGATTGATGTGTGATTGTGTGCAAATTTAAATCTGCGGAAAATAGAACAAATTGTGTAGTATAATACGTAGTATATTGTATCATAGTTGCCCAAATATCTAAATCCATAACAGAGAATATTAAAGCCAACACATTTTGACAAGACATACATAAAGTACATAAAATATGAAATATCCGTGCAACATGGTGCTGTAGATAATGATAGCATCGGCTAATTAACATTAAACAATAGTTTGGCAATATGACACCACTTTTTGAAACATGATTCTTCTCAAATGCGTTGGATCTGAATATGTATCCAAAGTTTTAACAAAGTAGTTGTCTCGTCGGTCTGAATCATCTCGGTCAGCAAAGTTTCGTCTGGATTTTTAGCAAAACTCTGCGTCTGCCTGCATACATATTACAATAAATCTACTGGATACCTATCAAAGTACAGTACCTAAACATTTATCAAAATTTTAATATTTAAATAAATACTATAAAAAAAGACGCATGCGACAAAGTGATACTTGATAAAATCATCGTCCTTGAACTTTGAAGATGAATCTCTCTAAGAACGTAAATGTTCTAAAGATCCTGTTCTCTCTTTATTTTATGACGAAATATATCCAATACCTGTTTAATTTAATTAGCGTTAATCATTAAAATGCATACTTAATCGGTTCAAATTATCAAATTACCAGACATCTACTTATTTTGAAGAAGAATGTGAAATACTTACAAAAACAGGCTAAATCTTATGTATAAAGCTGAACAAAGACATTAAAGCAGTAGGGAAGACAAAAATTTACAACTTTTTTTTACCCCAAAGAATTTGTCAGGCTTAATTTTATTTATGAATGCAATAAATAAGGATTAGTTTCTCCATGATTTTTCCTTCGCAAACTATGCAAATAAATACCATGTTAAAAGTTTACAAAAGCACGGAAAACTTGTCGGCCGGCGTAAAATTAAAATAAATAATATTCTAATAAAAAGAAAAACACACAAATTTTATAATTACGAAACTCTCAGTGAAGATAAGATGTATCCTGATAAGCCCAGATTTACTATAGAAAAATTCATTGGCACACGAGTTGACCGTCACCTTCACGGCAAAAAATTTGAGAAAAGTTTTCACATACACTGTCGTCGATTAAGCGGAATTCTTCCCATATTCCATCAGATTAAGAGATGAGAAAAATCCAATCCACTTGTGCAGTAAAATGTGCTAAGATTAAGCAATAAATCTAAATCTATCAATAATAAAAGTTGTTCACGCTGCGAATTCGTGTCGGCAATATAATAATAATAAAATACATAAATCACACCTTTACTCAGAATCAAGATCGAATAATATTCAACACTTTGACCATGACCACCTATACGAGTCCTTCAGGTGAGATAAGTTCTCTAATTAGTTGAAAAGTATGTTTAGAACAAAAATTACAAACTAGGTAAATATTTTGTGGGAGTGACAACCAATGCAATTTCAACGCCAAACTCGAAGATCATGAACTGTCGAATCAGTCCCCATGACTCGTTGTCAAAGTGTTTGGTCATCGTCATCTTATTCAAGCAGTAGGGGTGAAATTTTGCAAACTTCGGGTGGAATGGATTTTTTAGTCGGAGGAGATACGCAATAAGTAAGCTAACATGGAGGTGGGCTTCCATTTTAAGGAGGTCCTTTCTAGGCACGGATGATAGTGGTATGCAGGTCGTTTTGCCATATATTTTCTCGTACTGCGCGACGGTGTCATGAATGTTTTTCGCGGCGTGTGAATTAGGATTATCAGAAACGGTTTGACCTCCATACAATACTTGATGATCAGTGCGTATGTACAACGCAGCGTGAGTCTTGTCAATTAATGATTTAATTGTGTCGTCCTCCATTGCTTTTCGTCCAAATGGGAATGGATTCCTCTGATTTTGGGATTTTTCTCTGCAAATTGAGATCACCTTGAGTTGGATACCTCGTTTTGACAATTCTTCTAAAAGCTGGCGTTCCTGTCCGACTACAAAACTGACGGAAGCGGTGGTACACTTGAAATCCGTGTCAAAAAACATTTCGAATAAGCTTGCAGTTTGGAGAATTGACAAGCGGATTTCTGCTTCTGACTGTGACACGAAGAACTCTCTATTTTCTTTGGCTTCTGTTCCGGGTGGTCTACTAATCCGACCCTGATGGGCAAAAGTTCTTTCCAGATGACGGACCTTGGTGTCCTCATCTTCATATTTGAAGGAAACCAGGGCATATCCTACACCCTTAAGGCTGACTTCTCTTTTTACAAATTCGAGCACTGCAAATCCGACATTTTCACCGAGGTGCGAGAGGCACTTTGGAAATTCTTCCTCCGCAAGAGTTCCAGAGTAGGAGTAGCAGTCTACGATATGAATTTAACTCTTAATTTTGATGACTAAAACATGTATATATATAAATTAATTACCGTCATATGTGCATAATGGGTAATCCCTAGTCTTGTCAGCATCGCGTGTGATAAACAATAAATCCCAGGGGCGTGCGATCCCTTGTCCCCAACCTTTCCCCACAGCTAACTTCCACGTAAACTTCATATCCGTCCCTTCAATCTCCACCCCTTCATCACCATAAGCTTGAATTAGCTCTTCAGCTTGGAGTCGTTCCGTGGGAGTCAATGGAACAGAGTCGAATGGAATGGGTGGAACTGGTTCATCGTCGTCCGACAAGGCTTCGATATCGTCATACAGGAAATTGCGAGGTTTTTCTTCTTCTGGCAACTGTCTAACGAGCCCATAAAATGCCCCTTTTAAGATTAGTTGTCCTGTAATTTTCATTAAACTTTATTTAAACCAACACATTAATTGTAATTTTGTTTATCAATACCTGATGATTCTGAATGTCTTGAATATCCATATCCCTCCTCCGAGAAATTCGAGCGAATCGTTACTTTACAAAAGTCTGGAACATCCTGTTGTCGAATAAAAATACCCCGTCTTTGCTCAGGGACAGCTTGTCCTCCTACTTTGATGATACTCATTTCAATAAAGTATCAGAATAATAATTATTCGTATTTTTGCAAAAAATCCGAATGTCAACAAACGAATATTCTCGCGTGCTGGGTGGATTATGAAAAGTGAAATTTAAATAAAATCAGACGCATTTTCCCAATCTCGACGTTCAAGTCTCATAATTTTTTTATTTGTATATATTGGTCTTTGTCCACAGGTATGCATTTCCCTTCGGAGTCGACGATGACGAAGACGACGGTGAACTATGATGGCGTAACCACCTACGAAATCCGATTCGAGAGAAAAAAGTAAGTCTGTGTATATACATTTTCATGTTACATAAATATGAATGCAGAGTGTTTTACTCGAGTCAAAAGTTTGATAGATACGGAAATTGCATAAGGAAATGGATGTAAGAGAGTAAAAATAGTGCATGTAAAACAACATGCAACCTATGAATGAACTTGAAATATGTAAGAAACGCAAGAAATCAATCTTTTATTTTAAGAGAAACATTGACCATCATTCGTGTCGATTTGTGACAATGACAAATTTTCCGGTAAGGTCATTTACAGCCAAAGGCCGAATTATGGTCGGAAACTTGTACATATATTTGATTGACTCTCCATGGTTTAATGTACCCGTGTGTTTTACGACTCTTAAGCGGAATGTGATATGTGATGTATGTACATATTCTGCGGAAATGCTTAATAACTCGAGAGCGAGCGGCTTTAAAGAGTGGATGCATTTTAGTTCATGTATGTAGTACAAAGTGGTATGGAAGGATTTTGAGACTGTGACTGACTTTAACTCAAACACATCCACGAAATAGCAATATTACGACGAGTGAATGTTTTCTCGCTGGTTAAACTCAAATGAAACGCATGGATTGACTGCTCAAATCCAAAATATAAACACATGTGCTGTGCATATCATTACCCTTAATTTTAACTTAAGCACATGCACATATCCTCGAAAACCTTGCATAAATGAAGGTCGCATATTACTTATATTTTCTTGGTTTTAAGTTTCAGACACTCAATAAAATGGTGAACGAACGTTATTTATTTATATGCAAGCCACGCACTTTAACGCTACATTACTTACAACCAAAAGTTTATGGGGCCTACCTGCGGTGGAAGTACAAAATTTGTAATAAAAACGAAACACGGATATTATTCCTTCCTTCGTTAACAAGTAGAAATAATATGGTAGCACGCAACAAATTGTACAATACCCGGTCAAATTTTGACCTCCCGTATTACTTATTATCATCATTTATTTACAAGAGAAACCGTGAAATTATGATCGTTTCCATCTTACTGTCACATAAACCATGGAGCACTTTTGTACTCGTGTACGTGCCGATACTTCCGGCCGCAAAATGCACAGAGAGCTTTTAATATTAAGCGTTTCTCCACTAATATCTATGTAACTGGATGATGAGTTTCTGTCCATGTGATATCTCGCAGTTTGAGTCTATCTGACTTTTTTCTTTCGTTCGTACCCCATGTTTGTGTGTACTTCACGCATAAATTTCATTAGATAATAAGCATTACAAGTTTATTTGGATAAGAATATTTTTAGGCTAAAACTTTTCTCAGTTTATGAATCCCATTTATCATTCAGAAGAAGAGTGAACTTGTACATTTGCACAAATGCAATGATGATAAGTGGTTGAGAGGAGGCTTTCATCCTCAACAAACAAGGGAAGAAAAGTGGATCAACCTCTGATGACGACGTTTTTTTTCTAAAATATCAAATTACTTGATGAAAAATATTATGCAAAATTATTGTTATTCTCCCAGCGTTACTGACGACGTTAGCGTGTCAATAAACCGAGGTTAATACATGCAAACGAAGGAATATTTAGGTATGTGTACTTATGAATGGACGAAGGCACGCTGACTATTTTTTTGTCCTTGTACTTTTACTAATTTAGTCAACGCGAGGGAGACATTATTATGGGATGCGATTTGCACTAATGGCTAGACCATTACTGCGCTAACTCATGCCATACATTACTTATGAAATAATATGGAGGATCAATTAACAAATTGTACGTGTATAGATCTTAATATTAGGTTCACCGGTGGGTATCACGGATGGTGTGTGCAATATGTTTTCAGCGTAAACATACTAATCGTTCTTTGAATGCAATATCCTGATCATCTCGCGAGCTCCTTTTCCAGCTCGTTTAATTTGAGTAGATCCATTCCATTCTGTATGCGACCACACCACACATTTATGAAATTAGTTTGTTTTCCTTTCACCATCCAGGTAGAGATCAATTTAGGGCAAATTTGGCTCAGTAAATCTTGCCAAAAGTGAGGAAGCAGACGTTAATAACAACGTTAACGCTATATCGTTGTCTGATTTGACAACGCGTTAACCGAATCATGTGCACATTTAGGACAAGTACAAAGTGTTTTGGTAATTACGTACCATATCAGGACTAATGGGAACTTGTTTTATTTTCTGGAAACATAGTGTCGAAAATACTTTGAAAAAGTTTTGACCTCTGATTTTTTTTACACATTTGTGCGTAAAATCCGATGCATCATATTGTTAGGTAAGTAGCCGACATAAATAAAATGGGAAACTTATGGTGTGCATATCCTTCCAGGAAATGTGTTGAAAAATAATATGTATCAACGTTTTCATGCTCGTCATGCTGAGGTATTGACAATATCACAATATGTACATACATATTGCTAACATGTGTGTGGTCATCGATACCAAAAAGTTTGCGGACAGTCCCATTTATGTACATATGACCAGTCCACCACCATAATTCGCACAAAACTCTCTGCAACCCGATCAAATAAACATTAATAACAATTTGCGAGGGTTGTATGGATACATATATTCGAGAGACGGGTAAGGAATAAATGCCAAAAATTGATATAAGGTCAGAATAACCACTGGTGTAACTGGTGGAGGAGTGTGTATCTCCTATTTCCACCACGCTCTCACCCCCACGCTAAACACGACCACTACCACAATGACCAGGAGCAGAATTGATTTTGGTATTAGTCTTCCTTTATCTAAATCATTATTCAATCCAACCAAACTCTCCAACTCCATCATAGAAACGAGCATAGAAAAAGAAACTAGCAGGACCTGGATCGTTGGCTTTGCAGATTAGTTTTTTCCCAAAACTAGTTACTCTCTTGTTTCTTCCAGTCTGTGTGACTAATAGAAATAGAATTAGTGTGTTTCGTAATACGAGTTGTGGTTGGTGCCTGGTGCTACAAAAAAAAGTAATTGTTAACTTATCTTTTTCTGAGGTTATGACTAGTTTTACAAATGAAGCGTCGATAAATAAATCCCCTTCTGCCATTTTTCTGGAATGGAACATTCGTAGAAAAGGGAGAGACTTGGATAGTTCATGACAGAATTTGACTAACTGAACATAACTGTGCACCAATCTGTTATTTATTTATAAGAAATATAATAGTTTAGAATTATGATTTAGGTGTCGTGCTGTGTCAATTAAACTAATTTTTGTTAAAAGTGTCACTCAACTAACTAATTTATCTGTAAAACGTCTCCTGTCAAGAGTAGTAGGAAGTCGTGGTCGTGCTTAGAATGAGGTCTTACTCTTAACAGAAATGGAGATTATGCATTTTACGCATTAGTTGACTTTCACCCGGAACATACTTGCAAAACAATGAATTATTCTCACAACATCAACCGTCCTTGTTGACGTAAGTAGAACAATGTTTTAATTAACTTTTGCATTTTGTGTGAGAAATGCGAATTTTTTTTGTGTCTAGCCGAATAAAAGTTCCCTCGACTAAAAATAGATTCCACTTTCACTCGTTAGTTATACAACTTAAAAGGAAGTCGTACATGTTCGCAAAAAATAGGACACTACAGTTTTTTTTGGAAAAAGTGAAAGTTGGTTCAAAGGGAATAATAAAGAACGAAATCTTTTACGTAGTCACGTCACAAGTAAAATGCGATGCTTTTCATATCGTCGATTGTGAAAGTGTGAATTATTTAGAAAGAAAGTGTGGGTGTCAGTGCGAGTTTGTTGCATTCGGTAAAAAGTTCAAGTAGTTCTTGTCGTTTTCATTCATAAAAATGATACACGATTGCCACCCACTTTTTTACATGTTATTTGACTCCTGTTACAAAAATCCTGCAAAAATTAACAGACTAATCACGCGTCGGATCCATTTTATATGTAAGTAAAAATTTATCCTGCAATCAGCCCGTCTCACTTTGACCATGAAACTATAGTTTTCGGATTGAATTGATATTCATGGCTTGCGATAAGTTTGAAACTGAAGTTGGCCGTATTTGTATGAGGAATTTTATGAGGGGTATAAAACCGCGGTGAAGGTGAACTAACCATGAGAATAGAATGTGAAGGAACATTATTAAGTAATGGTGAATCCGTTTTTAGGTGGATTACCGTTAGATTCAGAAGAATAGAAAATCGACAGGATGGAAATGGAATGAGTATTTTCACTGCAAATAAATTCTCATAAATTTTGATCAAATGTCCCCCCACTATTTTTGTTACTGGGCTTTTGCATTGTCATTGAACTCTTGACACTGCTCCGACCTATTTATTAGGTTTAGAACCCTATTGGATATTTGCATTGTCAGCAACTTATTGGACCTCCTTACATCATGCTTTCTCTTAAAGGGGAAAGTTGTAGATTTCGGAAAAGTTGAATACTGCATGATTTCGTGAAGGTTAGGACCTTGGTTATTGGAAGTTTTGGTTCAACTTTATTATTGTGCAAGGTCTATAGAAATTTCGGCCGCATTGTGTGATCCCAAAGTACAAAAGAGTTTCAGTGTTCGTTCACTTGCTTTCTTTGGGCGACACGCTCATCATTAAATGTTCACATATCAGCCGGCTTAGAGATGACAGGCAGGCTGAGATTTACCAAAAAAAATGTCCAAAAGTTATTATGCACTTGGGAAAAGTTTTTAGTCACATTTTGTTAACTTTATTAAGACCCTTTTCTAATTATTTTTCTGTTTGTTGTGTCAACCACTGCAAAAATTTGATAAAGAGTAACAACCTCTTATTGCTAGTTTTGCGCTGAATTTTAATGATGAATACGTTATTACAGTATATGATTTATTATTTTTGTACCTAAACAGCATATTCCACGAAGAAGTTTTTGCCAAAATTTTAAGAGCGTAGTAGTGAGCTCTTAGTGAGAAAAGGTGGAGCAAAAACCTTGGAATTATTAGAATCATAAATTTACGACGTCCATCAGCAACACCATTACATAAGCTGATGACTGACACTGAAGTGTCTGACTGGGGGAAACTTGGAAATAATAAAAAACAAATTGGATTTTGTATAACTTGCCGTAAAATATTTTGGTTTCGGGGATTAAATCGTCACTGATTATGAAGGGATGCATGCATGCAATTCGAAATTGGTCGTAAATTTTCGTAATTTGTCGAACAACCAACTTGCCACGTGAGACATTCATGTGATTAACCCTGAACTAGGCTGCTCCCAATTATTGAAAAATAATGTACCAATCGGTAAATTGGGATATTAAACTTGACTTATGTTCCGTCACACAAAAATACATCTGAATTATGTCGTAAGTGTACAAGTCAACTTCGAATCGGTTTAAGACTCTGGTGGTAAATTTACCCTTGTTCCTGCATCTTGTTAACAATTCTGTTCACTAAATCTATTTCAGACGGAAACGGCCTGGGAAAGGTTTATGGCTCCAATCAGGTAAGTTTATTGTCTATAAAAACGAAATGCTTTCCGACTCCGTCTTGTGTCAGTTAATAATAATTTTAATTTCAATCAGTTCGACGAATTGCGTCTCAAAGAAATCTCCAGCTTCAGCAGAATATGATCCCAGAGGTAATTTATTTTTTTATTAGTCTAAACTGCCAATTTCTGGCATGGTTTTTGCCACAGATAATGAACCCATCATCGTTTTATTATGTACGCATGCAAATATTATTCTGCCAAGAATTGCTTTTTACCATGTCAAAACCAGTAAATATTTTATGAGTGAAAGCAAAGTGAAAGCATTACCATTTTTTCCCTTCCAGGAGGATAAACTCGAAGAAGCAACAACATCTTTCACCGGAATTAGCGATCCCAACTGCAACCCAACCTGGGGTCAAGCTACCCCTCTCATGACTTCCATTGACTCGGCGGATCATCGTCGCAACTCAACAATGCCGTCGACCCAAGATGCATCCGCGATCCCTCCTGCCGAAAACGCCGGTGGTGGTGGTGGCAGTGGCCAAGGTTCCCCAAAGACAAATCCTGACAGAGGTGGAGACGAGTCAGGGATGGAAAGTGATACTCTGACGTACAGGGGCATTTATCTTCCCACGCTTACTAATAGATTCAGCGACAAAAAGCTGGAAACCGCGTACGAGCGGTATGCTTGTAGACAGGTAAAAATACACAAGTAAATTGATATGCTCGGCATTTTTGTTACCAGGAAAATTGAAGCTAATCTCGCTATGCTAATAATTATTCATATTATTTTTAATCTTGTGCAAAAAAAACTAAAGAAATGTAAACATTGAACGACACAGTCAGGGTAAACCCAGTTGAGCTAATAACCACTGAGGCTGCTGCTGGTGGTGGTAGTTGTGTATGTAGAGAAAGTTTATCTTGTGCTTGTCTCGTGTAATCCCCGTATTGGAGAAAGCAGACTAGAATAAATCCTGTCTTACGACCGATAAATTTCCTCCAGAATCTCACCTACCCCCATAAAATGTAAATTATACCTGCTACACACATTATATTCTACGGGTTTGTGGAATGGTTCAAATATTCATGTGAAATTTGCACTGCGTGTGTTCTGACTTAATTCGCAATAGTGCGAACCTCAGCAGTGAAAGCCAAAATGATAGGACAGTCTCAGAAAGTGTGAGACGGGATAAGAAATGAGATACATATTTTTCGCACAATGTGCTAAGCAGGACTTAATAGTATTCTGATCATGCTCTGCTTTAATCGCAAAGAGAAAGCGGGGAAACTGATCAAATAAGTAATTTCGTGATAGGTAGGCAAACTTTCTCCAAATTTTAGAAAGTCTTCTATTTAGATCGTATATAAAAAAAAATGTGAGATATTTTTAGAATTTTCCAAAAATATGGCGTTTGGCACATTTTGAGAATTGTACGATTTTTTAACCCACTTTTTCCACAAAGTTTCCACAGGAAAGCCATCAAGAAATGAACTTATCATGTTTGTTCTCATTATTTCAGCTGCAAGAATCCCTCTGCACTCTCAACTTTATCGATTTGCTGATCAAAGTGGTCACCCTAGTCCTGACTTATTACCTAAGTGGTGGAGAAAGCAGTGCGGCCAGAAGAGACACCACGGTCGGTCCACCCGTATCTGTTTTAAGTGGGGGGCGAAACGGGGGATTTGGCTTGGTTGGAGGATGTGATAATTTTAGCAGTGCACGCTTAAGTGACAATGTGACAGAGCTGAGTACGGAATATGAGAACCGTGTGAGCGAGCTAATTGTTTGGACGGGGGTTGGAGCGTCGGCAAACATTTTGCTCATCGCTCTCGCTTTTTGGGTCCGATTCGCTAATTTGTATTTACACTGGGGAGCTTTAGCGACATGGTGTCTGCTCTTTTTGCAAGGTAAAACCAACCAATTTTCCATTTACTAATGTGCAAATATCAGTAATCCGACATGACTGGTTGACACACAAGATGCGATGATCCTAATTGATATAATTCTCGATACGAGGAAAAAGAGGACAATCGCCTCACGTTCAACTCCCATTTCATTGATTATTCATAATAATGCTTCCATTTTGAAGTGGAATTTGATTTATTTTGTAAAACATGGTTAACTACTTCCATCCATCTTTTATGCATGAATGGAAGGAAGAACCTCTTTTCCAACAGCGTTCTTTAATAAATCACACCCACCCACCCACATGCTGCACGTCCGTCCGTACATACAGGCAGGCACCTCATAACCAAGTCGTTTTATTCTCGGTCGAGATAGATCACGCGGACCGGATAACAAAAACGTATCTGTATAAAAGTTCATGTTTTTCAGAAAAATGTTGAAAGCAAACGTTCACCCCGCAAGTCGAAGTCGTCTAGGATAGCCGGTTGTACTTGCAAGCAAACCATGTTCAGCCCAGATTATTTTTTGGCCATTCTGGTGCGAAAAAGAAACTCTTAAGAAACAATATTTAATCCGGCATTTGTGCAGATGCAAAAAATTCTGCAAATTTTATGCGCCGCAGTTAGCAAAAACGTTTAACTGCTGTCGCAAGGCACATATTCTGCAGGAGAACCGAGAGTTTTCGCGAACTTGCGGCGCCCCAAACTTGCTTAATTTTTCGCATCTGCCCAATAGCTGCACTAAATATTGCCTCTACCTAGTTCCTCTTCAAACTAACGTGATCAAAAAATAATCTGGGTTGAACATGGTTTGCGTCCCCATTTTTAGTAGTCGGATGTTTGTACATACCAGAAGGTTGAATGAAAGCGAAAGAAGAATTAATAGAAATTTGGATTTCAAAGGAGTTTGAAAAAGTATCTCATTTTCTTCTATTTTCCGCCCGAAAGTACAGAACAGAACAGAGGGTTGAATGTCTGATGGAATGTATGTATGTGTAGCAGTCAACATAAGTAAAAAACCATTTATTTCCGCATTAGTAACAGACAGCAGTTGCATATGTCTTCTTTTCTGCATGTGTTCTTCTTCTTCTGGTGAAGAAATCAATTCTGCTACGTTGAGTTCTTCTGTCTGTTCGTGACGAACGGACAGAAATGACTGACGTTATATGTTGCATTATTCGTTATTTGAAACGCGTCAAGTTGTCTGCTGCCAAGGTTGACGACAACACAAACTCAATATTTATAAATGTTTGGTAACAATGCGGAAAACAAAAGTGTATGTGCTCCACTTGAACAGAAAAATTATTATTTTCGGCTGCAATTCCCTGCAGAATATTTCTCTAATTTTGGCGAAATCGCCCTCTTATCGCTACACAATTGCACTAAACGAACCAATAACCACAAGACTACTTTAGCTTTCATTGCAAATTATCAGATTCTATTGCAGCAGAAATGTATATAGCGTTGAGTGGCATGGCTTGACTGATATGAAACATGGATTTGAAATTAGTGTGATTACACGTCAGCAATGCACACCAGTTTTCCAGGAAACGTGAAGATGGTTTGAAGTAGCATGCAATTTATGTAATTTCGTACTAAGAATATGATTTCAAAATAAGAGACAATCCAGTAGTCAGAAACTTTCATCACAAATTCTGCTACTGGGTAGAAAGTGATTTCGAAATGAAAGTCCTCGAAATTAAACAAGTTCTTCTTACGTAACTTGCCCAGAATATGGGATAACGTCCGTCTGGTCTTCCCGTATTCCTTGTGAACCTTGTTTGCTGGTACATGCATAATACCCTCGTTGCAATTTCGCGTGGGTGTTGCAATGCAGTCCTTCCAATAATGCGATTTTACAGTTGTTGACTCCGCCTTTAGTGCCAAAATTTCGTTAAAAATGTGACGTTTCTACAATTTACAGGTTTCATCGGCATTATTCTCAAGATTAACAACCCCTCTGCAGTATTTTGGTACATCCTATTCTCAATCTTTGTCACATATACGATGCTACCGATGCCCTTGTGGTAAGTCGCTTTTTATTGTTGCAATTTGTACATGCTGCTAAAGATAATCTCAAAAATCGAGAGTGAAAGTGGATGGAAAAATTATGATGATGCCGCCCTGTTGTTCTTTTTCCCTCGTGCTGCACCCACCCAAATGCAATCGCTAAACGCTTAAGTATTCCCTCAACAACCAAACCACCCAGACCCATCTCCAAACCATTAGTTTAACGGTGGAGAAAATATCTTTTTATTGAAAAGGAGTGCCATTAGTCGTACTTGGATTTGGAACGAGAGTGCAATAATATTCCAACGCCATTTGTACCCTTGTCACAGAATTTAGCAGCCACAGCTGCAAAATGTAGCACTGGCTGGAACAATAATATAATGCAGCCTTGGCTTCGAGTGAGAGAGAAAATTTTGGCTTTGCTAGTCAAGACACACCACAATTTTGGCTTTTGTTTCGTATCATCCTTATCCCAGCAGCAGCAATTTCTATTATTTTGTAGTTAAACGCAGTAAAATATCCTGTTCGTTTGCAGCCAAAAGTGGCGAAGGCGACGACTTAACTAGCACTAAAGCTGAACGGCCGCTTTGCATGAAATGATGAAATGGAGAACGTCTCACCACCACTTTAGCCGGAATGAATGAATGAATTTGGATTTGTTCATTCGTCCCACATTTTGTTTTATTGATGCTGATGAGCCGAATATTCAGTTGGTTTCATGGTGTTTCGTTGGACTACTTTGGTTTCGCCTCTTCACACATTTCTTCCTTCTTGTAACATAATGTAGTGTAATGGGCTGCTTGGAAGTGGTGGTGATGATGATGTCGGTAGTGGTGTTGAAAGTCAAGTTCTTCAATTGTGGCGTCGTGCTGTTTTCACTTGACAGCCAAAGCACTTCCTCTTCCATCCATCCATTCAACATTTACGAGAAAGCGGCGGAGGCTTCGTGGAACTCGGATCTGGCCCTGCTGCTGGTTCAGATATACGACTTGGACATTTATTAATAGGTTCCGCATGGGTTATTCAGTTTGTTGCATGAGCAGCCGAAATCGAAAACTTTCTCTGATGAGTTATGGCAAATGACTGCTTGTCTATTCGCATAGTTCTCTAATAAGCTATCATATTGTTTTGGCCCACTCCACCGTGCAGGAGGAAGCAATAATGCATAAGAGAATGAGGTGGAGGTCTGGTCTGGGAGCAGGATGTTTTTTGGAGCAAAGTGGAAAAAATACTATATCATTTTTTGCTCTATATTTATGTATGAACTTTTTTATTAGGTGGAGTGCCATCGCTTCCTTCGTGACGGCGACGGTGCATATAGGATTTTCCGTGTGGGCAAATAGCTGGACCTGCTCACCTGATCTTTTAAATAATACGGTAAGTGTTAACTAACTAGTTGAATTAATTTTGCAGAAATGAACTACATACTTATGCACTTATCTACTTTATGAAATAAATAACGGATACATGCCATTTGTCATTTTTGACCTTAAAACGGGCTCAAATGTAACAAAATGAAAAGTGAAAGTTTGGTCAGAACGCTGGCCTGTCGACCCCAGTCGTAGCCGTCAGTCAGGAAATTTAATTATTTTATTTGGCCCATAATTCAAGTCGTCACACAGACTAACGGAATTGACTGGGCATTAATATACAGCTATTTTCCTCCCATTTTGTGCACTTTCATCTGTTTTTGGCACAGCAGGATTCAGGGAACCATGTCATTATTGTACTCTCCAGTCAGTCAGTCAGTTTCTATCTAATTTATCATCTGTTTCCGAAAAGTCCACTTCATTCTGCCTCACATAGCAGTGAGCAACGCTGATGCATAATATATTGCTGAGCAAGAAGTAGAAAGCTCCGGAGGAGGAAATGTTTGGAATTAATTAGAGCAGATAATTATTCGATGGGCATCATCATCATTTGAATTTGTTACGCTTACGACTGCCTGACCGTAATATGTAATATTCTTAAATGGAAATTATAATGTTGTGTAGAATTGTGCTCCAAGAGTGGCGACAGCGGACGTCCTTTTATTTCTGGGCATTAATTTGGGAGCTCTCTACACCAGGTAAGATGCGACTTTGAGTAATTTAACACATGCACGCAAGACACTGAATGAACCAAACATTAGAAATCTGGTAGTCACGCAGGTATTGATTTCTCGGTATTAAAGTTGCTACCGCTTGGTAACAAATTTGTTACCGAAATAAACTTTAATACCGAGTTATTACTACACGGTATCACTTATCAATACCACTTTGGTAGAGTCATACATGAATATCGCTTGGTATTACTTTAATACCGGATTTCTCTGAGTGCATCTTAATAATTATACTCTTTATGTATCTGTGTCACATTATGGCACATAATTCTGAACAAAAATTTCTGTAAATGTACGAAAACCAAAAAAAAACACCTCCTTCCACAGATTTCTCACCGATCGTGGACAACGCAACGCATTCCTGGAGACGAGGCGATATCTCCAAATGCATTTTCGCACCAAGAAGGAGAACGAGAAGCAAGAACGGCTGTTGTTGTCAGGTATGGTTTCTTGATTTGTGCCCATTTCAGCACTTGTAGAAACTATGTAAATCTCCATTTCGCTACGACTACTACTTTACGACGTGAACTTACCGAGTAGAACAAAGTGCCCAAATTTAGTATCTAAATCACGTAACTGAACGGACTCGCATTTAAATGATGCTAATTGCAAAATGAGCATTCATTCTCATCTCAACGCGATCTCTTTCTCCACCACCATTCAATTTACAGTAGGAAGGAATATGACGCTGCTGGTGGTGGTGGGTGGTTGAAGAATGCAGTTCAAATATAAGTGATGCATATGGATGGCGAGTCATCGTAACGTCATCCACTTCATTTTAACAAGTTTTTTAACAACCAACTCCCACCCACGCAGAACGCACGGTCGGAAAGAGAAAGTGGCAGCATTGTCAGATTACACCCACATTTTTTAAATTGTTTGATGGATTCAAATTTATTCCTCTACTCATATTTTCCACGAGGCTGCTTATTTATTGATAACCTCCCAAATTTTCTGGGGGAGTGAGGCACATATTTATGTACAAACATACGTACCAAGTCGTCGTCATTGACCTAGATAGAGTGCATGTCAGAACCGTTACGCCATGTTAGGCCGGACATTGCAGTACGAAGTGGTATCTCATCAGGGTCGAATTGACATTAGGCAGTTTATTCCAACTTTCTCCAGCCAGCACTTTAGCTTCTCAATCTGCGATCCAGTGAGCTGGACGATACCGATTTTCCATTTCCTTTTCAGATCCAATCTTTCCCATCCCACATCCGAACACAAATCCTGGCCAATCACTTAACTTTGTGGGGCGGCAATCAGATGTGCCCTCCTCCTAAGAGATCTTATCTACTACAGAGTATTCTCAAATTGCCTGTGACTATTTTAGGTGTATAGATGTAGCAAAAGAGGTGCATATGGACATTACGTAGTAGGTTTGCATTAGATAATGTTATGGAACATTCTTCTCTATGTACCTACGAATAAATGCAGAATACGTACGTATTCTACTTAAGTAACTGGGGCGAATAGAAATGTATGTATCTCAATCTGGAGAAAGTGAACACTCGTACAATTCGGGAAACTAACTACATTTCGGTGATTTGTGTTGACACACAGTTTTACCACATTTCGTCGCTCAAGAGCTTGTAAAGGACCTCGCCATGGCGGATGATCTCAATAGCCTTCAATTCCACAAAATCTACCTGCACCGTTATGAAAATGTCTCAATCTTATTCGCCGATGTTAAAGGGTTCACGGGTAAAGTTTATTTTTAAAATCATTTATTCCGCATGTCAGAAAACTTCTTACAAATCAAACATTAAATGGAATTTGAAATTCTGTACAGAACTCGCCAGTTCCTGCTCGGCCCAGGAGTTGGTCCGCATTCTAAACGACTTATTCGGACGTTTTGACAAACTTGCCACGGTACGTATTTATTTATATAATAAGTGAAAGTTTATGAATGAATGAGTGAGGATCCAGATGAGACTTGACTTTACATGAAACTGCGCGTGACGAACAGCATCTTCTCTTCAATAGTGATGTATGACCAGCAGTTTCCCCACTGCATAGTCAACAATATGTGCTGCGGCCCCCGCGTTAAAATCTTTATAATGGCAGAAAGTTTGGCACCCCAGAGTTTAGAAGAATAATGAAATGCTTCAAATTGTTATTCTTCCCACCTTCCTTGCTCCCACCGTGTGTGGTTTGGTTTCACTTTCCAAATTGTTGGGAACAAAGTTGTTCTTTGAAATATTTATTAACAAGGTTGCGGTCTGGTGCATATGTGCTTATTTCTGACTGCCTGCTTTGAAAGTGGAATCCACTCACCCACACAATACTTATCTGTACATACTTATCTGAAGGAAAATACCTTATACACAAACGAGCTAAACGCTACAGTTGAAAGGGATTCCAACCAACGTGGTGCATTTCCATTAATTCGGCTTAAATCATGCCACTCCTGCCAAGTAGCCATTATCATATCAACCGTAAGAAAAATGATGATGATTTATCCTGTTTGCTCAGAATTTATTCCCACGACTTTGATATACTTGCCGAGTGCCACTCTCTGACTTTTCGTGGAGAAAGGTTGCTTCGTTCGAGTATAAAGTGGACTAAATTATCTTTTGATCACTTTATCATTTTGTGTGTCGTATTTTATTAATGTGTCAGCCTCGGAATACTTACGTACCTTTGAGTAGAGTGAAAGCAAAGAAAACTTTCTCCTCCCTGCAAACTTTCCAGCTTTCTCGACAACAAAAACAACAACAACAGCACGGTACTTCATGGTCTTTTGTTGCATTTCATTCCTCTCCACGAGACCCGACACGACAGCTAGATAACGATGAAGTAGAGTACAGAAAATATTATTGAATTTGTCTCATTTTCTTGATCTCAGGAAACAAACTGTCTGCGGATTAAGCTGCTGGGAGACTGCTACTACTGGTTTGTGTTTCTATTTATTAATAAATAAGGCATCAAATGTTCGAATAAGTAATAACTAAATTTTATTACGATAGCGTATCAGGCTTGCCAGGTGAATATCTGCACTCTTTTTGGGCTGTCATTGTATAGATAATATTGATAATTTATTTTCCCTTGCCTCCCAGACACCAGACCAGATCATGCCATGTGCTGCGTGGAGTTGGGACTACATATGATTAGAGCTATTAAACACGTGCGTTTAAGCAATAGGGTGAGTACTTTCACTGCTTTCTTCGAGTTGTTGCTGCGATCGCAATTTTCTCGACGAAGATGAGACGACCGACCAGGCCATAAATTCTCCAAGATTATGGAGAAAATGACATATTGATAGCTTCTGTCTGGTATTTACTCCTCATGCTCGTAGTTCGTTGAGAGGAGAAAGGACCTATTTTTGGAAATATTCTTTATGGATGACCTAAAATTAGTTTGTTTCTTGTTGTCTTGTAGCTTAATGTCTTTCGTTCTAGTTTTGTCCCTACCAAAAAGATATTGGTGTCGTCATGCAGTAGTAAAAGTTGATGTGAAAGTGAAAGTGAAAGTTGATTTATTGCAGGTTAAGAATCTCGACATGAGAATTGGTGTGCACTCGGGCTCCGTTTTGGTAATGTTGCATTGTCATTGCTCAATATTCTTAACAAGTGGATGGTTGTTAATATTTATGTACTTTATTTTCCAGTGTGGAGTGCTTGGCCTAAGAAAATGGTATAAAATAATAAGTGGTTATCATTTTTTGAGCATTAAAACAGTATTTATAAATATGTTATTTACGTATATATGCAATTTGACATCTGGAGTTGGGACGTGAATGTTGCGAACAAAATGTAAACAGCTCAGTATACTTACCGGAATAATTTAATTTGGGTTGTTAATAATTTCATAATTTTTTAGGGAGCAGTCTGGCATTGCTGGGTAAATTTTCATTGATATATTTTCTTAATACAAGTATATTTTACATATTAAGAATTCATTTACACATAAAATATCTAACAATTGTAAGATGAAATTTAAATTACGGAGAAAGCTTATAAGCTTTCTCCGTAATGGGGTTCATTCATTTTACCTTCGACTTTCTAATTTCCGTAATAAATAAATTTTATAAAAAACAACTTGACAAACATAGAGTCAAGTATCTCGCTCACTTTGTGTGCTTTCTCCCTAAAGTGGCCAAGCAAAGAGAAAGTGGTACAGAGAGATCGAATCCATTGGCCAAAGTTTGCCCATAAAACCAAATAGCCTTTGACCAATGCCACTGACTGAGTATTGTTTTTCTACTCGATATCCTATTACTTCTGGGTCACAAAGTTTTGAGTAGAAAACCAAAACCAATATGAAATTTATTTTCAAGGTCACCCAGAGAAAGTTACATTTCTCCAAAATATATTTAGGTCCGGTTCGAATGTTTCCATTAAGAGTTCAAACATCTAATCCGCACGATTAGATGTAGAGTTAATGAAACTCAAAACAATGGATTAGCCAACGGCGGACGCACACTTTTATTACATCTTTTTTTCCTACTAACCAACTTAACCGAGGCTCAAATTGGATTATTGGATAAAGTGATCACATTACTTTTGCCCATTCAATGGCTGTTTTGCCACTTTCAACTTTCACCTAATCTCTCCACTCGCCACTTGCTACATGTGCGCAACACCACTTTCTCCAGATTGCGTGCCGTAAATGTACTCAAATGTACACTACTTTCTCCAACAGAACTTTTGTAGTTGAGCCCACACTATTTTTGTAACAATGCATACTTGTATACGAGTGAGATGAAGAATGAAAATGCTCAAAAACTCCTAATAATTATACCCGTTTTAGGAAACGGGTATAAAATTCAAACTCATTTTTCGATTTACTTTTTGCAGACGAGTGCATATCTCCAAGCGAACGCTCGAGTGCCTTCACAGCAACAATAACTTTTATGAAGTGGAGGAAGGAAATGGTCATTTGCGAGATAGCTTTTTAAAGGTAAGTCTCAACCCAAGTCTCAACTTGATCTAAAATTGCGTGCTTATTTGGATCACCGTCTATCCTGCTTTTGAGTTTACGGTAACAGCAGTCAGCCAGACAGACACACTGTTTACATATATCTCTGCACACATGTATAGGCAGTGTAATATCCTTGAAGTACATACATATATGCGTATCTACCACGGAAAATTGGGCTTGAGACAATATTCTTCATCATCTCTCCCAACCGACCGATTCTCTCTGGCTGAGCTCATCTCACGAACCGCGTTGGTTTCCAGTGATCAGTTATAAACAACAGCAGAATGATTGGGGATTCAAGCTATGTAGGTCGGTCGGCTTGTATTGATATACAAAACTGGGATCGAATTCTGAGCCTGGCCGTGTACACGGTAGGCACTGTTTGATCAAACCTGTAAGAGAATTCTGGTCACACACCTTCATTTCAAAATTACACCCGTTTATCTTTTCCCAAGTGGCATGTGCCAATCTCAAATCTCTCTCTGGCAAGTTCATACTCCTGAAAAGACCTATACATCAAACTATATATACAGAAATCTAATATTTATACACACATATGCAGCCACTGCGCCATTTTGAAGAAATCTGGATCACTTTTATTTTATCGGATGCAGTACTGGCCCACAAAAAAAGATTCTTTTGAGATTTGTGCCCGTGGTCTGGTGACCGGTCGGTTGTAAAGGTCGGCGTAAAATTGCTGTCTTTTGACGTGTAGAATGACTTGTAGGACAAAAGTCACCTTTCTCCTCGCGACCGTACCTCATACATATCTGGCGTATGTGCTCGCCATGAAAGGCAAATTGCACGTTTCCCACATTCACACCGCACCTCTCTCTCCGCAAGTAATAAATTGTGGCAGTTTGGGTTGTTAAATGTGAATAATTCAAAAAGTAATGTTATTCGAAAACGGACAGGATCAGGCGATTTGCGCATTTTTGTCACGTCTCGTTCTGGTTCCTTTCTCCTAGTGATACTTTATCACGACAAGTTTTATTAGCTGTGTGGGTGGGAGTATTGGATGGATACTCACACGACTGACAAGAGTGAAAGGGATCCGAGAGGAGATTATTGTAAGAGTGGGTGGAAAAAACGATTGTTAAATAATTATTGCGTAACGGCTCAGTTTGTCTTCATAATTAGGATCTTAGACACTTATGTACGTATCCCTCCAAATCATGTCGTCATGTAATATGCAGTGCCTGCTAGAGCTATTTTTACACAATTGAAAAATAATTTACCACCCAGCACGAATACGGCTACGGCATCTTGGCAATGTGATCCCTACAATAAATTGTATTTCACTACTGCAAGCGTCGAATTGATAAACTTTCCCAACTCTTATGGGACACAAACACAAGAGAGAAAACGAATTTTCCTGGCTCATCTTCAGCCCAAGTTGCAGAGAAAGTTTTGAAGACTCGACTCATTGCTAATTCTGAAAGCATTTTTCGTCCAGTTCTCAATCGCAACTTTCCTGGTCCTGATTCCGTCCGTAGAAGAAGAGTTGGACGGGTCGGAAGAATCGCAATCACATTCGAAGAATGGATCAGATGGGGAGAGGAAGATTTGAGCCACATGGATGTTCGTACATACGTAACACGGCCAACCCCACCCTCCCCTGAAAAGCAGCAGCATTCCATTCTTCCCTTTTTTATATACAGGGCTCGATTTCTCTAATGATTTCTCTTCTGTCCCATGTAAAATGCATGAAAGCCGTGGCGAAAGTGAGTGGTTTTTCAAGCCTGGATTCCGATGTGAACTGTATACATGCTCACTCACGGGACTCACAATTCTTCAAAATCAAAGTTGGTGATGTGGTGGAGAGAGAAATAGAGAAATCCAGAAATAAATGAAGAAGCTTAATCGGCTTCACTTCAATTTAACCCCAAGCCACAAATGCACTACTTCTCGGTCAGAGGACTGGATTCGCTCAAGCGAGACCTACCCAAACTAAATAAAATGCTTCACTGCGAAACGATAATGGGTGAAATTTCCACCCTGTGAGAAATTGAAAGTGACCTAGCGAAACAGAGTGGACATTTTTAACACCGATTGCCACTCCACGTCCCGCACTATTGACACCCGTTCGCCACACTGATCATAACAAAATGAGGATGACAAACGGTTTCAATTTATTGGATCTGCTGAGAAATTGAATAGGATTTCAGTTTAAATCGCGCTACGTGTCAGTATTTTTTAGTGGTCTGGGCTTCACAACACTGCTCATTTCACAGTTTTTGAACCAAACACTTTCCACTTTCTCCATTCGGGCGAACAGCTTACCTCTCCATTTGGGTGGAGTTGAGTTAGTCGTTTGAGTTTGAGAGTGGCAATCAGTACCGATTTTGGGCCGTATAATATGTACATACGACTCTGGTCCAGAGAAAGTCCATCCGACCGACCTGCTAAATTTCTACTCGTCCCACTTGAAAACTTAACAGAGCGTGTCAATTGTGCAAGTCAATCGAACCAAACCACGGGCACCATACATTTGAGGGTTGACCTGTCTTTTAAAACTTGGTAGATAGAAGAAAGTGACTTTTCACGGAGGAAGACCTCGTGCAGCACAGTCAACAAAGAAAAAAAGTAAAATGTTTACCTTAAAGACTTTCTTTCAGTCATTTGGGATTTATTCGTAGTGTGTGGAAGAAGAAAGTGGAAAGAAAACTAACGAGGAGCCCCTGGTGTGATATAGATGTTATTTTATGGCTCAGGCTCTAGAGCACAATCCGATGGCCAAAATTAGGTTGTAACTCTTCAAGGTAACAAGTTTAAGGACTTTATTTACTAGCCTGACTTGCTGCCGGACTGTTTTTTTCAAATCGTTTTCAAATAGTGAGAGGATAGCCATGTGTTGATGGTTTCTTTATTTGTAATGGGTTAATTTGCTGCAAAAGGCTAAATTGATGCTATTACTGGCAAAAGGTTGACGTTGCTCAGGTGCAGGAAAAGTTGTCCTGCTAAATCACACATTTTTTTCTGTGTAGTTCAATTAAGTCGTGTGTACATGCTCAATGCCTTGGGTATTTTGGGTAATTTCGAGCGTCTGTCAAGGAAAATGCTCTCGAATGCAATTTCATCTCGGAGGTCAGTCGCAGTCTTATTAAATCACACATGTGGCGAACGGATGGAAGGTTGACATTGTTCGCGGAAGAATTCCCAGCGGAGAAGATCTGGTAATCCTCCACGGAGAGGAAAGTGCCTTTTCCTCTCCACCAACCACCCAACCATTCATTTACTGTTTATCTTCATAACACTCGACTTGGTTGAGATGAGCGGTTCCATTTGTCCATGAATTGTTGCAATGAATAAGAAATGAATGAAAATTGTGGTTTTGTGGCTCGCCTGTTGAAGTGGAATGAGGCGAGTAGTTGGCGTAATGCGCTACACATACATTCTCTCCAAGTGGTCTGCTGGCTGAACTGTGGAATTGTGGAAAGAATTGCCCTATTTTTCTACTTTTGCTTTCGATTTTCATTCTGCTTTCTATTTTTAAGCCTTTCTGTTCCCGTGTCTTGATTGACGTGATCTCTTTGGCAGGAACACAACGTCCAAACGTATTTCATAAAGCGGGACGAACCCATGCGACCACGACGACGGGAGAGGAAACGCAGTCCACAAGATCAAGGGTCATCCTCGTGTCTGCTCAACTTGAGAAATCCCAGCTTGATCCTTAATGCTGGCCTGTTGGCGTCCTCCATGGTAAGAGGCTCGTGTAAAACTTGCTCAATTTCGCAAGCATCTGTATTAATTTACTACATATATGTACATGATTTTTCTGTGTTTTTGCATTTATTCAGGAGTTGGCAGCATCCGCCCTGACAAATTTGGCAGAGGGGGACTCCACCCACAGTAAAAACGAGAAAGACAATAAAGAAATAAATAACAAGGAGGCAAAGAACAAGAGACTTTCAGCAAATTCGTCTCAAATTCAAAACGGATCTGTTCAGCCGAACATCTACACGCCCGATAGTCGCAGCCAGAGCCAGACCGAGTTGTCGTTTGGGGATGAAAATCATCAAAATGTGAGTAACAATTTGATTTATTTGAAGGTGATGGACGACGGTCTCGGGTCAAGTTCAAGTTTGTCGAAAGAAAATGAGACCGTGCGTATTGATTCCGCAAAAAAAAACTTTCATGAAGTGTACCAAGTTCTTACACAAGTAAGAAGAGAAAGAGGAGGGATAAATCAAGTGATATTTGATGAAATATGGGACACAACTCGTAATACTACTAGCATGACGAATGACAGAGTAGTTTTTTCCTAGTATTTCAAGACTTTCTTGGTGGGGCACGGCCAAGGAGAAAAAAGTTGGGACACAGAGAGAGACAGGACGGAAGTGCCCGAAGATTTTTTGTGGATCGTAGTAGTACTAGTAGGTTTTTCAAAAATAAACATAATGGACCCTTGTCTTTCTGCTTACTTTTTGTGTTACGTACGCCAAAACCTTCGTCGCTGGCTGGCTTTACATAATGTTATGGAATATTATTATGTATGTGTACGTATGAGTGCAAAAGATAAGAGAATATGTATCAATGGGACTCGCTGGCCTTGAAAATATCACTCGTGAACTGAAGCGCTATTCACATTTGGGGTTTTGCCAAGCGGACCACAACACAGCGTCGTCGTCGTCTTATTGAAAGGCTGCCGAGACGTGATCCAACCAAATGATTTGATAACCCTTGGTGATGACGGGAAAGTCTGGGCTTTTTCTTCCCCCTTTCTCATGATAATGCTATGCATGCATTGTACTTCAAAGAATTGAAAGAAAAAAAATTATGTGAAAAAATTCATCATTCATTTCACTTCAGTCAGAACGGTGTTGCTGATGCATTGAAGTCTTCATGGGACAATTTGATTTCGAAAATTTGATCTGGACTTCTAGAAATTTAATTACATTGTGTCAAATGTGTAAACTATAGTAAAAGATACATTTTTATGAGTCTTACTCGATACATTAAAATTCTTGGAAAACTGTGAATTTTGTTTTAAAAATTCTTCCCAAAGTCAAACTAGCCGTACGAATTTTAATGCGAAAATGAGTTCTAAATGAATGCAAACAGTTGATAAGACTGTAAGAGAGCGCATCACTTTTCGCAATGGCTTATCTCGCCAGCGTAGCGTGGCATAAAAAAATGGATATTAGACAGTGTAATTTATAGCAGAGTTGGGGAGTCTTCTTATGAAATCTCTACTACTTTACTTTGTAGAAGAAGTAGGAAAAGTTGGGAACTTTGCATAGAAAACAAGTCGCAAGTTGGTTGGTACACAAGGTCTCTCTCTTTGCTGATGCAGTACTACGTGGGATTCCTTCCTTTCCACATTCTTGGAAGGAAAAAGGCTGGTTGGTTTATTCATTGAATTTTTATTGGGCACCAACCACCTAACCAGCTACGACTGCTGCCACGTCCATAGTTGGATGGCTCATTTTTCATACACACTCAAAGGACGTATGTACATATGCAATATCTAGAATGCATGGATTATTAACATGACTGGTGGATAGGATCGAGTAATTTGCTCGTCCAGTTTAAATTAATAGGTGGGCATTATTCGAATGGACATACGAACGAGTAATACGCAATGGGAAAAATAATCAGGGAGAAAATATATCGGGCATGCACTCAGCTCAGTACATATGATAAGCTCCTGATAGAATTGGTCATGGGAAAGATTTGTGAATGCGATGTGGTGAAGGGTACAAATGAGCGGAGGCGTACATTCGGAATATAGATTGTCCGTATGAAAAGGGAATTAGAATGTTGAAACCATGTATTGATTACGAATGAAAGGAAAGAATGGTAGTATTTTTCTGCAAATAAATCTGCATTTTTCTTTTTTGAGGAAGACCTTGGACGAGTTGATTTCCATTCAATCAATGAATTAGCTTCCTTGAAAAAGCATTTTTATTCTCTCTTTCTTCTCTCTTATTATGCATTTACACATTAACACGTGGCTGTCATAATGAGGCGTAAATAAGTCGAGTTACATTTTTACGAGCAGAAATATTTTATGCATTTCTTTCCTGTTAGTTTTCCTTGACTTTCTCTGAAATTCATTCGTTCGTTTTTGACCCTATCAGTTTAGCATTGGTATCAATTTAACCTTTCCCCATGTAAACATATATTCTCAGTAGTTGTGTCGTCGTCTTGTTCATTTAATGGTTCGCCCAACTCCAAGAAGTTTTGACAAAGTATACATGTCCGTAGTAAACCCGAATGAGTGAAAGTTGTCATTGCATAAATGTAATCAATTCCAGATAACAGGCAAGGATCATAAAGTAGTAGTTTTACCATGAAATGAGCCCAGCAGACTTCATACCGATTTTCAATTCGACTTTGGCAAACTTTCCGTCAACCCGAATTCTTATAAATTTGCAAACTCAGCCGATATCTATAGCATTATCACTTTCATGCCGCCACTAACAATCACACTTACTTGCACTTTCTCCGTTAGCGAAATAAAGTTTAATTTGTTATTCGTACTTATTTACCTGGATAGTGAACCGACCAACCTAATTTGCATGCCAGTCAAATTCCATCTTAACTTTATCTCCGAAAGAAAGTTGACTTTATCAGATGCCATCCCAATTACTAGTCCTCCAGCCCACCAACTTTACTCAAGGACTCGATAATTGAGTAAGGAAAGTATCTCCCCCTTTAAGTTTAGTTTGATGTAAGTAGCAGTTCTTTGGTGAAGACGTACATTCACGACGAGCGACTAACCTGCCACGACATGACAGACATGCCAATAAGCAATTTTCCAACTTTGCCCGTCCGAAATAATTTACTTATTAAAAGCCCCAGCTAATACCATTGAGCAGCAGCTCAACTACTTCAGCTGCCACTGTATCAATGTCACTCAGCACACATGGAACACTAACCAAGGGCATAAATGCATTTGAGATTTCCAGAATTGCTAAATCAATACGAAAAGTGGTTAAAGTTGGGAAAGGGAAAGAAATATGTAGTAGTTTCCTGTCAGTAAATCTGGCACACTTTCTCCCTCCCCAGAACTGCATGTGGTTTTCGGTACGATGGAATATTTCAACATACATATCTTCTCCCACCTAATGCACCTATGGGAAGTAAGTATTGGGACTCAATTTCATTTTCAACGCTAAATTTTCAACTGGCAGGTTGGATGGCATGCGAGGAGATGAGACCCCGAACTAGTGAGAAATGAGATGGTGTCCATAAATCTCAGGAAATAGTTGCAATAAGTTTGCTGGGAAAATCCTAAACCTGATTTCCCCTTTCACATTCTTCTTTTTCTAAAGTGCCAAAATCTAAATTCATTCTTAGGCCGGGTTTCCCTTTCAAATTTAAATGCGCTGTTATGCAAGGCTTTATTTATTCGCTTGACTAGACGAGGAGTGAAATTTTTAGGAAGAGTGAAACCAGTAGTCCCGGCTCATCCGGGGAATCGGCTTCGAAAAATAATAATGGCGAACCGAATCTCACCTCTCAAAGTGTCCAGGCAGGCAGAATAAAGCTCCGGCTGAACTGAGGCGCAATAATAGAATCAATTTTGTGCCATTTTGTGCCACATTTTGAGTTTAGGTTTGATAGGATTATGGATGGCAAATACGACGTACATCGCTTAATCCCCGTGTGTCGCTCGTGTGTGGAGGATGATGTGATGATGCGTCTGTCTGTCTGCATGCATATGTATATTCGGGAACAATGAGGATAGTAATAATATGATGTTTGTTGACGGCCACATGCACACATAAGCTAGAGATTACTCCTTCTTTCCTCTATTGTTGATTTCCTTCCTCTTTTAGCACAACTCACTCAGTTCGTGGGGCAAAATAATAGAAAAAGTTGTATGAATTTTAGTTGCAAAGTTTTGTTGGGATGTTTCCTTTCAGGGAGAAAGTCCTTCGTTTGGATGGAGGATGAAATCCCTGCCTGATCGAATATCCACTATATACAGTTCAATGTCAGCATGTATAAGCGGATGTGAGTATGTAGTAGGTTGCATCACACCACACAAAAAATTTGGCCCACTGTATGTAACTTTTGTATACGGAGCTTTTTTTTCGCGTACATATTTGTGCCGCTGCGTTCCAAATAAGCAACTCTGAGATTGCTTTCTTCTGCACGGTGTGGTCTGGTCGCCAATAAACTTGAATGATACGCTGACGTGTAGACGGTGCGCTTTCTTTGCGAGCGAGTAGAATCTTTTTTTCGGAAAGTTTTTGAAAACATGGAAGTTGGTTGAGGTAGGAATTTTTTGTGTCGAATATTTTCCGCAGAATTTCTTTGTCATGTAATAATAACCTTGGTAAGTAAGTTGTAAGTTCTGTTGGGTGAGTTTCTCGAAGGACGAGAGCCAATTGTATAAATTGCGACATTGTAGTGATGTGTATTATTTTTAGAAAAAAAATAAATAGACTGGTAGAAATTAATAATTTTTGTAATTTAAGTAATTAAATATTACATTAGACCATCTGCTATTCTGTTGATTACGTTGTTACTTTCTACTTCGCTTACACTTGGCAATGTTAAAAACGGCAATGTGTAAATGTTTGTATTGTGATTGACCTTAAGCTCTGAGTGCTTGCAAATTGGCCTCTCAACATTTTCACCAAATGGAATAAATATTGGAATGGAATAAACGGGTTCTTAAAATGGGCTATAAAATGAACACTACATCAAATGATCAAATAATAAATTGAGCAGTTTATACGTCAAAATAGAAATAAATATGTACTAAATATTTCATGGACGTTGGTAGATTTAGTTTCGATCAGAAATTGTATTAGCCAATTCAATGCTGTTGCCTTTTCGTGTTAAATATAAAGGAGACAGGTCAATCAACTGCACAGGAAATAAGGCAGGCCAGGAGTTTATTGAGATCTCCAATAAAAAAAATAGATTTCAAGACTTTTCCTGTCATAATGTGAATGGAAATGGGGTCATAACGTAGTAAATGTTACGAGTTGATGGACCTGATTCTCCGGTTGTTTGTTATTACAAGGAGTCTTGCTCAGGAGGTTGTATGTAAACATGACATTTTCCTATATACTGCATAAACTGCAACATGCAAATTTGCCCCCACACAAACAATGAGAATTGTATAGTAAAATCTGACGGCTTACAACTTTGTACTCAGAAAATTCACAAAAGTTGCAAATTTCCCCAATAAACTGAAATACTTATTATTATTATTGTAGAGTTGGTCGTTGGAGCGATCGGGTGGGGATCCCACGGATCAACGTGGATCAGACTACGACGGGACAAATAATTCCAACAGATCCCGAACCTGGAGCAGCGAGGTGGACGAAATGGACTATCTGATGGACCATTGTATAGCAATCGACTCGAATCGCCGGATGCAGAAACAATTTATCAAACGCACTCTGCTCACTTTTGTGCTACCTGAGATGGAGTTGGAAGTATGTACTTTTTCATTTTATTTTACATACATACATATTTTTTGGATGGGCTCTTTTTTTATATGCATAATTACACCAGACATTGTCACAAATTGTGAATCCCAATTCAAAATAATAATTCACTTAGAATGCGATGATGTGAAGTACAACACTCCGATTTTGTTGAAATTTCGGAATTATGGAATAGAAGTGTGCTTCCTCCACCTGATCAAAATCACCTATTCTTACAACTTTCACCTCAAATATGTTTACAAATTTCAACTATCACACAAACTGCCTCAAGGCAAGTTGATTGTTTATTTTGACTACATAATTCTGAAATTTCGACAAAATCAGAGTGTTGCCCTTCACACCATCGCATTATTAATTCATCCAAAATTTGCAAGATGAAATGTTGCAAACACATTAAATTCATAACCAAGTTGGTTAGAACTTGGTTCACATATTTTTTATAATAGAGAATTATTCTCGTTCACTTATCCTAAACACAAATATAAGGCAAAGACTCACAAAAGAAATAAAACGGTAAAACGGAGACTGATGTACTTAGGTATGTCTGTTGTGATCCTATTTGTATTGAAATCGTATCTTCGCATCGTCCTTCGACCCTCGCAACGGATAAGTCCAAACTTTCTCCATTACTCTCCACTCACTACTATCTACATATAGCTTTATTCATATCAATACTCACATGCAAATTGAGGATAAATCTTTTCACAATCTGACCAAAATCAGCCACAGGGCGCAGAGAGCTTCCTGCTTTGACAGGCCTTCATGTATCACTTCCAGTTCTATTGTTGGCCCAAAATCTTGATTGAGAATATCAATTCCCTTTACAACACTAAAAAAATCTATCCACCTCGAAAAGAGCAAGTATTTCAATTTATCACAGAAAGTGATTGATTGATGTTATCAGGGAACGAAGGTTGCGCAGATTTTGGTCCAAAATCTGTCCTCAAATTATTGTGGCTCGCCTTCCCTCTTTTCATCGTTTCACTCTGCTTTAAAAAGTGACGACGGTTCCATTATTGGAAAAAGTCTGCTTCCTCGTACTACATCCTACCCAGTGGAGAAAGCATTATTCAAATATGTGTAATGGAAATGACTCTACGACTGGAATTTGAATTTTGTCAAGTCATCATCAGTCATCATCAATGCGAGTCTTAGTCACTTCTCGCAATCGTTCACTCCTGCCAACTGCTGACTGTCGACTTCTTCATCTTAACCCACTCTCTGCTTAAAGTCGGTCGGTGGAGAAAGTCACTCATTCAGCCTTCTTTCATGTAACTCTTGGCTGGCCGTGCAAGTGGGGAGACGGAGTGCTTTGGGCTAAGTAAGATCCCAAAATCCTTTAATAGCAAAGAAAAGAACGGTTTCTTGCGGAGGTTCGCATGAAAATTTGAAATGGGACATTCATTCATTTTATGCCATCGTATATATCTTATTCTTCTCCTCCTCGCTTTCTCCAATTGGGAAAGTTAGCTAAAGCGACGCAGCAGGATCAGCATTATTGCATTAAGAGCTTTCTCAAACTTGTTCATTCTACATATTAGCCGTTCTTTTGCACAAATGCACAACTTTTCTCAAAACCCAACTACTGTTCTTGAATTGGTCTGGTAGTTAGTCCATTATATTTCATTTATCTCGAGCATATACAAAGGCTTATATATACAAACCCTATTAACCTGTTCTTCTTTTTTAAACATAGTTCTGCCAGTTGAAGGAGGATACGTTCAAGTCGAATATTCTCTGCGTTTTTGTAATCTGGCTCTTCACCGCGGCCAGTTTGGCAATTATGATCCCAACGTAAGTACCTTTTCCAGCGAGTTTTTCGTGAGAGAGAGATGATTTGATGTCGTAATTTTCTCATTATTTTGCAAACTTTACTATAACAAGATTGCTAGAAATACCTTTGCTACGTGTATACCTTTTTGGTGAAAGTGGGGAAAAATGGAACGAAATTAACTGTACAATAATGCATTACACAACCAACCACATCATCATAGTCGTGGTGGTGGTGGTTAGGCAGACATTGAGTGAGCTCATCACCGAAATTCTGAATTGTTGATTTCCCAGGGAGGCAATGACTATCTCGACGCTTGCCATTGCAACGTTGCTTCTCTGTTGCTGCTTGGTCCTCGTCATGGTAAGTGGAATATACGGACACTGAATGAGTGTATGTATGTATGTTATCCCGACTTGTTTTGATTGCAGATTTTTTTTTCTCTATGTGTTTTTCCAGGCGAACGAGTTCCCATCCTTGCCAGCCAAAATTGTCAATTTGTCGGATACTTTTAGCATATGCAGGAAGCACCGGAGCCTCTTTGTTGTTTTTATAATTTCAACCTTGGCCATTGCGACGGGATTAAATATTGTAAGTACTGTTTTTCCGGGAAGGTTGACTCTGCCTGAATTAATCCTAACGAAACAATGGGGTTGTCTCAATTATGCAAATATTTTGGAAAATAACGCGAATTGAAAACAATGAATTTGAATGTCTTGTTAGTTAGTGTTACGCAGAAAATTCAGTTCAGTAATCCAAGCACAATTTCTGATTTAGCCTCAAAACAAGAAGAGAAAGCATTGACATTTTCCGTTTGGTAGCGTAACTGTTGCAGCATTTTTGCAAAATGTAGGATTTATCGTTGATTCGTGGTTGGTGGGTAGTTTCTAACAACAGTATTATGCTAAACCGTTCCGTAAACTGTAACTAACTCAAGGTTGCTTCTGTCCTAAATGGGTTGAAGGTGGTGGTTCGTAGATGAGTAAGGAGGCCCTACTTTCCCATCTGCTCTGAGATATTCTACATAAGTACTGGTGAGCAAATGAGCTCAATTTACATTCACAAAACACTACCCAATCTGCAACAACTGCTACCCAAAGTAGAAACCAAACTAGTATTTTAGACGCTCCGAACTGAACTGACATTCGTTTCTTCGTTCCATCCGGATGATTTACTTCCGGGATGTCGAAAAGTAAATTGGTTTTCCATGAGAGAGCTTGGAAACGTTTCAATACATAGTCACTCAGTTGCACTCGGTCGTGCTTAAAATTGCCAACAAAAGCTATTTAGCTAGCTGTCGAGTAAACAAAGTAAATGTTGGGTGCTAATTCGAATTCTATATATTTTGGAGTGACTGGCAGGCAGAAACAATTGTTTTCGGGGAGAGAATTGTTTTAAAATGTCAGGTTTATTACAGAGTAGTGAGAGTTTGACCTTCAGACATAATTTATCCAGTGGCTGAATATAAGTTGTAATCTTGGTGAAAGTTTCTTTTATTCAATATCCGCAACTTTTGCCCTTCACAACTTTTGCGGTGTGACCAGTCACGCCGCCGAGTTTATTGTTTCCGCGGATATTGAATGATTGAATCAAATCAACCCATTACTACTGAAAATACTTACTTTCTCTCTAACTCTTAATGCATTTCAGCTAAGTTTCTCGACCTTCACCCTTCAACTCCGAACCGGGAGTTCAGCCATCCCGATAGCCCACGGTGGTGACGAAATGGCGGCGGGTGTCAGTGGTGGTGGGATCAGTCACTCATCCTCCTCTGATCCAAATGCCAACTCTACAGCCATAAACCTGCTGGGAATTCCGAGCTCATTTGAAACACTGACGCCATCGAAATCATCATCATCATCATCATCAGAAACCACGGGGGTGACAACACCCGGTATAAAATTATTGATTCCACTTCTATACATAATTCTGGCTTCCCTGTTTGATGGGAATTCCGCACCTCTACTAACCGCACGAAAACCTCCGCCACCAAATTCCTATCTTTCCAACTCTTCATTTCTGACAACACATCGGTTATCACGACTTCAAAATCGGGTAGAAGCTTCGCTCGACCTCTTTAATAACAAGAGTGGGAGCAGTGCATTCCCTTTCTCTTCAACTAACAATACGATTATGACTTCTGCCACCAGCCTCTCAAACGCTACTCTTCCTCAAATACGGCCAGGAGAAGGAGCACAATCACTTGAGACTTATTCCTCCCTGACCGATGTTGATGTTGGCAGTACGAATGCTTCTTCCTCTTCTAACACTTTCACCACCACCTCCCCACGACTAAACTTGAATTATTATCCTGACCCATCATCTGCTGTTAGCAGTACAAAAAATAATAATGAGAGCAGTTCCGTTCTTGTTAAGGATAACAGTAGTAGTAGTGCTTCTCCTTCCATCCTGCTCCCTGCCACCAAGCCCTTGACAACGTTACAACCACAATCTGACATAAGAGTAGTAAACTTTTCACTATTTTCACCTTTTGCACTTTCCTCTCCTTCTCCTCTTAATAAATCAGAGAAAAACGACTCCGAGGGAAAGTCGAGATCGAGGCGAGATACGATTTGTACCAACGATACGGCCAAACAGCAGCTTAAGTTTAATGAAAAACTAGACTACAACCATAAAAAGTACTCCGGGATCCCTTCTAACACCGGACTGGACACGTTTCGCTCGCTTGACCATAATTTCAAGAAAGATAAATTTGCCGTGGCATCTCCTAAAATTAACAAAAGCTTAAACCAAACCCCACAAACTTCTCGAGAAAGGAAGAAAGAAAGAGGTGTCCGGACTGGAAAGTTTGCAGACTTTCCCTCAAAACCAAGGGAGAAGGATGCGGATTTTGACTCGACTCCAGCAACAAATAACAAGTATCTCGGTAGCGTAACTGACTTGGGGAATAATATGCGAGGGAAAATTGTAAAATCTCTTGGCAAAAATGAGCCCGTTGAGTTACGACGTGTACTCCTTGATACTGCGGAAGTGGCCCCGAATACTTTCACTGCCACGGATCCTGCTGGCCCTTTGAGCGGAGGAGGAACAAAAGATTATGCCAAACCTTACGAGGATTCACCGAAGAGCTCTCATTTCCCAACAACTATTTCCTTTACATTTGCTCCAGTTACTCAAACTAACAACTTCCATCGAGCAGTCGTCCAACGGCATGCAGACAATTTCCGTACTACCAAATATTACAACAACCATCCTCCCATTATTCCCACTTCTGCTAACACTAACACACTTGTCAAGTCCGTCGCTGGGGCTAAATCTAATTCTACAATTCCTCCTGCTAACGTTCTTCTACCAACTGCATCTGCTGCTTTCCCCACAATTACCACTACTAATCCTGCCCCTTCTGCTGCTGCTCTTCTTCTCTCTGGTAGACTTTCTCCTCCAGTCAACTACTTCTCATTTTCAAATTTGAATGGCATGAATTCCCAAAAAGTTAAAACTAATTCGCATAATCTTTCCTTTCCTTCTATGGAAGAGTTACCCCGTGGAAGATCTAAGAGGGCCGTTTTCACCACGATAATGCCCGGATGGCATTCAAGTAATTCCTCAACAGAACCAGAACGAGATAAAAGTTTATTTTCTTTAAAACTTGACAAACTTTTACTACTGCGTCATCAAAATCAGAATGGTGATACTACAAATGTGGATGATATAAAGAGGGTCGTTCCTCAATTTAAAAGCCGCCGCACTCCTCGTAGTAATAATGCCAAGAATGATAATTACTCCCCTGATATTAATAGGAATAGTTGGATGAATAATTTAGGAAATTTAGTAGCAATCCTGTCACCACTTTCTCCCACTTCTCCACCGTCGAGTACTGCAATGCGAAAGGGACGACTAACCACTTCCGCTTCGTTACCACAAAATGAATGGGGAGTTGGACGGCCCGGTCTCTTAACCAGCATCACCAAATTAAGAGCTAAACGCTCTAATTATCCCACCTCGTCAACTTCTACGCACAATAAATCTCTAAAAGGAGTTTATGACTTTTCGACGAAAAGCTTCTCAACTTTGGCGACTAGTTCGACTCCTTCTTCTTCTTCGAATGATAATTATTATTTCACGAGCAATACAAATAGGAAAGTTGCGACGACGACCTCGAATCAAAATCCCAGCAGCAGCCAACGCTTCCACTCTAATAGTCCGAATGACGACAATTACAGTAATAGTTTAGACCATCGAAAACAATGGGTAACGATGAAACCGCCGATGACTGGTGAAAGTGGTGGTGGTGTCTCAACCTGGAGTAAATTTGGGGGAGGAGGTGGAGGAGGTTCCTCTATCAAAATTGATGGAGGGAGCATCAATGTGATATCGTCTTCCCCTTCCGCCGCAAATGAACATGATGAGCTTTATCCGTTTAATAAGAGTAAAAATAGTGCGAGTGATAAGTTTTCCAGTGTTGATGAGAGTGAAGACAAGGCGAATAGTAGTGGCATGTCGGCAGACAACAATGATACAACGAACGTCATAGAATTCGGTAGTAATTTGTGTTTAGACAGTCACCATTATATCGTCTACTCGTGGATTTTGTGTATGGTGGCTCTAGCTGCTTTTCTCAAGTTAAACTTTTTGGTGAAAGCAAGTATCACTGTGTTAATGGCGATTGTTTACAATTTACTTATTTTCATCCCGTACAAAGAACTCTTTCTGGACGAGTTTTTGCAAGATGAAAACTCTCAAAGGTAAATTGACAGAGTTTTATGTAAAAATTTCAAGACGATTAAAAATTCAAAAATGTTTTTGCCAATTTCAGTGGGCAAATTCCCACCCGGTACAAACTGACAATGATGATCATCCTTTTCGTCATTGTGGTTTTATATCACTCTCGACTTGTCGAAGTCACATCTAGACTGGGTTAGATTTATTTTGCATAATAAAACAATAACACCATTTGATAACATTTAACAAGTTTATAAAAATACATTTTCCAAAATTTTGATTATTACTTCAATTATTCCAGATTTTTTGTGGAAAAAGCAGGCCGAAAGTGAACTCGGAGGTTTGTCTCAGAAAGAAACTTCATATAATAACAATCATAAAAATGCTTTTTGTTCCACAGACATGAAAGAAGTGCGAACCTACAACTCTCAATTGTTGCGAAACAGTAAGAGAAATTTCTATTATATTCCAATTTGTAATGAAATGCAGTAAACTATAATAAATCCACGTCCTTTGCTGTCCATCTTGCAGTACTTCCTGATCATGTCGCCATGCACTTTCTCCTCGCAGAAGAACGACGTCTTGATGTAAGTTAAGGATCGAGCCATGGTGCGACTTAAAGTCTCAAATTCCCAAATCTCGTCTAGTCCCTTCAAAGCCTAGTGACTAAGCTCTGTGTTTGTTGCCCAACCATAATACAAAGTCTGGTCACTGTTCCATCCACCATGGAATTTGGAACGTGGATACTAAAAAACTATCCAGTTTTATTATTTTATCCAAACTTGCGCCAGTAACGACCAGCTAAAATTCCTCGTGCTTTTGTTGACCTCATTGTTTCTTATTAGGAAATCGCATTCCCATTTCAGCAACAGCAGAGGGCATACTGATACTACTTTATAAGCTATAAATTGAGACTTGCACACGCATATAGTTTGAGATTCTCTTGGAATTTATTATTCCGACAAACTGACACTGACTTTCATGGGTGTGAACTACTGTGATCTATGAACATGAGCACTGGAGAAATTAGTACGAAAATAAACCCAACTTCTTCTTTGATCTTGATTCTCATACGTACATGTTGCAACCAGTAAAAAGAGGGCAGACTTGCTTTCTGGCCGCACAAGTTGGGTGGGTGAGAATTTATAGGATTTTATAAAAAGCACTTGAACAAGAACTTACTCGACTTACTTTTCGTACGAGTGTTTTTACGAAGACTTTTTGTAGTCAGGAAAAATAAAGAGAAAGAGCAGATGCCTTCTTGACTATTTCTGTCGGTCCTTTTATTGTTACATGTATAACAATAAAATATATAACATAATTAATGTACGTATATAACGTAACTTATAACATTTATTACAATATATTTTATTGTTCCTACCAACAAAACGTACCCAAAAACCGGGTCCAAGTTGACGTGACACGTCTTCTTCTTGGACTTGGTGATGGATAGGAATGACGTGAAGAGAGTGAAAATTATAGTTTTACTTTTAACGAAATTGGAAAACTTTTATGCAATATGTTGTCCAACTTTGGTGGTGGGTAGGTAGGTGAAGTTGAGGAATGTGGGGCATTTATTTCACGTAGAAAACACGTTTTAAAATATTATATTTCCCAAGAAATTGCTAACTTTCTCCCTAATTCACTCACTCATATTGCAGGAACTGTACGCGCAAGATTTTAAAATGGCAAGCGTAATGTTTGCCAGCATTCCAAAATTTATTGATTTTTATTCCGAAGACGTCAACAAAGGGATTGAATGTATAAGATTGCTCAATGAGATTGTTGGTATGTTAAAATATGGAGTGGAATTATTCGAAATTGTGAAAACATGAATTGGATTTTGATTTATGCAGTTGATTTTGACGAACTTTTGGATGAAAGGCGATTCGGGAGTATTGAAAAGATCAAGACGGTGGCGTCGACGTATATGGCCTGCAGCGGCCTTAATCCCACGGATCAGGTGAGTGAATAAATTATTCTAATAGGATTTTAGTTCGTTACCCAACATTCTCGTGACATTTTTGGTGGTTAACTTTCCCGAGAGGTGTGCATCTAATTATGTAAACGGATTTGTAGATGGACGGAGAACGTGATAATTGTCAACATCTCTGCACCCTGGTAGATTTTGCGTTTGAGATGAAGGAAAAGTTGGAAGAGGTATGTGATAAACTTGCAAATGGAATCTAGCATTTGGTATTTCTTGTCCAAAATACAAACGAAATTGACATTTATTTCCATACAGCTCAATCGTCATGCATTTAATAATTTCAAATTGCGCATTGGTAAGTTTTTTTAATGACACAATTTACATATGTATGTGAGTAAGTGCATTTGCTTAAACCAGCACGACCTGGTAACACCGGTTATGAAATAAAATTCAATATCCTGGCAAACTTTGGTCATTAAGTTTCATCAAATGCAATTAACACGTATTTTGAGATGAGAGACCTTGGCACTCTTTCATTTCATTGCTTTAATATCAAACTATTTCAAGAGAAGGGATTTGATAGCAAGTAAAAATAATTGCAATTAAATCGTCACTCTCGCTTAATCCGATTTGTGAGTGAGTTTGTTTGAAACAGTGGAAAAAACTTAAGCTTTAGTATCAATTCAGATCTTTCAACTTAATCAGCACTCACTTAAAAGAACCCATTTCTTGGAATTCTGCCCCTCACTCAGGAAAGAGAAAGTTTCTTGAGGATGCTGAATCAAAGCTCAATCATACACGTGCTGTGGTGGTGGGCGATAAAACCAAGAAATCGTATTTCGAAATGCCATTTTGCCCTTCATTCAATGTCACATTCCCCTTCAAATTAAATAACTTGTTCAATTTGTTTTCGCATTATTTAGATCTTGTCAGATTATGTAGTCAATTGTGCTTATAACTTTGCCATAATTTTGCGTCCTTGCATGTCAACTTTGCCCAAAGAAAAGTTACAGCACGTAATAGTTGCCAGGTCCGTGAAGTGAAAGTTAAATGGACGGTGGTGTTGGTGCAGATAGAGCAAGTTCTTTAATTCTTTCTTTGTCACTCGACCCTTCCACTCAAGGATTTCCATTCCATTCTTCCCTTCTGACAGCCGACAGCAAAAATGAAAAAGCTTTTGCTCACCTTCAAATAAGGAGAAAGCAGGGAAAACTTTAACGTGTCTCCCAATTTAAGAAAGACGTGTGCTTTTTGTTTCCCTGCTATTATACAATGAAAAGGTTTAAGCGGCTTCACGACGGATCTGCGTCCCTTTGACTTTCTCTTTTGCGACGTGCTATTTAAAAATCCATTTATTTGGCGAGTTAGCTCTTATTGCGTCATTTTTATCGTGCCATTTATCTTCTCGGACCTTGTTCACCGCAAGATTAACTGCGCCGTGTGGAATTCCGCGATAAAGATGAGTATTATTATTGGTAATTTTACAGGGATAAGTTGTGGTCCGGTCGTGGCTGGGGTTATCGGAGCACGTAAGCCCTGCTTCGATGTTTGGGGGAATACAGTTAATGAAGTAAGTAAACCAAGTTATTTAACAATTTTGATTAAAAAATGGTTCAATAAATTAACTGTATTCCAGGCTAGCAGAATGGACTCGACCGGGATTCCTGACAGTATTCAAGTCACAAAAGATACAGCACAGGTACTTTTACATACGTATAAATTAGCTTTATAGCAATAAAGACTATAATCTAGGTTACAAATTATAACAAAAATCTAGCCTATTAAAGACCCACTTTGAAATATTACACCAATATTTACTCGCGATACAAGTCATAATTTACAAGATACTGGCAGTTGTGTAAGGATGAAATGAAGCCAGAGAATTCACCGTCACGTACTCCAATTTCGTATCTATTTTCATTACGGCCTCATTTAACACCATTATCTTTCCACACAAGTTAAGCACCTTCTTAACCCTGTGAAATGCCAGCTTCACTCATTTGGGTTCAAACAATGTGTGTACTTTACGGTTCAGAAGGTTGGCCATGAGAAGGAGAGAAAGTGGGTTAAATGAAATAAATCGTCTCCCAGTCAGCCTGACAGTTGTAAATACGAGTCGTATTTCTACCTCTGTCGTACTTTTGAAACTTATGAAAATCTGAGTCTGCAAACTTAATCGAATTTTACAAACGATGTATAACATCAATTTTGCCCTGTGACTTGCAGATTTTGGAAAAGAACGGGTACGATCTCGAGTACCGGGGCCTGGTGCCTGTGAAGGGGAAGGGCGAGATGGAAATATTCTTCGTGCGAGGACGGCCCAAGACGCCATTCAGAATGTATGAGAGTGGAGGGTCGCAGAACAGGAAATCTTTAGCAGCAGTTGTGTTCGGCATGGTGCAGGCCAGACGAAGACAAACGTTCAGGGGCAAAGGTAATCATTGTGTTTAATATTTCATGCTGCAAAAAACCTCTCCGTTCTCGTTTTCTCCGGTGGACATTGCTCGAGGTGTTGGATTATTTAAGGCAATTTCTGAAAACCAGAGTTTAGTGGATTGGGATTAAAATTCTAATCAGCGTTTCAGTAATAAAAATAATGAAGAAGGATGTGACACTTGGGGGACTTCATTTACGTAAATGAAGTCCATTGTTTAGTTTTATGGACGTCTTCTTTTTTTAGAAAAATTCCAAGACAAGCAAAAATCTAATCACATTTCGAGTAACCTTGTGTTTCATGAAAAAAAGCTGAGAAAGCATGGAAGAAGAGAAAGTGTGACTTGTAAACATTTTTCTTATTCCATTCTTCAGTTGAAATATTCTCACGCGTGTCGATCCATCCTGCCAGAATTTGACTGACTGTCACATTTGTTTACTTCCAACCAAGAGAAAACGAGCGAGTCAGAGGAAATTTGTGATATTGTTTTTCCACCGTAATATGGCGAGTTGCCGTTAATCCGTTATTTTATTAACTTAGTTCTCCTTTCCCAATTTCCCCACAGGTCCGGCCGACATCTTGACATCTGCGTCTCCAAAACAAAGCCGAGTCGGGAGCTATAGAAGATCGGAAAATAATGCAAAAGACGTTTGACAAATTTCCCCATGATAAAACACAATGTGATCCGACACAACAAAATCCTACGAGTTTTCCGAACAAAGAACGAATTAGTCAGAAACGATCAAAGGGATAATTTATTACGACGCTCGTTCCACCGCAAATCTGCCACTTATGTACTCGTCAGAGTTATGATCTGTATTATGGTGAATCGTCCCTGTTATTAATAATTTAGTCACTGTTTTATTTTTTGGTATTCTATTATATTGTGTTCAAAGAAAAGTTCCACTTATCTACTTCGTGACACGATATTATGCATTGCGCGTTTCTTCACAACACTCAGAATAAGACATACATATAAATCCCGAAATATCAAAGTAGATAGAAAACTCTATAAATAGTGTTGTTTGTCGATTCCAATTTTATCAATAGTTTTTTAGACAATACATATTACGTACGATCGAGTACCTTGTTGTAGGCCATCGCATTTCTCGGTATCTGTATTATTATCCACATTACTCGAGCCAGAGTCCTTCGATGGAACAAAGCTCACCATTTATTGCCATAGACAAGACAGATTGGTTGGTTGACGATTAATAAAAGTCACGTTTCTTCCGCAATTTTGATGGAAGAAGAAGAATATTTAGCGTAATAATATTTCGTCCCACGTATTTAAGTATATATCCTGGTGGAATGTGACATATGGATGTATGACATTATTGGATGAGGATATACATACTTCCAAACCAATAATATATAAATACCATGATAGATATTTGATATTACATAAAACTGTTTACCTGCTTTGAAAGTTGTGATACTTATTAAATTATTGTTCATTGCATTTGTTGGATGATGTCTGGCAAATTGTTATTTGGATAATCAAACTGTGGACGAATTTATGATGTACCTCTAATATGTTATATTGACCCAAATGTTTACTCACTAGAAGAGACAAAATAAATATTTAGCTCAATGAAATATAAGAAGTTTGAAATTTTGAAAATTCTCATTTTTTTAAATGTCTCATCTGCATAACTGAGATACATATGATGTAAGACCATTGATATTCCGTCTTAATTTTGATTCAATTGTGCCAAAAGTGCCAAAAAATTGTTTTGCAATAAATAATAAGTAGTTTTAAATAGGATGATAATTTTTAAATACATTTCCCAACCTTGATTGACAATCTCAATTTTTGAATATTTGCAATATTTTCATTTATTTAGGATTCGACGTGAAAGTCTACCACGGAATTTGACTGAATACCCGAGCGCCGAGTGGTGGAGAAAATTTGAGAGAGAAAGTTGTAGTAGGCTAACGAGCGGAGTAGTTGGCTCTCTCTGTCTCGTCTCCACTTTGTTCCTTGCTGGATTTATGAGTTCTCTAATAAGATGACGATTTTGAGTCGTAACATGCAACTTTGTAAACCAAAATTCGTATGCCATAATATGATAATTATTATGTAGATACCGGTGAATATTGCAAATAGATTCATGAAAATAATGGTTTATCGAGACGCATACAGTAAAAATTTTATCACATGTTTATTAATCAGTTCATTTAATTTTACATAACACTTCTAAATTTGGCATAATACACTCCTATTTTTTTACTATACGATCCTCTACGGCATCATTCTCAATTACTCACAGTATTGCAATGATGACGTCGAGGGTCGTATTTTAAATAAACAGCAGACTGTAGGCTACCATGTTAAGTCTCTAATACTGCTTTTTTAAGTATTCTGTATTAATACACGTTATTTATTACAATAAGTACTTACATACACCGTGTAGATATGTATGTACGTACATACGTAATAAAATCTTTATCCATATCTATGCTGGCGTGTATAAGGACATTTTACAATGTCCTTGCACAAACCAGTAAAAGTATGGATAAATATTTTATTAAGTTATCCGTTTTTGCTATTTAAATCTCAAAATGGTGACGGTCAGTGACAAACAAGTAAATCGAAGTTGCATCTCTCTAATTAAATGCTTAAGCAACTCTTCCAAAGTATCTAAACTAATTAAATTTTTGTCCAATCTTGATTTACACTTGCGTTATGTAAAAATTGTGAAGCTTTCTTATTCAAAAAGGAAACGTAGTCAAAGGCATTTTGTAATTATGAAATTTCTAGTTTTTCTAGTACTGAATTTCTTTATGAGAAAAGTTGACATCATTTAGATCAGAACGTATCACATTCCTGCGTTGGATTTAATTCTGATAGAAATGAAGCCAACCTTCCCCCTCCTCCTCTCCTCTCTCCCCCTACATCTGCCTGAATCTAATTAACATAAATCTAACCATAAAATATTAATTGCTAAGTAAAATATAATTAGAGTGCAATATCTTTTTACATGAACCATCAGATCCGTCACCCGTTGGATTAAATCCTGCCATCCCGGTTTTCTCCAGGATTCTCATCATTTCCAGAAATATCTCTCAAATTCCTTCCGTATTTATCAATTTGCACCTGCATCCTATTAATTTGCGCTTGTGATTGCAAATCCTTTACCAAAAGTTCCATGATTTGGTCGGCCTGTTGAGCATTTTCAGCTTTTAGAAGGGCATTTTCAGCTTTGAGCTGTTCCTCGCGTGCCTTTCTCAACTCACGATTTTTCCTTGCATTTTTTGCATTTTGAATGGATTTGTCGGTCGGGTCTTCGTCTTTTTGGTATTTCTTGGGTTTTTTTGGTGGGACAGTTTTTTCCACGTTTTTGCGTGGCCTTCCTCGCTTCCTCTTTTCTACAGTCGGTTGTTGCGGTGGTGGTACAGAAGTTGATGCCATGTTGTCACCAGGTAAAAAGTTATCTTCGTTTTCGAGCCCTGTTGTTGCGGTGGGGTCGAAAACGGTCGACTTTTCTCCATCCGTTTCGTCACGTGCCGCCACAAACGAAAGTAAAACGACCAACTCGGAAGACGGACACTCCGGATCAGGTCGTAGGTGGACATCGTTCTCCACCGGCGCAGGGAAAGATTGTCCCCCATAAATTTCCCCTTCGTCACTTGCCGCCGCAATCGAAAGTAAAATGTCCAACTCTGCTGACGGACACTCCGAGTCAGGTCGTAGGTGGACATCGTTCTCCACAGGGAAAAATTGCCCCCCATTTTCCCCTTCGTCACTTGCCGCTGCAACCGCAAGGAAAACGTCCACCTCGGAGACTGGATCGTCCAAACTATGTTGCAGTTGGACACCAATATCCCCCAAAGGTGGTCCCTCAAAATTTTTCCAGATGGACCCCAATTCGCCAAAGTCGTCAAAGTCGGGCATGTCGTCCATCATGTCATCCATCATTACTCTGAAAAGGAAAGAAATTAGTAAATAACTGACCAAAGATTTAAATGGTACAGAAACCACCTACCTTTGAAAATGTCGACTTAATAGCCTCAAATTACTTCTTTTACCAAAAAGTAGTTGAATTTACTGCGCTTAACTCAGTTTTTTCTGTAAAATAAACGGTACATGTATTAAATGATGGTGAAATTTAATAATTAAGAGATATAGTAATACTAATTTGTCATGTCTAATACCTTAAAATCGCCTCTTTCGTACGTGAATTGCTCTGCTAATTCAACAGAAGGTGTCTGAAGGACAAAAAAGACTGAAGCGGAGAAGTGGATAAGTGAGTCAGAGTCACGCGGAAAATAAATGCACAATAAAATTCGCAATTAAAATCTCATTCATATAATTTGTCATATTTGTAATTTCGCATACATATTTTCTCATTTTCGATTAAATTCGATTCCGTTCGATTTATTCGATTAAATGCTGGAATGATTAAATGCTACTAATTAAAAGCAGAGTGGTCTCTGGATGCTGCAAACTTTTGGGTGTTGGCTGCCACTAGTAGGTATTACTTGGTATCCCAATAAAATTAAAAAAAAACCTAGTACAGCTTTGCTTAGCCCGAACCAGGATTGATTAGCAAACTCATGTTTGTCAGTATTTTGCACTAATTCTTCTTACAGTAACGTATCGCGTCCATTCTCCGTATTACTTCTACCAAATTCTAAAAATACTGATCCTTGTCGCTGACTACTTCCAATTAGTATGACCAGTGGAGGTTGCCCCTGTAAAAATTTCGAAATTTAACTCTCATAAATTCTAATCCTAAGTTATTTTTCGACTCCATACTAAATTTCAGCTGAATGTATAAACTCTTAGAAATCGGTATGGGTCACCACTTATTGTTAGTACCTTCTAGTTACTTTTGTTTATATTATTTCATAAGAAGCCATTGAGTATCACCGTGCCGAATTTCAGCTTTTTACAACAATTTCTGAAAATCGGTATGGGTCACCCCAAAGGGTCCCGGCCAGGCTGTTTCACCTATATACGAGATAACTTTGACTTGAGGAAAAGGCCGGATCATTGCATACATGTATGTACCAAATTTGGTCAAAATCGGTTAAGTCGTTCGAGAGTTGCCGAAAGACAGACGGACATTACGATTACATAAGCCCTGGTTCGGGCTAAACATAAAAGGTACCCGACGAAACAACAATAGCAACTTGTTATTAACATTTAACAAGTCTCTTACTCCTCTGTTAATGCTGATACGAAATCATAGATAGTTGCCTGCAATCAAGTTTTCTGGTAAATTTACTTCATCACTGAATGTTTGAATTTTATGCAAATTCAACATATGCAAATAACATATGCAACATATACAACATATGCAATAACATATGCAAATATATTAACTTGTGTTGTCCGCCTACGTTCAGAATTTTAGAGCTCTTTAAAACGCGATGACAATAAAAGCACGGAAATTTGTTCTGCGTAACAGACCACAAGGATTACCGAAAACATCAGATTTTGAACTTGTGGAGGAAGAGATTTCAGAAAACTTGGAGGACGGAGGTATGTACATACTTATGTAAAGAAAGCTTCCTTTTGATGTTTTGTTACAAATAACAATGATATTTGCGCACATTATGGAAACATTATGAAACAGGGATAAAACTTTTTAAGTGTAACACTTCCAAGAATTCGGATATTTTTGGAATTACAGAAATACTTTGTAAAGCAGAATGGCTCAGTGTCGACCCTTACATGCGATTAGTTGCCAACAATTTGCAACTTGGCGAAATGATGCCAGGAGTTCAGGTAGCTCGGTGAGCAATATGTTTGAACATTTTACAGAACAAATGTTACTTGTTCATCTAAGCAGTCATTATTAAGTTTTGTACGAAAATGGTACAGTAAATCCCCTATTTCTAATAATTACGTGTATGATTGATGATATTGGTTAGTACAAATTCGGTACTTGTTACCTTTCTAACAATAAGTACAAATTATAACAGAGTTATCAAGAGTCGTAGCCCAGAATACGAAGAAGGATCCAAAGTTGTCGGTCTATTTGGGTGGCGAGACACAACGAAATGCAATCCATCTCTTCATACAGAGATCGAATACCTGTATCCCTTACCGGATATGAAATCACTGCCGGAATCATACGCTATTGGATCAGTTGGTCGAGTTGGGTGGGTAGCAATGACACTTATACAATTTTCTATAAATACATGAAAACGATCCATGTAAGAAGTATCTTAATTTAGACACTCAATTACATTTGGGGAAGTAAATTTTTTGTCTGGTAAAGTAATACAGCCTATTTTGGTTTGTTGGACGTGGGATGTCCTCAACCTGGAGAAACCGTAGTTGTCTCAGCGGCAGCAGGGGCAGTTGGATCACTTGTAGGCCAAATTGCAAAGTTGAAAGGTAACCCACGTGTGCATATCTTTCCTTCTGGGAATGATATTAACAAACTTTTCCAACTGTTGGAAAACATTATCTAATAAAACATTATGCATGCATTTATTAAATGCGTACCAATTTGGCTAACAGGTTGTAAAGTCGTTGGGTTTGCGGGTTCGGATGAGAAAGTCGACTTCTTGCTGAACGACTTAGGTTTCGAGAATGCATTTAATTATAAAACCGTCAACGTTCCTGACGCCCTCGTGAAAGCTGCTCCGAAAGGAGTGGATGTATATTTTGACAATGTGAGTAGGGAGATAATAACAAATTCCAGGAAAGGAAGTTATGATTGTTTACCAAAAATCCAAGAAATAACATTTTCCTTTAAGGTCGGGGGAGAATTTGCGTTCCATGTGACTCAAAAGATGAACCAAGGGGGACGGATTGCGCTGTGTGGAGCGATCAGTTCGTACAATCGGGACGCAAGCCAACCTGCTATGAGTACTAACAACGCAATTGTTTTATTATTTTTAGTCTATAATTTAATGAGGATATAATGATTTCCAATTATGTTTACAGTTCCATTTGACTACACAAAGATGATTTATAACAACATTAAACTTGAAGGACTGCACGTGCTTCGGTGGAAACATCGCTGGTTTGAAGGAATCAACCAAATCCGAGACTGGATTTTGGAGGTGAGTGAGATCACTCTCGCTACCATCTCGGAACAAAAACATATATCGACTCCATTAACTGAATTAATTTTCAGGGAAAAATTGTCGTTCGTGAAACTGTTACTGAGGGCTTTGAAAACATGCCGGAAGCTTTTATTCGTCTCCTGAAAGGCAGCAACATTGGGAAAGAAGTGGTGAAGTGTTAACGGAGAGTGTCCTGCATACAATTTGACGTATTTTTTTCTAAAATTGAGTTCTCCTCTGTCACTTTGTGTAATGTGTCGTCTGCCAGCAATAAATAAGTAAACATGCCAAAAAATGAGATGCTGGGATGGATTCAATTCTTTAAATTTATTCCAGCAACACTTGCAGTTAGGCACATGATTTAATGCTCGAGCATGTTGCGGTTTTTATTTCACAGATTTAGGTCCCATATGTACTAATGTGACCATTGTATTGTCAGATGAATTTTTTCGATTGCCAATTATAAGTTTTGATGCATTACAATAAATTGAAACCAGCTCCTTAGGTATTCAATAACAATATTTTGTTTTAGGTCAGCGCATTACTCGAGTGGCACATCAATAAAGCATATATAAAGACCTTTGTGCAGACAGACATAAGTTCAAAAGTGCAGAAGAAATCATATATAGTGGAAATATTTTTCACATTTAGTTTAAAAAATTGATAAAAAATAGAGTTCATAATTTCATAAAATGGAAGCACCCCGTCGTGAGAGAATTTCATATAAAAAATATAAAAATAGTTTATTAACACTTGTCTCGAATCTTTCAATTGCAATTCTCTTGTTTCAATTTCCCCTCACGGACGCATATTCTCACATCCGAGCGTCGGACCAACTTGACGACAGTGCTGATACCGGCGCATCCGCTTTAAACAATAATAACAAGCTCCTGATAATCCTCATTGATGGGTAATTAATTCGCTATATTGCTGTCAGATGAGATTACGTATATTATATTACTTATATGCATATGTAGCTCGTCACTTTAAATCCACACCGCTTGACTTAAAGCCAATGTGACCGCACTGCAATTGTCATTATCTCGCACAAACTCGCAAAGCTACCCATACTTATGTGGAACAACAGCACTGTTGTTTATGTTTGTCTCAATTTTCATTGTCTGCTAGTGAATGAGTTGTCGACATGCATGCAGTCAGAGTGACAATTCAATATGCTCTAATGCATGAATTGTGAAGGAATTAGTACCACTAATCGTGAATATATTTCAAATTTTAGAGTCTCAAATTGAGACGCAATAATAAAGGTTTGAAATTATTGAGCCTTATATTAAAAACAAAATCTGACACGTGCTGACCTTGATAAGCAAGAGTTGATCTTGGTTAGATATAGTATGGCAAATACCTAAATATATAGTACGCACGTAGTACGTAAAAGATTGTTTGTACATCCAGCAGTGTGGCTTTGCTGTCGTAAATGCTAAACCGCAGCAACCAATTCCACAAAAACTATATTTCAAGATCTTTGTATTATTTCAACAAAGGTTTCGCTGGGACTACTACACCCGGCAAAAGGCAAAGCTACCCGGATTCTCACAGCTTATATCGGACGGCACTCATGCAGAATGGGTGGAACCAATGTTTCCCAGCCTTTCATATCCCACGTGGACAACAATAGCCACGGGCTTGTATCCAGAAGAACATAAAATCCTCGGAAACTATATGCTCCACCGTCCATCGCCAATCGATACCACAACAAATGATGAACTGTCCACTATACCGGAAACAGTGTTTTCTTTGTTGAATGACTCCACAAAGCTGCCGTTTTGGTGGAAATTTGTCGAGCAAATTTGGACCACCGTCACCAAAGCGGGAAGAAAAGTCAGCCTTGCTAATTGGGCTCGTTGTGACGTTCCCTTCAATGGAATTCTGCCAGAAGTTTGTACTGGTACGTGGCAATGTACTTTGCACTGGAAATGAATGAAATTCATACTGGATCATTGTAATTTTGGGCAGGTTACGTGTATCAGGACGTCAATACGCATTTCAGGGATGACTTACTAAATGCTTTGAAGCGACTTCAGAACGGATTTTCTTTAGCCATGGTGGGTGCATAGATACATAACTTCCCTAATTTACTGTGATCTCACAAAGGATCTCACATGCCTCAGGTGTAGAGGTTACGCTTTAACTATTGACTTTGGTTATGCCTGGTTACACACAATCTCAGTTCAAAATTCGGGTAAAATCCTGTTTGAAAGATAAGTACGAGATGTGTGACATACGCACGTGTAACTCGTGGGGAGAAATTATCCTGAAATGTCACACTGCTACGGAGTTGGCTTTGAGGCCCTTTAAATTACATGCGTGGTATTATCTGTAGCAGATATGTTTAAGGAAAATCTCCTTCCCACCCCACGCGTTATGACGAACCAAGGTCACAATTTTGATCGATAAATGTTCCGCAGAAGCTGCCTCTCTTTACTCACTGGCTTAACGATTATCCTCCCCTTCAAGTGACACATTGGTTCATAATCTCAAAAATTTAAACATTTAGGTGTACGATGATTTGATTGATCACGTCGGTCACAAATTCGGCCCGGATTCCAACGAGCTTAAGCTCACCTTGGTGCACAGGGACGCCCAAATCCGCGAGTTATTGATGGCTATTCAAATGAGTGGAATGGCAAACAAAGTAATGCCGATAAGTACTTATACTCGCATATATCGTATAGAAATATTTTCATCATGGCCAAATTACATAATTATTTACATACTTAGATCAACGTCATAATCACTTCCGACCATGGGATGACAAGTCTCGACAAAACTGTGAAACGCATTTATCTCGAAGAATTTGTAAATATGGGTGATGTCCATAGAGTCGTCGACTACGGTACCGTAGTGTCCATTGCAGCAGAGAAGGATAGAAGCGCAGCGGTACACATATTTGCATATTACATAATTAGTCTTTTGTGTATGTATGCACTTAATTATGAAAACTTTAATTTGTTCCTCTATGTTATCGCTGTTGGTCAACAGTTGGCACAAAGTCTGGCAGCCATTCCCTCAGCTGGTGTTTTAGTTTACTCGAAGGATGACATCCCAGAAGAATTGCACTACAAAAGAGGAACTTTTGCTTTAGACTTTCTCCTAGTTGCGAAACCAGGATATTTTATTGTTGGTGTAAAAGGAGAGAAACAAATCCCTAATGATGAAAAGTCCAGTTCTGCCCAGCCCTATGCTGGAGTTCACGGCTATTTCAACATGACAGATATGAGAACCGTGTTTTTCGCTAAAGGCCCCGGTAAGCAAGAGTTAATTTGGAGATTTTTTGATAAAAAGAGAATGTGTAACCCAATTTCTGATTATGTTTTGTCTCCCACCACAGCTTTCAAGAAGGGAAAGATACAACCACCTTTCCGGGTTGTTGACCAGTATCAAATTTTCATGAAAGTTCTGGGCTTATCCCCCAATCGGCATCATGGCAATTGGGATTCTGTGAAAGACATGTTGGTGGCATGAAATGGAATAAAAGATTTTTGGCTTAAAGAAATGTATTAACTTTGGTCTATATGTGCACATTCTAAGTAAGAGAGCACCTCACTATTGTTGTTACATCATCCATGAAAAGGAAATACTTAGCCATTGTCCGTCACAAAAACATATATAAAACAGAACAATGTCCATTCTGACTTTCATAACATAAAGCACTGTGGGTTCTTTTGTATAGACTCTGGAAAATCATGTCATTCTGTGCTTTTTAGGTAGAATTCTGAACTAGAGATAAACGAGAACAACAGAGCTAAGAATTCTCGACTTTCTGCAAAAAATTCAATAAATTGCTTCGAGGAATGCACCCACACATGACAGAAAAGTTACGATGGCTCTCTAATAAAGTAGATGCTTCTAAAGTTGGAAGTTCTGACTCAAATGCTGGTCAGGTTTTCTGTGCTGCTTATTTATTTGCATATTGTGTACATATCTATATACCTACTTTATCAACACATCATAATTACGACAATAAACTAGAATTGGAAACAATCCCCTGGAGGAGATTATGAAGAACTTCATTTGCATAATCTAGTCTAGAGAGGAAATAGTGAAGCAATGACGACGAATTTTAAAACGTGACAATAATTTAATAAGAATGATACTTGTTAGATTAGTATCATTAGCATATACATTATATTTCTATCCAGTCAAGTTCGACAAAATCTCATATGCCACATATGCGTACATTCTTATAAAAAGTTTTTCGTCTGAAAACTACGTAAATATGTATGTATGTACCTACACCTATGAAATACAGATAACCCACATGCCAAAAGTTCTACAAGTATCGTTTCTCAAAATCCAGACATACATAGTTTTCCATCTGAAGTACTACATATTTACATATGGAAACTTTAGTTCAAAAACTCTCACACTGTGAGCAAAGTTCGGCAGCTGTCAAATCGAAAGTTGTTCCGGGATTCAATTTTGTGAACACACGGATTTACCAGGGCATGAACTGGAGACATGCAATTTAGATTAGAGATCATGTTTATTCATATTGAATTAAACAATGCTCCACGCGATACAGACAGTAAAACCAACCAACAAGACGGCAAACTGTACATCCTGTGCAGTTCGCTGTACTCAAGCATTCATTGGTTTACCTTAGAACAAAATCTTTTCCTATATGCATGCACTTCCAGAATGTTAACGTGCAGGAAATTGCGTCATAACAATCATAAACCAAAAACAGTTTATTTATTTATTATGCAATTAATAACACGTTGATTTCAATTACGTGATTATTTAAGTGCAGTGTAATTGCAGTATCAGATGGAGACATACATGCATTCCTTTTAGATAGAGCTTCATCACAGCCTACTTCCTAAATTGGTGGCAAAGTGCCTACACATTTATGTATTTTAAAAGTTGCAATTCCTACGAGATTACCGGCCTTCCTTGATTCCTAGTTTATTTATTATTGTGCCATTAAAATTTTGTCAGTAAGGAAATTCTCATAAGAATTTTTTATTTCATATTAAAATTATGAAATAACATGTGCACACACACACACACAACATACACAACAATGTGTATAGAAACCTGTCAACAACTTTAGCCGGAAATATGCGTAGGAGGTTTTTAGCAATCCTCCTCTCTGCTAGGCAATTGTGGCAACATTTTAAAATATCATGAACTCACTAACCCCCACTCAACTTAATTGAGTTTATTTTTACCTTATTATGAAATAGTTTCTCTACATAATTAATGTTTTTTTTTTAAGATCTATTTATAACAATCGTAGTAAAATGCCAAAATCTCAAAAAGTATGATGACATTGAACTTTTATAGTTGAAAAAATCTGGTAGATGATCACAAAATGTACCTGTTATGACGGTGAAGTGCAACTCAATAACCTAACAAACAAGATGTTAATGTGCGTTTTTTTCAGCCAAGACATTTCGTACCATACTTAGCTTGGAGGTGAAATCGTCGTTAATTTAGATTACATTTTCTTGCACTAATACGATTAGTGATTAGCATCACCAAGTTTCATCATTACCTAAATAGTCGTAGTGGCACAAAGCAGTTCTCACTTTCGTTTCCTCTCTGTCTCTGATATCGACTTGTTGTTGTACAGGTTAAAACTTTTCAGAATTAAATCAGCACGATGAGCAGCAGCAGAGAGCGATCTCTATAATTAACCAGATTCAGTCATGTCTATCCATGCATGAGTCATGCATGCATTTATTCAGGCAGCTTTTTTTATTTAAGGTCGTGGCTTATATTTATTTATTACGCGTGAAATATGTATTCTAACACCATTGTTTGGACGAGTCAAGGTTAATTTGTATTATTTTGATGGAAACTGGCAGACATTGAAATAAATAAATAAATGAAATTTAGGCAAGTTAAGTTGGCAGATCGAATTTTGACAGTTTATGAATTTGATAAAAATTGTTAAATGTGTGTGATATCTAAACACATTTATTTTATGATAAGCCGTTCATTGTTTCATTTTCACTTTACATTTGTAAATTGAAAACATTGTGGTATGTTCCGCAAGGCAGATTAAATGCCCAGTCGCATGTGTCAACCCTGGAATAAGCTAACAATAAAATCTATTGTGGCGTGGGTCAATTTGTTCAGCCATATTATTTTACAATATCATTTTAACAAGGTTGTACAGGGTGGTTAAAATGTCACGCCACAATGGAAAATTTTTTCGATGGGAAAAATTCGTAAATTTCCATGAGTTACCGAAATTTTGTCGCTAAAATTCAATATTTTTAAAATTTCGTCATCAATGTTCCATCAGTTTTGATAATAATTACAAAAATCTTGATCCAAAATCTAGTAACTAATGGAGATTTAGGGGTTTTTCCCATTAGAAAATTTTCCATTGTTGCGTGACATTTAAACCACCCTGTATATCAAATTCTGAAATATTGAATAAATTCCTTGAATATAATTGTGCGGAAATATAATTTTGTATTGAACATATTCAATTACAAAAATTTTGTATCCTAAATGAAACTAATGTTCCGCTGCACCAAAATTATTAATGCCCTTGTCAGCATTTCCTAGATATTTATTTATAAACCTTAGAAAATATGTGTAAAACATTGCCATTTTCCAACCATGCACTACACATTTTCGAAAATATCAAATATCAAACAAGGCTTATTTCCTAGTATCCACTCTGCTTTTGTGTTTCTCTGTTTTGTGCCCAGTTGCCAGTTAGGTATTGAAAATGTGTAGCCCTTTCAACTTTAGTTTTACTTTGCAAATTAAAACTACAGGTAGGGCTTCCCTTTGATGAACTGGAACAACGCTGCATTTGCGGTCGTTTTAGTGTGCCAACATTTGTCACGATGAAGAAGAATGGAAAACAATCACTTTCGGAATTACCTAAACGAACGTATACACGTGTGACCATTCGTTCACAGACACTCGCGAATTTATTAGTCAATTCACAAAAATGAAAGGGAAACGTGGGTCACACAGGTGTAAAATCCAATGCATAACAATGATCTTGTTCTATGTACACTGGTTGGCCTGTAATTGGTTTTTTGAGCAAACAATTACTTAGAAAATGCATGCACAATAGACATGACGGTCGAAGGTCGAAAATATCATTAATTTATTATGGATAAGCATACTTAAAAACAACCACTAATTAATTCTTTGAGTATCCAATAATAATAACTATTTATTAGTTATTAAACACTTATTAGTTTTCGAAATTACTATTTTACCACCAATGATGACACGGCCTTCTTTGTTATGGCTTTTTAAAACCTACTGTTTAAAGGTAAACGACGGATGCAACCAATTCAGACCTTTTGTTGACATGACACATTCTTCAATTAGTGAATGTATCCGGTTATTATTAGAAAATATAATTGTGATAAATGTTATCTATATTAAGCAACTTGTACGTACCTTCACATGCATAAACACAGATTACTCATTGTATTTGCTCAAAAGTTTCATTTATTTTCTATTCAGTGCAAAAAGCGTTAGATGAGCAGCACGGTTGAGAGTTCTTCTAGGGAAAGGGAAAGTGTGAGGACAAGACGTTAAATAAAGTCTGGTCGAGTTAAATAACTTAATGAGGAACGGATGAGATTATTATGTGATTCAAGTGTCTCTAGCTCACTCAGGTGAACTCAAAGTCAGTTGAGAGGCACCTCTCACATCGCCAACAGGATACCTTACAAGACTTGTTGTTAGATAAGAAAAGTGCAATTATTACATACAACAACTTATTTTTGCATATGTGAGAGAGTGGTGCTAAATTTTTCAGAAACTCTAGTTCATTATTTTTTATCAAATATTTATCATTTTGATTCTTGAACCCTAAAAAATCTTAGCGTTGTGTTCTAGTCATAGTCACAAAATTAATTAGCAAAGTAGTATTTTATTCACTCCTTAACGCGTAACTGTTTGTACCCAAACAATCAAACGATGTCTTCCCTAACTGGCATTTATCTCACAATTATCGGCGTCTATTCCGCCCTCGGAGTTGCAGTGCCTACTCCTCTGGAACCTGTTGTTGTTTCCCCGTCGGCTGGTTCATCCGGGGTTGAAAATGGAATCCGGAACAAAGAACAGAACTTCAAAGACTTTTCGCACAACTTGCTCCTTCATTCAGATTTGGATGAGTTTAGCATAGAAAAAGGGGCTGCGATTTCAAGCCCTTTCGGAGTCGGATACATGTTAGCTAACATTAATGAGAAGGTTTGGAACGTGTCTAATGAGGGTGTCGGAGGAGTTCTGCAAACCGACAAAGTAGCCGACGATTATCAAGGCCTGGTTGAAAAGATGTTAAAGGTTAGTTCAATACCCAGTAAAGTTACGCATAATTCAGGGGGCTTTGAATTTCAGAAATGAAAACAACTTTTGTCAAAGTTAACTTCCGCTATTACCGCGGTCGAGTGGGTGTTTGTGGTTGCACTTGAGTTGAGCTTTATTATCATGGCGTCGGTCGTCATGAAAAGAGAAATACCGTCATCATCATCATCCTCACGGTGGAATGATTTTAATTACAGAGTCAAATGTCCATAAGCAGCACGCTATTTACCAGGGATGGAAACGTGTCCACGTCAACTATTCCGGAGGGATCTCGCAGAATGAAGACTGAAACCAAGGTCGTTGATTTTATCGATGATTGGAAGACGACATGGGCGACGATGAATGAGAGAATTTCCAATCAGACGGACGGAATTTTGGATGATCAGCTCATTCCTAAAGGTATTAATTAGATAGAAAGTTATGAAATATGTTATTAAATATGTATGAATGTATGTATAATTTTGTAAAATATTTTCGGAAAATTGGTGGTTGGTGGGGCGGAGCGTTTTACTATTTCACGATGGGCGCTTACGTGAACACGAATCACTACAAGGGTTCATGGAACACTTCTTGGGTCGATATTGGACAAAAAAAGTTTTACGACGGTTTGACTGTTCCTTACATCGAGGCGGAGGGGACATTTCCATACGTTGAGAATGAAAATTATACCGCTGTTGGTATTAAATTGAAGGTAAACTATTAAATTTACCATAATTATTAAGTTAATGAGTCGTGGTTAGTACCGGGCAATCAAAATTTTAATGCAACATTTAAATTTAGGATGGCAAAAAATCCGTAGTTTTCGTCCTTCCCAAAATTCCACTCGTCCCATTCTTGAAGACTGATATGCCTAAATTAGTCCAAACTGGATCTCCTCAATCTTGGAATTCTGTCCAGGCTAAAAATATTCAAATTCCTTCCTTGAAGATAACCCTGCTTGACCAGCACTTTAAGAAACTTGAAGCCGTAAGTGAATTGCTTTTACAATTGATTGTCTGTCCTTGCTACGAATTTGTCAGAGAGACAGTTGAATTGAAATTCAACTCTGACATTGACTTATATACATACGTATGTATCTTGAGACCTGCTGTATGCACTTTAATTTTGTGCTGACATCTCGTATTATGCGATCCTGCAACTAGTCAAAGTTTTGTAACTCGATAGATGCTATTTTTGTAATTTGTACTAATTTTGCTATTTTATAGCTCGGCGTCAACTACACATTTTGCGTGGACGAACCAGAGTCGCTGGAAGTTGCAATGAAGAAAGGTCCATATTTTATGTCACCTTTGGTACAGGCCCACCATGTTCAAATTGATCGAGGCTTTTTCCAAGTTGCTTCTGCCACAGGTACATACTTTCACATAAATATTAACGAAGGAATTTTTGTAGTTTTGTTTTTGAGTATTATAAAATATTCATATTTTTACAGGATCTAGTTTGAACTCTGAACAGAAAATGCGAGAAGAAGGAGTTTACACGGGCCCAACGGGACCGGCCGATGAGGAAGAACAAGGGCAAGGAGAAGGAGAACGCTCAGAATTTGTCCTTCCAATGGACATGGATCCCCAACTGATCAAAGCCTTAGTCGAGGGTGAAGTCCAGCTAAAGAAAGTTGACGTTGTTGTTGCTGACGATGGGAAAAATGATACAATTTCAGCAGCAGCCAGTTCAGTTGAGCAAATCTCCGTCCTTCCTGACACCATGCAGCAAAATCAGACCGTTGAAATTCCTTCTACGGAAAATTCTACTATTCAAGCTCAAACCAACGAAAGTAACGCCCAGTTCATGGGACTTCCTGACTTGGAAAAAATTCAAACCGACCTTTTAGTCACGACACCAATTGCCCCAACAACTCCATTCGTGCCGGAACCCCTTCCACCAAACACGGTCAGATTTGACCGACCATTTTTCTGGTATTTATACGACGAGGAGATGGGGCCCCTTTACTATGGGACTGTTCATTCCCTTGCCACTTATCAAAAAGAGTACGGTATCGAAACTGATGAAGATTTGTGGTTGTACGACGCTTATAAAACCTTGCTCTGGAACTGCCCCTAAACTTAAGGGTCCTAATAAAGTAACTAAATTAGTCCCGATATAAAATGTGCATATTAATTTTTATTTTTGTACAAATAATAATGACAACCACACTTCATATTAAATTTCAAACTACTATAAATCTCACCACGCTGTATACTATTAAGCTTATTCTTATTATTCTCTAATAAATTTATCGTATGAAAGTTCTATGAAATTTGTTGGAGACACAATTCCAAGTAAACAAAGTTTTAGCAAATCTTTGCCTCATGACCAGAGTTGACATCTCAGACCCAATAAACCGGTCGGATTAGTAATGCGGAATCCAACTCGGACTTACTCAGTAATTCGGGTGCATGAATGCAATACAGTTGACAGTACAGCTTTATAATAAAGTGCATCCATGCCGTTTATTGTATTCAGGTGTATCCGCACACAAGTTCTTTGAACTTTGGTGAGTTTACAGGTTGATTTCTAATGTGTGAATTTTGATATTTTCTGGAAGAGTTTACAAGTCTGTGAAAAAAGACTAGATTTTCTGAAGTTTCCAAAATGTCGAAAAAACATTATTACAAAGTCGGAAGTATTTTAATAACCGTGATTCTGACATTTTCTTCCGCAACTCAGTCAGAACAAGAGAGTTCGAGTAGTCATGTCGCAAATTCGGCCGCATTGCAGGAAAGACACCGTTTCGAAAGCCTTCTCGCTGCTGGAAGAATGCTTTCCTTTCCGTACGCAACAGGGCTTATTTTGACTGCGGTTTCATCCCAAAGAGAAAATTGGAATGTTTCTCTCCAAGGAATGGACAAAATATTGGATTTGTCACCTGCCCAGCTTTGCTCGACGTACAAGGACACGATGGAGCTAATCAAACAAGTAAGAGAGTTGAAAATAGGTCGATCCAATGTGTGTGGTCCATCCGTGATCTCAATAAAGTTTGAAAAACAATTGATTCTGCACTTCATTGTGATTGGATTCTGCATGTTACAGCACACGTTCAATCAAACCTAGATTTATTACCACGAACGACGTCGTCTTACTGGGTTGTTGTTTTAGGGAGGTCATATAATTTACATTTTTATTACCAGGATGACAATGTCACAACATCCAGCAATTTGTATCTGCTACAAAACCAGAAAAGCGATCCAACTCTGGCCGACAGACTGGATAAATTACAAATTGCTGTAAACAGACTGAAATGGGAGGAAGACCACTTCAACGCGAGTTGGGATCTGATGAATAACAATTTAAATGAAAAGACGAACAATTTATTGGACGCGAAACTCATTCCCAGAGGTTCAATTATCTTTCTTTATTGCAAAATCTATTAATAGCAGGGTGAATTAGAGCCTTGATAATTTCAATTACGTATTGGCCTTGCCTTTTGTGGTAAATGCATCACAATACTTCGATGCAAGCCTACTTGCATCCAAAATATTACGTAAAATGTGTTGTCATTCAACAACTTTTTTTTAGATTCTCCGGTGGGAAATCCGTTCCGGTTTTCAACCCAAGCCATCATGCTAACTACATTCCACTACAGGAACTATTGGAAAAATGCGTGGGTTTCTGGAGGGTTTGGAAAGTTTGGGGATGCTGAAAATGTTCCTTTTCTCCAGGCTGAGGGCAATTTCCTATATGCAGATGCAGACGACTATTACGCCATCAGCGTTCCGCTTCAGGTAACGTTGAATTAATACGCACCAATTTGCATTTTTCGTGTGTGTATCGTCAAAAAGAACTTGTGTAAGATTAGTTAATTGTAACTGAATCATTCCACTTGATCAAATTATGTATTAAATTTATACAAGAGGACCAAAGTCATCAGACACAAGGAAATTAATAGTTAACGCTTCAGACATACGTACATACAATACACCTCCAAATAAGGTACCGGATACACGTGGTCGTTAGTATTGATTGCTCAATCATTACTGAAAAGGACAAATTCAATCTGAGTCTGTCATTTTCCTCAAGATTCAATAGATTACTAACAAAAAGGGCAAATTAAGTACCTGGAACTTTGTCACATCCTAAAGTAGCTTGAATATTTAATAACAAATCTGAAACTACATACATACACGAGTTAGTTAGTTAGGTCCAATTGTTCCCCAAAATCAGATTAGTCTCATTTTCTATCATCTCATCCATCCAAACTTAATAACTTTATTACTACTCCATCCAACTCTATAATAAAATCATCTTCATTCAATAAGCCACCACAACATGCCACCCACACAGAAGCTTTATTGGATTTTTTCTTTCAATATCTGTCAGGGCGATGAGAAGTCAATGGTGTTCATCATGCCAAAAATCAACCTCACCCAATATCTTCGCCACGTCAAGAGGAAAGTATTAGCGAGCCGAATAAGGGGTGGTGACGAGGAAGAAGATTTCGTCCCATTTCCAAGACGCTGGGAAAAACGAGATTTATCCATCCACCTCCCATCATTCAGCCTGACGAATACTGATCAGTATGGGAAAGAGCTGGATGAGGTACTTTCTCCAGTTTTGCAACGCTTTCATTTTATAATCCATTTACGTCATTACATTTACTGTAGCTAGTCTTTTTAGCCCGAGTCAGAGCTTATGTACCCGTCATGTCTGTTTGTCCGTCTGTCTATCTTGCGATAAATGTCGTAAAAATAATCCGATCGACTTGAAATTTCGCGCATATGGGTGAAATTTGGAGTTGGTTTTGATGATGGACACAATTTGTCAAGTGGTTGACCGGTGGGGGTCATCTGGGTGGAAATTATGCACCAAAATTTCAAAATTGTGGTAGAAAGCTGAAATTTGGTACAGGGACTGTTTATGAAAATTTCATGCAAAAAAAATCGGATTGAGTGATAACCACAACTAGACCTGACTCGGGCCATATCAAGTCTGCACTGTAGGTTTTTTTTAACTTGAGTACTATCAAAAAATCCAATTTCAGCATAGTCAACATTGTTCTCATCTTGTCACCTTCATCACGTTTTGCATCAACGGCTTTGCTTTTCAAAAATACAAACAAAACTTTCCTTGAGTAGTTGTATAATAATTCCATAAGGAGATTCTTTTATGAAAAATGTGGTCTTTATTGTCACGCAGTTGGGAATGAACCAGACATTTTGTACTACTTTGCGTGACAGGAGTGGAACGATTCCTTTCTATTTGAGGTTAGTGGAAGTTGTGTAACTTAATAAGTTTTTGGGATTGAATGGATGAATAATATTTAAGAGTTGTAAATTTTCAAAGGCCTATTGTTTCTATCAATGTCGTGAATATTACGACGGACCACGTGGAGATTGCGTCTGCAACGGGTGCATATTTACATAATTTCTACTATTTGGAATTATAGCACAAGTTGCATACGTGTAATGTGCTCTAATTCTTGCATGTTTATTCATAGGAACTGCACTGGAAAAGTTTTATCTTGGTATTGATTTGGGTGGGGTCGGGTATCCGAAATCTGTTAAAGAATTTGAAGGTCAACCGAATCCCTCCATATTCAAGGACAAATTAAAATCATCCCAAAACGGAGATGAGTCCAGTGTTGGGCCAATTTCCGGTGGTGGCGAAACAAATCTCGATAATAGCGCAACAACTGACAAGGAAGACTTTCTTGATGCAATAACAACCACTCCGAGTGGTGATGCGGCTTTGTCGGGAGAAAAGATCGTGTTCAACAGGCCATTTCTCTGGTATTTAAACGATTCCAAGCTTGGCCCATTATTTTTCGGAGTCGTCGAGCAGACAGAAACGGAATCTGATCCAGACCCAGATGAAAATTCCAGATTTTCAGAGGAAACGCAGAGATACTTGCTGTGGAGTTGTCGGAGTTTCAAACAGTCTGGAGAAATCGGTAAATAAATAATGCCGACGGTATGCGTTTCTTCAATGAAAACTGTGTTGCACAATATTTTGAGTGAGAAAATAATCATTTTCATGTATGAAAATGCATTTTGGTTGGTTGCGGATCTTCTAATGAATGAAAACCTCGTTTCAATATTTAATTAATGTGGTCACAATTGGTAATGAAATAAATGCTTTAGTTACATGCACACATCAAAGGAAGAAATTTATGGTTTATTTAATTTCACGCTGACGGCAATCCAACTAAATTTTCATGGAATTCATTTCAGTAAAATTTTACATTGGTTAATAAATGGGAAGGACAAAAGTGAAATCTAAAACTGGTTTATTCACGTGCTTAATAAGATTAAGGACAAATGTGCATCTTTTTGACATTTTAGTCTTGAATGTATTTATTATCATCAAATTTATACCCCATAAACCTCATCATATTTAAATACGTACGACACACTTTCGCTTTATTTACTTACCAACGCTGTGAACCTGCTTTTTTAATACCACATAAAAAATGTCTAATCGAACTTGAATTTGAGCTCAACAAGTTTTTGCTAAAACAGTCGTGATAAAATTGTGGGGAAGTCAACTACCAATTTCTTCCCAAATTTTTTCTTGTTGCCCTAAAAATCTTTTATAAAATGTTCCAATTAAACTATTATACTTTATTCCCCGTATTCATCTTATTGTTTTCCCTGCATCTCAGCATAATTCATGGAAGTGACAAGATTGTGGAAAACTTTCATGACTTTTCCGAATCGTTGGAAGAGTCATTTTCAGAGTCGCCTGAAGCATCAGAAACCAGACCTGGAGTGCACTTTTTTAATTCGTTTGGAGTGGGATACACTTTAGCAAATATTCAAGAGGGAGTTTGGAACATTTCGGCGAAAGGCATTCCGTCCGCGCTGAAAACGATGGAGAAATACATTCCAGACGATTACGGACATCTCCTGCGGCTGTTCAAAAAGGTTTTTAATAATAGATCATGTCATGCACTAACAGTTTGTAACACAATTCCAGCGAATTTTAGGAAAGTGCAGCGACTGACTGGCGGTGGTGTTACGTTACGAAATTGGAGTAATTCATATGTTCACATAGATTGGATAAGCTTAAGCTTATCCAATCATAGCATAGTTTTTTTCAATTTGGATATTGCCATAAGCTAATTTAGGTAGCTACGTACGCACGTAGGACAAAAATCCTAAGAAATATTATCCCAAAACTGTGACATTTCGAACGAGACGTGACATCAGCACGGTCCAAAGTCCAAAATTTATTTAGCAATTGCTTCAATAATGGTTATTCATGTAAATATTGGCAACCTACATCGACTTTCTCGAAACAGGAAGCCCCTAAACTTACCATTTTCTAATGTCAATAATCTCCCCTTTTTTCAGAGCAAATTCAAAATAACAAGCACAATCTACTCGCGACACGGGAACGGGACAAAGCACCACGCATCCGCCTTGTCCACTCTTATGAGCCATCTCATTACGTTGGACTACGTGACAAATCCGGCCAAATTTGTCGATAGTTTCAGCTCTCTAATGGACACTGGTACGAAGGGTCACCTCGATAACGAGTTACTGCCCAAAGGTCTCTGGCAGAGCGTGTTTGATAACACCACTCAAGGCGCATATATCAACACGATGCACTTTAAAGCCCAACACCCCGTCGCTTGGGTGAAAGTTGGAGAGAAAGCGTTCAACTCGGAGGCTAAAGTTTCATTCCTTGAAGTGGAAGGAGAATTCCCACTCTTCGAAAGTGAGAATGTTACTGTCGTCATTGTGGATATTGGACAAGTAAGTTCACACCAGAGACACGCATAGTATGAGAAGCTGTGTACATACAAATGCCCTTTTGTGCCAAGATATTTTCTTATAATCATGCTTTCACATTTTCCAGACGCCCCCAAAGCAACTCGTGCTCGCTAAATCTCGCCACGCCATGTACATCCCACAGCTAAAGAAAGAAGTACGTCAGATTGTGCGAGATTCATTCAACAAGTCCCTTTTTGTCCCTACCATGCTCCGAGTACAAGTCCCTGCCATCAGTGTTACGAACTTGGCCCGGCATCATCTAGGTTTGTCGTTGGTAAGTAAGATCTAATCCTTATCCAGTAAGTAAGGAGGGGAAGGTGGCTATTTTTATGTAGTGCAGAAATTGAGTCTCAAGTAGGTATTTGCCAGTTTTGCAAGAAGGGAAAGCTGAGATTGGGCAAAATCAATCAGCTTCCACTTCATTTATGTTGTGTGTAGATGACGAGGATCAAGTCAAGTAGCACTAATCGCTTGCTTGCCTTGCTTCCTTCCTCAAAACATGTCGAGACATAACTAAAATTGAAACACTTATTCCTTACAAGATGGGCGTAGACGAGACGTTCTGCAACACAAATGGGACTGGAGAATCGTCCGTGCCAGAAGTTATTCAACAACCCATCGCTCAAGCAAATCATTTCGAATTTGCTCCGACACACATCGAACTGACAAGTGCGACTGGTAAGTGTTGTCGCATTATTTGCTTTGAGGCTTCTGTCCTCGCACGTGGATCTTTTGATTCCCCTCAACCTTGAGTTATTTAATTAAACACATATTTTACACGTGGCGGGGCGTGACACGGCTCAGAAATTTTCCAACACGTTACATACTTTAATATCCGATATGTACCATTTCCTTACAGGCTCCGCCGTTACATTAAACACGGGTGAGCTGGATCACAATTTGGATGAGGAATATGATGATGAGGACATCGACTCCATTTTGGTGAATGAGGACGAGGATGAATTTGACAATGACGTCTCCTTGTTCCGAGCAGCGTTAAAGTTTGATCCAAACTCTCACCGAACAAAGACTGCAGTTACTTCGAAACTTTTAAAAAGGCTGCATCTCCAACCACCAAAGTCTCCCGATACGTATTCCGTCTCCCCGTTGACGTATCACTATCAAAAACGAGGAAGAAATCTAAACCTTGCAGGCAGAAACTTAAAAGAAGAACAATGCAGGAACCCGGATGACCAAACTTACCAGGTCGTAACGACGGAAGGGACTACACTGGAGAAAAAGTTTGATTCCGCGAATCCCAACAACATTACGAGGACGATAGCATTTGATACTCCGTTTATGTTTGTCCTTCAGGATGAAACTTTAGGCGAGACTTTCTCCGGATTTGTGTCATCGCTTTGTGAGTATAACAAGGTGACAAATTCCCTCAAAACGAGTTCCATACATGCTTGGCTGCACGATGTGTTTAAGGTGGCTTTCTGGAAATGCTATTAAAGTTTGAAAAAAAACTCTTAAGTATTACTTGGAACAGGAAATATGTTCTTTTGTTAGATCTACATATTTAAGTATTTATTACATTTTACATGTTTTAGAATAAAATAATTTATGAAATTCATTATTTTTGTGTTATTTGAGAGATTGTAAGAAAAACTGTCTTCAGAATTGCTACTTATTTGTTATTTTCAATTTGTCATCTTGTTTTGGGATTTTATACTGTACCACGATTTTAAATATATTGGAATTTTCCGTGTCTATGTACTAAGGCTGATACCGATATGAATCGAAAGCCTGAGATAAGGTGATAATGAATGTTACTTCGTCGACGCTATAAAAATTGTGACAAAAACTTTTAAGGGATGAATGCTCACAAACTCAATTATCTATAACGAGATAACCAAAAACTTGCAGGTGTTTTTTTTCTACAGATATTTACCGGATATTAAAAAGTTTAAATTGGTTCATTCATTTGCGTCACTTGTCTAATCATCGAAATCATCTCTGGCGTTGAATGATTCCTCACAGTTAAATATGTTGCCATCCATCCGTTGAGACGAAAAGTTTTATCGCTATCACCAATTCCATGCGTGAAAAAGATACTTGATTCAATTCGCGTCAATTCAACAACCCACTCAATTTCATCACTCACAGAATATGATGAATGACTAAATTTCGTTGCAAGATTCACATCTGATAACCAAATCAATATCCGCCGGTCAATTTCATCTTTTTCAGTATTCAGTGCATACACATCTGCATACGTACGTACGTACGTACGTAGAATGCTTTCAATTTATTCCGCACATGTACACGGCTTCGAATTTAAAGACAACAAAACTGGGAGGCTGACGTTGAATGCAAAAGGGTCCATTGCCACTCGTTCAGTTTAAGCATTTTCTGAAAATATGTAGATACCAAACTCGCCGAAAGCATAATATCCACATCCACAATCCTAATTGTGAAAGAGTTGAAATTCCGCAAAATGTAGAGTGCAGAAATGCAACTTGGTTTCATTAGTATTCAAGTGGATCATGTTCAAAGGCAGTAATGGTGCAGAATTGAGAATAAGAGTCCTTCAGTGGATAGTTGAGTGAGTGTGTTACTCGAAGTACAGCATGTATGATGATCGCCTTAAAATGACGTAGAAAATTTATCGAGCAACCTGAATAGCTTGCTAAATGTATGTAAGGTTGGATACTCTTCAGTTTTCCTACATTATTTGCACGTATGTATAAAATGATATGAATATGAATAAAAGTACTTTATACCACAGAATAATCCCCATTTCACAAAGGTCAAACATTATAAAAGTGAATTTAATTTGGACTAAAATATCTTTCCGCCTTTAGACATGGAAGAAATCTTGGCAAGTAAATACACTCAATTTACCTGAATTATGAAACAATGAAAAATTGCGTGTCAAATTGTATTATTTTTCGCTTTCCTTTTGTACTTTATTACACGTATTATTATGTTGTACAATTTGCAAATAAATGCATTGACGACATGTTGCATGACATTCAACGTCACAGGAAAAATAATGTTTGATCTGTAAAACTGTAAGACAAACAACATGTTTTCCGAATTACGAAAAAGTCTGTTGTCTGTTGTTGACGTTAGTTGTAAAACAAAAATCACAAACTTTTCTCATCAAATAGAATCTGTACGACAAAAAGACCAACTGTTAATTGGACATAACCAAAGGTCAGAGATCAGAGTGAAAACTACTTTTACACCATTTACGCAACTTAATTAGCACTTGTGTCACATTTATTTCGAATTTTCTACGAATTGGCTACACAACTTTGCTTTATTATCACGTCAAAACGTTAAAACGTAACCGAAACAAAAAGGTAATTTAGAAACTATCAAAACGTAGTTACAAAATATGTGGTCCTCAAAATTGACAAATCAAAAACACTTCCGAGAATCAAAATTCAATTTAAAACATTCAAATTCCCCCTTTGTTCTTTCCTTATAGAAGAAAATGGTCCAGTTTCAACTGGTTTTTAACAACCTTTTTCTCGAAGATATTAAAGATGAAGAAGTTGATGCTGCAGAAATATGTTCTGCAGTATCAACTCACAAGACACCTAATCCAGACATGGAAGAAGATGACGATGACGATGAAATTCCTCCCGAGAAGGAAAAGACATCCATCGCTATTGCCTTTGACAAGGGCACAATTTCCCATCCACACCCAAGTTTGAGATCCAATCCTAAAATCCAGGTGTGTATGAAAGGTAAAGCAAAAATCCAAAACACAATGCAACATACGCATTTCAATCACCAAATGCATACATTTTTTCGCAAAACTGGAATCTCAGGTGCAATTCTACTTTCCCTTAAACTTGGCGAATACCCGAAAATGGCTTCCTACGATGGCTCCAAATTGGACGCAATCTTGAAAAATATGGCGTTGGAGTACTTTGTCGTAGAAAATGAGTCCTCTTTGAGACATCTTTCCCTTTATCCGTCAAGGTAAAACTTTTCCTTTGTATGGTTATAAAAAACCCATCATTATCACACAAAAGAGTTTAACCATGTGTTTAACCTCATATCAATTTCCTTTTATCATTGACACCACACATACGCAGCCAGTTTTTCATCGTGGCTCCAACCCTGCAACCCTGGAGTAAAAAGTCTGAGCTCTTCATTAAAGTTGCCTTCGTCTTTTGGAACATGGAAGAATTTTTCTCCAGAGCTTTGTCCACCTCAATGCCTCTCTTGATAAAGGAACACTACACGGATTTCTCCCGCTTCATAGTCAACATCTTCACAGGGCTTTACCGCAATACGGAAGCCATCCCGAATACGGACATTCCATCGTTGAACAACATGCTAAAAGCCTGGTTCAACATTTACACCGATCTTAAAACACAGGTTGCCGGTTATGAGAAATATCACCACACCGTCCTCAACGAGCTGCTTAATTGGATCGGTAACTATAAAATTTCCGCGCTGTACATGGGCGCCGAATGGGAGCCAACGAACCAGCCGTACGCCCTGGTGAAGAGGTTGGGTGGGCGGAAAGTCATCCTGGAGCTGTACCAACTGCTTTCTGCCACCTATGTCGACGACTACATAAGAGATCACCCGCTCTTTAAAATGTTCCGAGAATCTGCCGACCTGATCTGCAATTTAGTTTATGACGTTGTCAATTTGACAAGGGTCGCCGAGGGGAGAAAGTTTTGTAGGAATGCGTTGCTCTCGGAGATTTTGAAGGGGGAGCAGTTATTCGAAACGGCTCTAGAGAAACACCTGCTAGTTATAAATAACGAGATTTTGGACTTGCAAAAGGCTGCGAAAGGATTAGCACAAGAATTTCAGGGTGTCGAATGTGTCGAGAAGTATGTGCGAAATACGATGTTTCATTGTGATGGGATGATTCGCTACTTATTATCGCAAGATAGGTATGGCAAGTGTGATTTTAAAGTTATGAAAGTTGTGAGCATTTCACAGGCAAGATTTTGAACGGAAATGTATACACAAGAGCAGCGTCTCATAAATATAAGGATGGAGAAATCCAGGTGGATAGTTTTCAGACAAGTTGTGTATGTATGTACACTGTTTATGACAGTTGTGACAGGAAAGACTAACTAATCCTAAGAGCAGACTTCTAACAATAATAAATACTAACTACTTCCGATTATAATGATTTGTATGTACAGATTTGTGTAGCAATTTCCCCTGACTCACCACTGATCGTACCACTGATCGGCCTTGATTTTAGCAAATGAGGAAGCTACACGGGTAACCTTCGACTTTACATACGTATTGTATTTTAATTGAGCAATTTCCCCATTGACTATTACATACATTGTATTATACGTATGGTAAAATTATTTATAGACAAAATTTCCCAGAAAGTTGCGACTCAACTCTAGTAATAAGAGATTAATTGAACAAAACTTTATCTATGCATGTCTACTTGCGCAAGAGAAATGTGAGACGTTCAAATTATTTCCGACAAGTTGTTATCTCCTGGTAGAGAAGCTAGCTGGCTACATAGGTACGTGCAAATGACATACAATAAAGTTTTAATGGATTTACACAATTCTGGTAATTTTGTAAAAACTCAACTTCACAGGAAATAAAGTACTATCTTCTTACGTTCGTTCTTCTATGCATGCATATGTTTCAGAATGGGGGAGGAGAAGAATCAAATGAACACGTGCACATTCGTTTCATCATCGCTTTCTCGCTTTCTCTCACTTTCTCCACCTTCACATTTTATCGATCCAACACACATCCACCACTGATCTTATTTCCATTCATAATCCATTCGAAATTTGAGTGAATCATGAAAGATTCAATCATTCCCATAATTCCATTCACACGAATGTATGGTAAAATAGTATAACTTATCCCACAAAACCCGCATCTTTGAGAGGATTACAAACTGGATGGAACATTTCCTTCTTCTTTTGACACTTTTCATCCAGGAAATTAGGGACTGACGTAAATAAAATATGAAAAGGTAGATTATACTCTGCAGCAGATTCTAGTTGAAATTCTATGTATCATAATTTTTTTATTAGGTAAGTACTTTGTGCTCAAAGGGACACATTGTCAACACCCGCAGATCATTCTTAAACATGAAAGAAGAAATTTGCCAATGCCCAAATGTGTGGAAGAAAGTCTTATGCACAGCACATGATCGATACATGGATATTTAAGTAGTAGTGTGTTAACATGCTGGGAAATTAATACCACCCAAAATTGCTTTCTATATTTACCAAGTTAGCAGCCCGTCAGCACGTCTTTCTCCCCAGTCAATTGCCATTTAAGCCACTTGAACTCTCTCCAACTGGTTTACCTAACATTTCGCGTTCCTTCGTGCTCCCGGAAAGTTCGTTCAACCGTGTAAGCATGTAATTACAATTTGCATGCAATTTAATCTCGTCAACGCTTGGGTGGGGAAGTAGTAAGGAAGAAAGTGACTTGGGAGCGTGACAGTTGTTGAACGTACATAAAGGGAGCAAATACCTCAATGAATTTTGGGAATACTAAATGCTTACTTTCGCCTTGTTTGCTATATTCAGTTGAATATTGAACCAACCAAAATTGAATGAGTTGAATTGATGCCTGGCTAAATTTAGACGGAGTTCCATTTTAAATGAGTAAACTCATAAAATCCGTGTTGGAATATTACTACGCGTGTGAGTGCACCACGTATTTCCAAAAAATATTAAATCTCAGTCTTTAAGTGGAGCCAGGTGTGCAGTGCACAACACAAAAGTCAAAGCCCCCTTTCTTTTTTGTTTGGTTTATTTCTGCGAATTTGGTTTCCTTGTAGTTTTACAATAAAAGCTGGATAACGTATGTAGCAGCAGCTTGTGGCTTGTGTGTACCTTCTGTGATGAGGTGTAAGTCAGTTGGTTGGTGGGTGTGTTGGTTGGTTGTAGTCATAATTCTATGTATGTGCATAGGAGAGAAAGAATGAAAGAAAGACCTCTTACACTTTCTTTTCTTTCTAATTTAGGTCATAGCATGAATCACACAATAATACCGCAGTCACCCACCTGGGCCATTTTCTTCTTATCCCACATACTTGGTCTAGCTGAATGTTCCTGTCTTCGCTTTTTGGTACGAGAGTAGAGTCATTCAGTGGTCGAAAGAGACCAGTTTACTGCTTGGTGATGGCCAAATTAAGGCTTTCATACTTACTCCTAATCTATGCCGAGATTTAATAAAGCGTACGTTTTGAATTCTATGCTGTCTTCTAGCCAAAATTTATAAAAGTGTTGCCTTGAAAAGAGCATGGAATTCAAAGAACTGTGTCTTATCTTCCAAGTGATTCAGTGATATTATTAAGTATTTGGACATTAAAGAATTTAATCAAGAAATTTTGTATGACTTGTATTTGACATTCTCATAGTATTTGATTAGTCTCATATATTTAACCTTGAATTTACGAAACTTTGTCAGCCTGGGCAATATATATGTAAGCCGTGTACAGTTTCTAATTCCGACAAATAAATAGCAGGTAGAGTCAAGTAATACGTATTTATGGTGTTTAGTTTCACCCTTACCACAGAATACCCTTGTGCAAAATTGGACCGCTTAAGTAATCTCGGTTTGCAATAGAAGGTAATTATTTGGTGAAAGCAGCCCATTTACACTTTGAATGGAGCTGGCTTATATTTTAGCAACCTCAATGAAGGTGCAGTCTTTTCCCTTGTTTTTTTTCTAATCCGATTAGAACCATGTTTACGTTTACTAGCATCAAATTGCAGTGTTTTATGGATAATTGGATCACTTATTGCGTTGCAGTTCCAACCAACACTACTTTCCCCTGCATAATATTTGAAGGAAAGCAGTGCTGCAAGCAATACTCTGCTGTTGACAACTAAATGTAAGCAATATCATCCACCCACCCACCCTCGCCCTTGGAATGAATAGTAGGACACCCATCCTCATCAAGACCAATTCCTTTAAGTGAAAGCAGAACACTGAAAACGAGACTGGAATGGAAATTGTTGCAAAAATTCGCAACATGCAGACCTTCAAGCGGACAAGAATTCGACCTCAGGAGCAAAACTGTCCACCGTCGCCTATTACAACCAATACCAATGACGCCTGTTCTCATGCAAACTGTTCCTCCTACAATATGGGATTCCCTTTAAGAATTTGTGTCAGAGTTTGCTCCATTATTGGAATGGTGAGTGAGTGAGTAGACGAGTAAAATACAAATGCAAATTCCCAGATAAAACTTAAAAGTTGGGTGCCAAAAGCAGTAAAAGGAATAGCTTCGAGAAAGAAAGTTGGACCAATTTGTAGTTTAAGTGCGTCCATTTTGAAATTAGAATTTGAGGGCAGGAATTCCATTTGTCCATTTGTTTCATTATTTTGAGTAGTATTTATTTGCTTATGGGTGGTAGTGGCAGATAGACAACGGCGTGTGTGTAACACGGTCATTTCAATCTGAATCTAATTTATGTAGTTAACAGTATGCTTTTCATGACATACTGTCAACGTATTTACAAGCACAGGTTGACACAGGAGTGGGTCAGTTTGCTATGTATGAAATTGAAACCTTGTTCAGTCAGCCACATGCAGACACAAAAAGATCAAGGCTACATACATATGTCCAACATGGTCTGTCAGCTTTGTGTCAATAACTGCTTTCTCCATATGTACTTTTCCACGAATTCAAATTAATTAGTCCGTTGGAAAATGTATGTACATGGGGCGTTTGGTATCTTTTACAGGCATCGTCGCTCCTCTATGTCATCTCTGGAACGAGTCTGATCACTCACATATCGCAAACAGAGACGATTGGATTTTCCACTTTCTCCGCTCCTCAACCTTCCATTGCAACGACGCGACACATTTATTACAAACGGAATGGTAAAACATACAGACTACATTATCTCTAATTATGTGTAGAACCATTAAATTGCTGCAGTTTTTTGCGATTTCATAGTCATACAAAGCTTATAATTTTGTGTGTACGTCTTTTGCAAAATTCAGAGTCAACAAATATTAAATTACTGCATGTTTTGCTATTTCATGGTCACAAAAAGTAAATATTGCATACACATACGTCTGTTGAAAAATTCAGAGTCAACAAATTTCGAGAATCCTCTAAACTGTAAACATAAAAATACATGGGGGTAAATGTCCCATGTCATGTTGCTCACCACGAGCATTAATTAATTAATTAATTAATTAATTAATCGACGTTTGTTACCCGAAAAAGGACCAATTATTGTAATCACATCGTCATATATTCTGTACCACAAGGCTAAATAGTCGTAGTATATGCCTTGCCCAACTAATGCTCTTCAGACCGAGAAACTGTAATAAGATTGTCGCAGGTCTAGAGAAACACTGCTGCCCTTCATCCAGAATGAATGGGCTCAAATCATCTGATGATTCCTTTCCTTTCAGACTGACCGTTGTAGGTATATACAGAGATGATCTAATTTATTACCATTGTCCGACGGCGACTCACTCCAGTGGCTTGGGTCGTGATTTCTTAACATTTTTCTACAACAATTTTGTAAATTAAACGAGTCCCTGGCGAACTTGTGTAGGAATTTTCCCCGTATCACACACACCCTCCTTCTCGAATTTCTTTTATGACTAATGATGAATGATGATCGTTATGATTTCACAGTTGGATTCTTTATCGGTATCGCTGTGGTCCTGGTGATTCTCAATGTCATCCAGTTCCTGTCGGACTTTCTCCTCCTCGTGTCAACGTTTAGGGTGAGTGATGAGTTACTCACGCGTGCGTATTATCTACTTTTTTCCGAGAAATTTCAACTAAATATTTTCATTTTCTGACAATAAACAGACCAAGAAATATAATTCGCTCTGGGTCTACATGGTGCTGGACATCACGTTATGGATCATGACGTTGATTTGTTTCATAACCATTTTTTCCGGCGGGGGTTTATTCCTCCTGCTCGTATTTCTTCTCGGAACCGCAGTTCGTGCCTATATCACGTTCATTTTACACGAGTACATGATAGAAGAGAGCAAACTGCAGGATGAAAGTCGCCACGATATCGAGAAATGTACACCGACTTTCACCTCGCCAAATGGCAACCAGCTCCACCACCAACAACCTTCCCCAATACCTGAAGAGTCAACTGCTGTAGAACCTTTCTCCGAAATTGAGGGTGATGAATATGTAAAGGAAGAAGAAGAAAGCCATTTGGGGTCTGACGTTGAGACAGAAAGACAAGGAATTGAATTGGAAGGAGGAGGAGGTGAATACTCAAATAACTTGAATATTTCTGACACCTCGGAACACGGGAAGGAAAGTCTGTCTGATGAAATCCCGACGGACATGGTCTTAGGAAAAAGAAAAGAAGAAGAATATTCTATGCGAGATGATGCATCTTCCAGAGCAAAATCCAATACAGAGGAAGAAGAAGAAGATTCCTACAAAAAGCGTGGCGATGAAATTGATGTCGCCGTGAGGACTTTCCCTCTTGATACCGTGCGTGTTAATGGAGGAGGATAATCAGTCCTGACAATCCTACCTTTTGTTGTTGACAGTTTTCCACTCTGGTCGAATTAATCCGTCCTTACGCAGAGAATGAGTGTGTACCTTGTGATCTTGGAAAAGGATGTTGTTGATATTTTGGGATGTTTTTTTTTTGTTTTTGTTTCAGGAAGAAAGTCACATGTATGAGTTCAAGTTTGTCAGATTGCGTTAATGTTATTGCTGGATTATGTCGGGTTGAGTACCACATGGGATTTTATTTGCAATCCTCTATACCACATGTAAAGAGACTGATTCGTTACAAAATAAAGGGTATGCGGATGAAATACGAAATACTTGGAGTAGAAATCTACGTGCAATAAATGTAGTATTCAAGTGCGCATTTGTACGTATCACTTTTATTTCATGGAATGCCGACTCTGGAGAATGTGCTCGATAACATATCTAAAATGGATTGAGTGTTGCGGTAAAAGTCCGAGATGAGACTGAAAGTAATCAGGAAGTAGAATTCCTGAGAGAGGGAGGACGAGTCGGCGATGCTTCAAATGTCGGATCAGAATTGTACGAATTATTCGGATGACTTTGAACTGACTAGACGACTGCGGAATCTATTTGTGGTTGGTTGGTTGCATTTGCACAAAAAAACAGATTGCGTAAGATTTTATTTCACTGGAGAAAAATACTTTCTCCTTGCAATATTCCCAAAATATTTCAAAGTATATTCTGCACAAATGTATGTATTTAGTAATGTTTTATTCATTGCCGTAAGTTTATCTAATTCAATTTGATTCGTCTGTGTCTTCAATTTCAAAGTACGAATTGATACCAATCAGGTTTCGATCAATGCCCTTTGTTATTTTTAAACTAGGGTTATTCGATTGAATTTCACTAACCTATCTTTTATTGACTTTTGGATTGTGTAAGAAGTATCCATTGCGTACCTTAACTGGTGTAGAATTCTGTTGAAGTGAAGTCATATTTAAATAACTTACATAACTCGTGGAGAAAGTTTCTTAGAACAATATTCTTTAAAATAATAATAAAATTCCGAATTTTCCACACCCCCGAAGCAGGATTTATTAGTAACTATATTTATGTCTATGTCTACTATTTTTTATCAATTGTCTGATAATATTTTAGCGACTATAATTCCTATAATTTTGCACCAAATTTTAAAAGTATTTAAGCGTTCTCGAGTGGCAGTGGGGGTTTCTCTTATAACGATTTCGAAATTCCAACCTCGTATTTACATACTACAAAAAAAATCATTTTTATCATCCATACAAAATTTTAGCTGAATATAGAAATTGGAATTGGTTTGAGTCAGTCCCACTAGTTGAATAATTTACAAGTGGACTTCATATCTCTAGTTTATATTTTCAGTGGGATCATCATTTTGAATTTCAGCTGCTATTTCAAATATTCTATACCGACATGTGGCCTTCCTTCGGAACAAATATTGCCTTATCGAACCCATTTTCGAGCTTTAAGTCCCACTTTGGCTTGTATTTCAACTCGCTCGGATAAGTCTGAAGACAATTTTTGAGATGACAGACGGACAGACATGAAGGTCGCATGATCCTCCTTCGGGCTGAAAAGTGCTGTAACTCGAGATCGATTTTATCGTCGCAATTTTCTGAATATTTTAAACCTACAAATAATATTGCTTTCTTTCTTTGACTCGTTGAGAAAGGGTTTCCGTGTAAGTAGTCGCTACGTTTCAAAGCTAAAAATATATTTATTTAGTAGTGCACTCACATTGATATATCTATTTGCCTTCCTACTAAAGCTATTTTTGTCATATACCATCTTATCATTCTTATACAGATATCGCAATAGTTCATACAAGTATGAACGTTTTGTGAACCTAATAAACTTAGGAATCCTTTTGAAATGCAAACAAATTATTTCTATAAATATTTTCAACTCATTTTCGTTAGTGCTTTCTTAGGATGCATTTACATGCATACTCGACCTTGGATTTGTATGATATGCAATTATTGTCAGCATTCCAGTTATAAATACACGCATATCAAATCTTTTTACTATTATTTGTCCTCATTTTCGGGAATCCTTTCTAGTTGCGAGGCACAAAATTGAAAACCTGATTGGGCAGATTAGACATACTCGTCCCTGAATGTCTATGCTCTACCAAAAATGACCGCAGTTCCAAATGCTGCAAATGCGATTCATTCCCTATTCATTTGGCCTTTAATAAATAAACGATACAATACATTCTGAATTGCAGACTGGAGTGTATATTGCGCCATCCTTATAATCCGTTATTAAACTAGCGAGCAGGATTAAATACGGTCTGCAAATCAAGTATACATAAGTCGCGAATAAGTACATAACAAATAAATGCTCAACAAATGAACATGATTAATGGTATTGTTACGTTGGATTAACGTGGCAAATATGGGTTTATAGCCATAACTGGGCACACTTATGTACATATAAATATGTGTATGTAATATTCTATTGCTCAATTCAATAGTCCATCTTGCAGATAAAGGATCAAATTACAAACCAAGTTTTTGTTCACCTGTCGGGTTTCCTACTGAAGCATCTGATATGGTATCCGAAAATCGTATCAATATTTCCATTGTCTCGTAAATTTAAAGGCTTCATCGACTCCATCATCCCGGATTTGACATAATAGCGTCGATGTAAGAAGATGAGAAAATTGAGATTGATCATGATATAACAGACCAAAGTATATATGTTATTGCTCGTGGTTTTGGTACACATTTTTTTCTCGGAAAAGAACAAAATGAGTTTTCTTTTCATTCTTTTGCCAAGTTTTTATGTAACCACTTGGGCCTCAGAGTGACTTGTTGACCTCGTATCCTTGTAGGAGAATTGAATGATACGAAAATTGAAAAGTGTAAAGTGGGCTGCCTGCTGTTATGCAATATGCACACAGGTTTATTAAGTATCATCAGCTGCTTATTGTGATCGTTTTGTCCGTCCGTCTGTCCGTGGGCAGGATACCTCCAGAACGCCTCAACGCCATTGTGCTTCTAATTTTTATTTCTCGGGCGAGTTTGGTATTGGGGTCAATCGGACCACCCCCACAACGCCAAGGGTGTGGTCCAAACTTAAGTTTAACCTTAATTTTCATATGGGGTGTCATGTTAAAGGAAATTTCACCACGAATTCAACGCCGTCAATATTTTTGACCTCGTGACCGCGAGGACGAGGTCATACGGCAAAAAATACATAATTTTCATCTATGGCGTCATTTTGAAAGAAATTAAATTTTCTGACGCTACTTTTTTATATTCGTTTGTGAGGGTTTATTTTACATGAAGTCCTGTGTAGGCATATATGTACGTACATATGTAGGTACACTGGACAAAGTTAGAGTCAACTATGCAGTTTAAGGATGCAGCATTACAAAGATGCACATACCAAGACGCTAATTAATTTTAATCACAAGTTTTATTCAAAAACGAATTTCACATATGTATTTATCTTAATTAATACGATAAATTGTCAAAAACTTTTAACCATAAAAAAATATATTCCAGACATTCATTCTTAAACTCTCATCACTAAACTAACACACATATATTTTCTTTAATTCGAGACAAAATATTTGCTTATGTGCTTAAGCACTCGAACTTTCAAGCCAACATGAGAAACAACTTCATTAAAAATTCTCCAACAGCCAAAATTAACGCTGCACTTTCAAAACGTTATACAACTTTGCAGACATAGACATTTTTTACCCTTTATTATTTACTTTGTTAATATTTTGTACAGAAGAACATTCACTATTATTAGGGGACATTGCAAAATTGCAATTATAGCTACATCGCAAAGAAAAGACCCTTCGCACAAACAAACTTTGCCTTAAGTCTAATTGGTTGTTTGCAAAGTTTAGATTGAACTTGAAATAAGGAGGAGGAGAACCTTTTCCACCAAGCGAATACATATACGATTACGTAAATCCCTTGAAAATTGCATGTTACAGATATATCCAAGATTTAGACCCTCGTTAGCACACATTTTCTGAAAATAAATACCCGTCGGCGTCCTTATTTCTGAAACTAGCCAACAGTCAAAGGATATTTTCTAGACCGGAAGAAAGAACAAATAAACTTGTGGGTGGGTGGTGGTCATTTTAGTTGAGAATGAAATGGACGACTTTCTCTCTCTCTGTTACATAACAACCTGTAGTCTGGTACATGAGATGAATGAATGGTCGCTTTTGCTTTTACCCTCATTTCCTTTAATGTTTATCTAACCTGGCCTGATAAAGTTTGTGCAATGTATGTATTTGCGGTCTATAAATTTCGCCTTGAACGGTACTTACCACCGGAAATTTTGCCGGAAGTCGTTGAAAAGTATAGAAATAAATATGGGCTCTCAGACTTCAGTCACATTAAACATGGACGACGTGTTTGTATGGCCCTTGTACATATGCAGCCTTTTCAACATAATGTTGACATTGGGCTTTTGGTAATGTGGGGTCGGATCTCGGCGGAGCGTTCGACCACAAAACAGATTGTTGAAAGCTCGACGAAATTTGACGTTTAAAAACGCGTAGATCCACGGATTCCACATTGAATTACTTCCGGCCAGCCATTGAGCCAGCGGTGTGCCAATTGAGACGACTTCAAGCTCTAGAGTTGTCAATTTTCCGCCAAATTTTATCCTGGAGAAAATTATGTAGAGGGGCAGCCAGCTGAGAGCGAACATTAAGACTACGACGAGTAACATTTTGAGAACACCGGCCTTCGATTTCTTGTGGATAAGTTCGACCGATGAGTTTCTAACGTCACATGGCAAAGGTCTTCGCCACACTCGGAGCCAAATAACAAAATAACAGAGCGAGATGACGCCCAGAGGGAAAAGGTAGCAGAGAATCAGGTTTCCGAAGAAAAAGTAGTAATTCTCCCAGTTGAATCCCTCAGGCCAAGTTTCAACGCAAAATTGAAGGTCGGGGTATTGGCTGTCTGCGGCGGAAATGTCAAAGAAAATTGCCCACGGGACGCAAACCAGGGACGACCATATCCATATCAAGATTATGCAATTGCGCGCTGTGGACTTGGTCAATTGAGCGTGAAGTGGCCATTGAATTGCGAAACATCTGAAAAGGGGCAAAAATAGAGTCATGTCGTTAATTAATATTTCTGTATATTTATAACTTAAGAAACATTGATAAGTAATTCTGAGGAGTGCATAAGTAAAATAGAGATAAAGCAAGAATAATATTTGACATTTTTGGCTACTTTCACTTTATGTTTGCTTGCGAATTTCCTTTGAAAATAAGTACTTTTGATAATACTAATACAACTTTCTCGCAACTTTATTACTGCAATGTTCAATTTGTAATTGTTTCCCTTGAGGATTACAATTGGATACATTATGCACACGCAATGGCGGACATTTCTAGGAAAACTTGCTTTCACTAAAATGCTCCAAAATGTGTGTCTGTGAGCGGCATAGCAAACGAAGCTAAAAATAATGTTTAATTTAAGAAAAGGCTATAAAGCAATTTAAGACAGGCTTCACGTGCTAGTTGAAAGCTCTGGAATAGAGAAACGCAATGAAATCGAATAAAAACAAATCAATTACTTAATTGATAATTGTGCGCATTTTGGGTTTCTTTGTTTTCCTGTTCTATCTATATGTCTACACATATTGTTTTGCTTATCTGAAAGTCCAACTCCTTTACAAAGAACAATGTAGAAAATCTGGACTGGACACTTCCTTAATTGTTCTAAAAAAAGTTGTTGGAGAGGAAGGCAGCTCTTAAACTATCCAACGAAAATCCAAAATACTGAGAACAGATCCCAAGTAGGGTTGAAACAGTAAATAAAATTGGCACGGTTTGTAAATTGCATTCTCATCCTTCCTGGTAATGTAAATTGCTAAATTCCGCACGTCATACATACTTTCGCTTATGCCCTCGCAATCTAGAAACCTTATGCAATTTGTTTTTAAACGTGATAAAAAGTTTGTGCAAATCTAATGCAGAATATGCAATCCTCTTTCAAACTTGGTGAAAGCAGCAAGCAACAAAATGAGATTAAGTAATTTGGAAGGGCAAAAGTTTAGACAAAAGTACTAAAAGAGGTGAGCGAGCGGTGTACAAATGACGACGATGAGGATTCAGATTTTAAAGTATATTACGTAAAACGCCATAATTACCATTCATACACATATTTAGTCTGGCCTCATTCTAAAATCGCCGCAAATGTACCAGGTGCAAAAGTTTTAGTCCAGTTTCAAATACTCGCCACAAATTGATCTGACAAAAAAAGGTACAATGCAATACACTCTTTGACGAAAGATGAAAGCAACTCGCTCGAGTGGTCATGGTCAACACTGGTCAAAAAACTAACATCAACAGAGACACAAGCACGATTAAAACGTTGACGCATGAAGGCCAACTGTACGAAAACAAACAAACGCAATTCACTCTGAAACTGTTCTACATCATCAAAGAAAATAATAATAGATACGGCAAACAGTTGTCATTTTCACAAACAACTGAAACAACGCAAGATGAAATGTAAGTCGGAGTGAGTAATGTTTAAAAACGTGTCATATTTTGCTTTGCTACCTTTCCGCTGAGATGGCGACGAGGGAGTAAATGGAAGCACACACAGAAACCCCTTGGATATATGGGACTGTTTTACACAAGAACCATCCAAGGACCCAAGCTAGAAAAAAACAAGGCACAACAACAAATTAATTATCATGATTATTATTGTTCACTTTCTTCAACCAAACAACTCGGTTGGGTGGAATTAAATGTTTGATTGACATAGAAAATAGCAACTGCAAATCTGCAAGACAGAGATTTTAAGAACTTTGCTGTCTAGAACTTTCTAGATGAGGACTTACCATGCAAAAACAACGTTATCCCGATGCTTTCTCCTAGCTTTGTGCATATATATAGTTACTTTTCTGTATATGTACATGCAGTTCTCAACGCCCTTGGTAAGAAGAAGATGATTACTGACGCAAATTAATGAGCAAGACACTAATGTTTGAATATTTGGTGAAATGCTAAGTGGACTAAAAATAATTCCACCACGATATTTACTGCATAAGTACTTACACCCTCGTATTCGTAAGCTGGTAAACTTGGTGGGAGGAAATTAAGTAGAAGGGAGGATTTTTGGCATAAGTGCACAAACTTATTGGGAGGAGGGTAACTATTGGAACGTGAATTTATATTTTGTGACTGACTACAAATTACGCAGTCAAGCAATCCAGCTTTACAACATGTCTATAGAAATTAGTAATTTACATATCCGAGCATCCAACCGGAAACTTCGTAATTCTATACAGTCAAATTTCTCCTTACACACATTCACCACGAAATGTTATACAACATGACATGATCAGCTAGCATGGACTCTGGTTCAAATGAATTTGAACCTCTTGATGGAATTTGAACCAAGACAAATATTGAATGAAGCAAAGTAGGTAAAATACAAGACCGATTGTTTGAATAGGATGAATGAAACTCGTAGAAATTTGAGACTTTGGCTACCAAATTGATTGATTTTCACATTCTTCGCTTTGCTCGTGTAGATAAGTTTGGTCAGTGGTAAAAGTTTACTTTTTAACGAGACTAAACTTTTTGAACTGGTTAGTACATCAAGGTCAATGCTGCTTCAAAAGCTGGATTACCAATGTCTACAAGTCCACAGAGAGAAAAAAAAGACGCTTTTAACTAATCAGACCTCGTGTTCCGCAAGGGACGTTTTTTTTCGGGCGTGAAAGTGAAAAGCGTGCAAATCGTGTTACTGGGACGCTTTTACGATACAATGCCTTCAATGTTCAGTTCGACAATGTTCAGCTTTCGGAGATATGCCACCTACAGAAGTGCTCTTCATTCATTCGCCTGAGGTTTTCCATAGCCAAGAGAAATGTGAACCACGGGCGAACCGGATTTAGCCATAGCTTAATCTCGTACGAATGAACAAGGACGAATGGGCTGAGGTGAAAATATACACGTTTTGAGGGGTTTAGTCGCTTTGGGAAATAATCTGTCAATATGTACATACTTATGTTGGAGAAAGCGTAGCTGCAATTTTACTTATTTTATATATTTATTGCATAATATCCCATAAATAAATCGAATGTCCGCATCTTATCCTTGCTAAAAATATCAACAGGAAAGTCAAATTTATATCTTTTTACTATGCTTCAATGAACAGGCATAAAAATCTATTTTGTTTCTATACTAAAAATTGACCTCGACTTGTACGAACTTCTCAGCCTGATCAATTGATATTGATTTAATGTAATGTTTTCTCCTCAGTGTTTTAAATTCGTATTTATTTTTAATGATTTACACAACCGCGACTTTCTCAAAGCATCAGAACCCACAATCCCATTTATTTGAGAATATTTAGTGGTCTCATGCAACAAAGTAAATACCAAATGCTACCAATGCATTTTACGTATTACATACTTCCAGTTACATCGTTTGAAAAAAAAAGATTTGAAAGGGTTTTTTGACATTGTCCCCAAAATGGACATTACATAAAGTTTTTTTAGATTCTTCGAAGATCTCCACAACTCAATTGTGATGCAATACTATGCCCTTGTCCACCATCACACGTATCTGCAATGAGTCGACAACAGCAATAAAACACCCACCCACCAACTCTTTTATAACGTACCATTTTTTAAATTAGTTTCTGAAACGTGAAAAATTGTCCCTTTGTTACTTACATTTAACATTACCTGAGGGTGGTATTTGTACGAGTTGAAATTAAGTTTCAACAGACATGAGCAGTTGGTCAAAAGACATTTCTCTCTTTATTATTGTTTTCTGTACCACAAAGCAAGTTGACTTGACTGTCTTTCCATTCTGACCCGGAGAGACGATTTGCAAACTTTCTTTGCAATTCACTTTCAAGTACCTTGGAGGTTTCCGTAGTTCAATGTTTGACCTTTGAGCCTAGTAGCTTAAGTATATTCCAGAGTGCAGGTGGTCAATGTAGACACGTAGACAATGCGTGGACAATGAAACCTTATATTTATTTACAAGATAGGTAAGTATGTGACCAATTCCAAAATCACGAAAATCCCTCCCAATGCATTTTGTCAATCTGTTGTTGAGGTATTACCTACTCGTAACGGAAATTGCACACATGCACCACGAAAAAAGGATTTTGTCGACTTACGAACAAATATATTGGAGACGAGATTGGGCAGGATGCAAAATATCAAGACGAGCAGGTCCGCCAATGCGAGATTACAGATGAACAGATTGGTCACAGTTGACATCCTGGGGGTCCGAGCGACGACGATGAGGACAGAAAAATTTCCCAACAATCCGAAACAGAGGACGAATAGATATCCCGCAATCAGGACGCACATAACCCAGGCTGAATGTCGGTACAGGAGATCCTCATCCTCACCATCACCTCCACGACCAGACAATTCTACAGACTCCATCTCCACAGAGTCGTCCACCATGGGATGAACCACACCAAAGTTTTGACCAACCGGCACTGAAGATATCACGGTTTGATGATGGTCATAAACTGTCTTTAAATGGAGAGTATTCTCGTGCAGGAGGAACCAAGAGTCCATAAATTCCATTGTTTTCTTTCAGAACAACTTTTGTATCACTTTGCCTCAGAATTCTACAGGTGATGTTGATGACGCAATAGATTGTTAAACAAGAGAAATTAACCGTCACTACATTAACTAATCGAGTTGATAACTGCTGATTTTAACAGACTAATTTTAAACTAGTGCCTCTTGCAATTGCTGCGATAAGATAATAGTGTCGAGATTAAGGTCCGTGTATCACTTTACCTCGCGAGATTGGGTCGTGTGCGTGCATACTTTGGCTGCTGCTGCTGATGGCGTTGTGCTTTCTCCTCGTCTAGCAGAAAGCTACTGGAAAGAAAGCTGTTTTGGAAGTTGGGCATCTCTCGGGTTTCTGCACTTTCTCTCAATGTCTTCATTCTGGTGAACGTTCTCTTCTCGTCGTGTGTTTGTATTACTTATCTCTTGGCCAAAATTCAAGTTGAAGGTTGAAGAAGAATGGCGACAAATAATGGACGCGACGCAGGGTGGTCATTTCTAATTCATAGAATGCACATATGGTTGGTGACTACATGCTGAGTGTCTTGTTTTGTTTTGCTTGCACGACATTGTGTGCATTACAACGTTTGCCTTCGCATATGTAGAGTGTTATCTATTGTGTAATTAGTCAGTCTCTTTCAACGTGGATAAAAGTCTTGGTAATTATGATTTTCGTTCGACAAATATGTTGTTGTGAAAGATTATGATGAAAACAGGGGAAAGTGAATGGTTAGTTTCTCAGTATCGCTTCAAAAACATGGTTTGCCACAAATCAAAAGTTTTCCTTTGTGTCAACAAAGCTTATTATGCATGATTGTGTGGTACGTATTTTTGGCAAGGAAGCTTGAAATTCTGGCTGAATAATTTGTAATTGATTGAATCTTTGTTTTCCAAGTGAAATTCCAAAGTGGTAAAATGTCCTTCACTTTTAGGGGTAAATCTTCCTGATTTAGAATTTTGTAGAAATCAGGAATTAGTGGGGATTAAAACTCTGAGGGAAGATGATTTATTATCATGTACGAGAAAATAAGGAGATAGAGAGAGAAAGTTGCAGTCAAATTGCACTGATAAAGTTCCAGCACTGAAGATAACCTCACAACCACCTTACATAAAGTACATCTCAAAGAAATATTCACTTAATTAATTTGAGAGACGGTTTAGCAGAACAGTTCCCAATTAAGAGTTACGAAACAGCCAAATTGGCATGTGCTAGCTTATAGAACATTTTAATTACAGGGCTTGGCTGGCGATAATTTGCATACAAAATCAAACTTTGTCTTGAAAGTTCTTGGTATTTCATCCGTATTATGCTACGCACACGAGCGTAAAATAAAATGTGATGAGATTCACTAGGAGAAAAGTAAACATCTTTTGTAAATTAAATATTTTAGATCAAAGGATGATGAAATCAAAGCTTTTTCTTAAATAGTCTAGCCTGCTAAATGCTTTTACTGTCTAAAAGGTATGATGACAAACGAGAAGATGGAACTTTCTCCACATTTCATTATAGTGTTTTAATGCTGTCATCATTTCAACGTCCTTCAAGGTTTGTAAGCTAGTGCACGTCTAGAAGATGAAGGTAATATTTAAGATACCAAAGCAGCGGATGATGATAAAAATCAATAATTTTGATTCTAAGAATGTTTTACAAACGGAAAAAACAAGAATCACGTTTTGTCTTCCTATTAGTGCAAAGTAGATACTGCAACTTCATTATAGTTAGGTATTCATGTATGCACATTGTTAGTAACGAATTCTGTGTCAACTCAAAGACAAGGACGTATCTAACTAACTGAATAAACAATAAGAAAATAAGAAATTAATAAGATAGTACGTTCTGATTTCGAGGAATCAAAGTAAAAATCTACCTACTACTTATTCGTTATGCGCTGCTGCTTGCTTATGCACCGTGGGAAGACCATTATCTAAACTTCAATAATAAATTATAGTACGTACAGCCCACTTATGTATTTACTTCATGAATGCATCCTCCTTCATAAATTGACTATAATGATGTTGTCTGCATGAAATTTTATACAATCCAATCACTCCCACACCACAAGTGGGCTGCCTGGTTGAAGTGAACGACAAAGAGAAAGTCAGAGTCAGCTTTCTTTTAAATAAGTAATGAACCCGTCTGTGTCAACACGATTTGCAGTAACCAAAGTTCGCTTTGAGAAGTATCTAGCAAGAGTTGGTCATTTGTGGGAAAAATCAACCAAAGTTCGAAATTCAGAAAATACCCACTATTTATTGGCTTCATTAAATTTGAATTAACTTTCTTTCTGTGGAGAAATCCGGCCGCCCATCATCACTTATTTAGTTATTATCCCACAGAATCCGTACCGGGCGTGGGAAAAAGTGGACAAATTATTGGTTTTATCTGGCATAAGATACAGATAAGCACAATGACAGGGTTATCTGGATTTAAACTAAATCTTGTTGAAAAGAAAAAGAGAAAGCAGTGGAGTGAATGAAATCGGAGCAGAAAGTTGCACCATATAATTTGCACGTCACACTAAATCCTGCCCCTTTCTCTGAGAGGGCACACTTCAAATTACATGTGAATATTTTTTTGTGAAATTCCAATCCAATCTTTTTGTAACCTGCCCAAATTTGAAATTTAGCAATTAAATCGGGTGGGTCGCAGGAGTGATGTGACGATGTTAAGGTCAAGCATGGTGACCTTATCATTATTACGTTTATTACGCTCCTTCCAGTACAATTTAACACCGAGGACTGGAAGACAATCAGAAATAAATTTGTGACGATTAAAAATAATTTGTGAATTTATGACAATTCGAAAGAATTTGTGAAAATACCTGTCGTGAATTTGTTGCCAATTAATTAACCTTCGCAATGAACAAGTTGCTGTTTTCTCAGCGACAAAAAATAAAACGGGTCGTGGATGTGGCAGAGGACCTTTTGGGGTACCGGCTAAATCGACTGAACAATTCTCTTCTTTGGACCAGCCTTAATCGGCCTGGAATGACCGTCGCAGTCTCCTCCCACAGTCCGGCCATACAAGAAAGTCAGCCTGTAAATAGTGAAAATATCTCTGCTATTCGGGACGATGAGGCGAAAGTCATTTTGAGGTGGATTGATAAGCTTAAAGGCTCGGAACACCCGTTATTAAAGTACACAAAGTAAGTATTATCAATTGTAAATAGTACAAGTAATAGATTACTGCTAAAACTATGCTAACGGCTTTGTAATTATATTACAGACAATTTGACACTGGGACTAGTCTCGATAGACAAGAATTTTCCTCTTCCGCATACCAGATAAGATCCATGATTGTCCTCTTAGTCGCCAATATGTTCGGGGTCCCAGTCACTAATCAAAGTAGTGCTAACATATTAGTCCAACCTTCAGAAAATATATGTTCCTCAACTGATAGTGCAATTGATAGTGTTGAATCAAAGTAAGTGATACATAGTTTTGCCATTTGTGTTCATTTGGGAAAACATGTATTTACTTATTGTTTTATATTGCAGGCAAAAGGCACTTGCCGAAATTGCTGAAACTATTTATACCGCCCATATGCTGCACCGAACCGTAGTAGAAATTCCAAAAGAGGAATTACCAACGTTAGGAACAGTTAATAGTACGTGTGCATCCGATGATGGGCCTGCACTCGAAGAAATGGGGATTTCTATGCATCAGGGAAATAAAGTCGCCACATTGATGGGGGACCTACTACTCGCTCGGTGCAGTAAAGCTTTATACTCCTTGAAGAATTCACGCGTGACGGAAATGATGAGCGACTCGATAGCAGATTTTTCCGAAAGTGAAGCAATAGCACTGTCAGCTCGAGTACTTATTTCAAACCATAGAACTGTTGGTTATAATGCTTTACCTACTTCAAAAGATTTAAAGTTAATTTTAAGCTTTGACAAGTGGTTAAGACGTAGTTCACTTGGGATCGGATCCTTATTGGAAAACGCGTGCTATAGTTCTTTAATATTCTCTGGCCAAGAGAATGAAGTAAGATTACTCGCTGGGAAAATAGGACACAAAATTGGGCTTGCCCTTCAGGTGAGATGTTATGACGATTGACTGTGTTCGTCGGCTTAACTTTAATTAAGTATTTTTAACTTTCTAGGCACATAAGGACTATGTGACGTTTGAGAATGAACTTGATTCATCACCTCAAATTGATTTGTGTTCACTTCCTGTAATATTTCAACTAGAAAACAATTCTAATCTGATCTCGTCGGGTGATGTCAAACAGGTATGCTTACGTAATACATTAATGCGAGGGTGGTGCAGTAAATATTTAGAAAAGCATGTTAAGCTAAAAAAATCACAGCTTCCAAAATGTGTTCAACTTGAATTATCACAATCAAAATTCGATTGAAAGCAATCATCTAGTTAAATTTGTAATTTGACGTCGTTGACGGTAGTAGTAATGGCTTAGATAGGATGTAAGCTCACGAAAATAGGCTAGTGTACTATGCTAAATTCATTTTTGTGCATTCCCTAGTACTAGTAAATGAGGATAATAAAGGCTATTAATAATATTAATTAAGCATTGTTTTTCTAAATATTTACTGAACCACCGTCTTATGTATGTACAAATACCCATGATGTAATATCTTATAATCACCTATTACTCTTTCTTATTTTCTAGATCCACGAAGAGGTCAGAAATAGTTCATATGCCAAAGCGAAGACGAGACAGGCGCTCTTAGTATTAACGGATGACGCGATTCGGCATGTATCCAAATTTTCGGGGTCATCATCTAAACTTCTGCAAGATTTTTTAGCAACCTTGTCTTCTTGAGCTTTAGATGTAATAATTATCAAATCGTGGGTATTATTTTAAGCAATAATAACAACATGGACGTTAATTGAGATCAATTTTAAAAGCTATCCAAAGATAAATTTTAAGTTTAAAGAAAATCTATTCTTAGTCAGACAGAAGACCGGAACATGCATAAGTTGCATGAAGGCCTTCGCTATATTGTTTTCGTTAATTGATATTAAGTTGATCCATCTGCAGGAAGAGGTGAACCGGTCAATGAGTAAAATATAAATTGTTATTTTGAACGTAGTCCATATCTAGCCTAGATTATATCGTGACTGATAATCTAATTTTACTTGAACCGGTACTATTATACATCGTGATTCGTGATACAGACAGAAATATAAACGCCAGCAAGTTGTGCAACTTGTGAAACAATTTAATTCATATCCAGTTATTGTACAAATTATTTAAAAATTTTATCAACGGCTTACCATTTCACTGTACGTATTGTTATATGTATCCGCATAAAAATTTGGAAGTGTATGTAGGTTTAATAGGATAAATTATTCATGCAGTTCGTACTCACTTCCACGTTCCTAATTTGGTAAAAAAGCTGGGATCATAATGGGAGATTTCCTTGTCGGTAGGTTTTCCTTTCTGATTTGGTCGTCTCTGGCTTGGAGGTCTTTTCACAGGAGGCATTTGTGGTGAATAGCTTGGCGAACTGTGGTAGCTGCCAATCTAACAGAAAGTGTTGTTGGTTTGTGTAAGTTATGTATGCAGATTATGTAATGAATATTTTAGGATTTAATACCCCTTGTTGAGATGGTCCATCCCCCGGCATACCGTAGTAAGGTAGATTTATGGGCTGTGAACTACTGTGCGGATTACTGTAGCTAAAAATACATCGAGTATCTGGTCTGCAATTGGAAAATTGTTCTTGTCCCATCACCGACGGAATACTATATGTTCCTTGAACTTGGTAATTCTGGTATTGAGATGGAGCCTGAATCTGTGGATGACTTGATGTCCCACGATTAATAGTTGGCCTTGCCGAGGCTGACACACTTTGAGGTTGATACTGCGGAAATTGGTGATTGAAAACGTGCTCCCTTCCAGGACCAATGGAAGGTTCACTTCTTGGGGAATGATGCATGTACTCTGACTTATTTGGTATTGGTAGTCCAGCCAATAAAATTGTTCCGGTTCCTGTATTTATGGAAGAAGGATAACCACCACTGTTGGGAGCCGGTGCTTCCGTTGGAAAAAATTCATGACGATAACCCCCCTCGTGACCTCCAATAATATTTGCTGTTGAGGCAAACTGTTGGGGTTGGACTTGACAGTTTGGGAACATTGGGGTCGAAAATGACTGGACAACTCTTTCAGTACCAAGTTTGTGACTATTTTTCTTGAGAAAATCTACCATCACTCTTTCGTTATCTTTAATTTCTGCCCTTTCTCGCGGAGACAGATCATGACTTGACTGTGGTGGATTGTGTATCTGAAAGTTTCTCGGAGGTGGTGGAACCTTTGGCGAATCATCCACGTAGATCAGACTCTGTGAGGCTACCTTTTTTTCTAACTGCTCAAACTCTTCTGTATCATCATCGGACACGTTTGGACTGTATTCGTCACTGGAAACCACCTCTTGTTTCTTCTGCTTTTGATAAGATGTCGAATTCTTCTTGATTTGGACGCAGACTTCGACCGTACCTGAGCTGTCATCCTTCCTCAAAGTGTTATTGCTATTATAATGATGATGATACGAGTCTGAGGATTGGTTGTGTTGCTTTCGATTATTTTGATTATTAAATGACTTGACCTGATTCTTGCCAATGGGCGATCGCACTTTCACCGTAGTTTCAGTATATTTATTATTGCTGTTGTTCGGGTTGGAGGATGTCTTGTGGGTGGCAATGCTTCCACTTTTCTGACTGGACGATGGTACTTTCTTCGCTGTGAGTGATGGCCTAGTTTGATGTTGCACAACTTTCTCCCATTTTTGCTTCTTGGCATCGTCAATGTGTGCTTTTGCCTTTGCACACGCAACCAACTCTGATTCTTGACGCTTTAGTTTCATCTCTTTCTTCGCATCGGAATGCGTTTTAGGGCCCGTTGTAAATGGAACGACATATTCGGGTGCTTGGGCGTGGTGATGATGTTGCACAAGTACTTTCTTTTCTAGTTTCTCTGGTTCGGGTGTCGTGTTGGGAGGAATTTCAGACACAGGAAGAATTATTTTAGGTTTTTGTGTTGTAATTAACTTTTCTGAATTTTGGGAATTTTGAACTTTCTCTGAAGGTGGTGGAGGAAGATTTGGTGATGGAGATTGTTCAACTGGAGGCTTAACTCTGGATTGTCCCAGCATTTTGCTTATCTTAAAGTAGTCGGTTCTAGCCGGAACAACAACTTCTGGTTCAACAGCGACATGACTTTGGCGTTGAGGAATAGCTTGTCCGTCATGAGGCGACATTACATCACCAATTTCGCCACCACTATTTTTAGGATATTCATCTCGAGGAGTGAAAGTGGAGCGCCTACCAGACGACTGGTCACCCTGGTTCATTTGATCACGTGGAGGGAGGTCATTGTGATATGGCAAATTAGTCTCATTCTGATTATTGTTGTGAGTATCTCTTGAAGAGTTGTGCACACTTTCTCTCCTGGACTGATGACAAGTCCGTGGACGAATTTCCGTACATCTGTCCATGCTATGAGATCGGTACGACCTTCCACTCCCAAGATTATGACTTGCTTTCGGACTGACACTTCTACTTCGGGGGGAAGAAGTCATGAAAGGGTGTGACCTAAATCATTAACCCGAATTAACGTCCTAACTGCTCAAAAAAATTAAAGAGCACAGCTCACATGGCCGGGTTGAGTTTGGCACTGTGGATCTTTTCCTTTTCCTGGAATGCTTTCATCAAATTTCTACCAGTGGACCTCATTTGAATGTAGTTTAGCATACGATCCTTATCCTGAGGGTTTAAAAATATGCTCGTATCATCAAATTTATTGTGAATAGTCGTGAATATGTACCCTTAAGGATATCTTCAATCCGGTAATTTCATGCCGAAGTTCCAAGGCATGGTTATTGGCTTTGATAAGTTTCTGCTTTTCTGCAGAAATTTGGTGCTTGTGATTATTTTCCATAATCTCAATGTGGCGCATGTATTGTCGAATCTTCTTCTCGCATCCGGCAACATTTCCTGACAAAATGTCAACCTGCTCCTGAAGATCGTTCCGCTCTTTGAGATTGTCCTTTGTCGCAAGTGTCTTTAGCAGTTGTAAATCACTCTCCATTTTGGTCAGCTTTCTGTCTTTGAACCGCATCTTCTCCTCCAACTCGCGACATTGGTACATTGACTGCAAAATGTGTCATTAGCATGATTTTACTGTATTTACGCGTGCATTGTTTTGTGATTTAGAGAAAACATTAACCTTTTTCAGTTGAATTTGTGTCGCTTTTATTTCATCCTTATGCTGCTGGAGTAGTTTAGGAAGTTCGGCATCACGCCCTTCCCACTTTCTCAGAGCAAGAGATTGTCGATTTTGGCACACTTTTAGACACCGATTTTCCTTGCGAAGGTCCTAATTAATTTTACCTCAAAAATTACACCTTCATTCAATTAATTAACTTTAATTAATTCTTAACTTGTATCTCTCTCACCTCCGACTCTTTAATCAATACAGAAATCCTATTTTTCAGATCATTGATGGTAATCCTCTTTGCAGAAGCGACTCTTTGTGCCACATTTCCACCCACCTTTCCTGGCCCCAGTCGCATCGGAGGATGGTATCCGGAAAGATATGGGGCTGCAACAAGTCTCTTTTCCCTCGTGTAATTCCGATTAGTGATGTTCGTGCTCCCTGGAACCTTCCTGTTTCCGGACAAAGGTCCCGTGCAAATCGTTGTCGTTGTGACACGATAATTATACGGCTTATTTCCTCCCGAGGTTTTTGCTCCTCGTCGACAACTCGAAGTGGAAGTGGAGGCTTGAATAAGTTGTCGGACACGGGGAGACATGCCGATCACGATCTGGGACGATTTTCTGGAAACTATTTGCTGATTGAACATACTATCTTCAGATTTGACATGGGCCAGGACAATGTCCGTGGCTTGTTTCTGCTGCTGCTGCTGTTGAGCTCCTCTCATGGGTATTATTCTGGGGACACCGTTTCCTTGTTGTTCTTGGTTTTTGACCCATTGAGCTCTCGCTTGACCTCGGTTATTGTTATTGTTGGAATTTTTCTGTTGTAAAACATTTGAGAATAACTTGTTGGCAACTGCACGAACATTGATATCGCTGTTAGTCCGATGTTGTAGTCGAGCAGATTCGTTTTTATTTGCGATCTTTCTTGGCTGGATGGTTAGACGAGGGCCGGTTGTGGATTTGAAAACGAGGATGGCATCCTCTTCCTCAGATGGGGCTTCATCCTCCTCTACCTCACGACGACGGGGGGACGGATGGTTGTCTTGTTGTGGTATTTCTATTTCCTGGATTACCTCCACAACTTCGTCGTCCTGTTCGAAATCTTCCGAGTAGTAATCATCCTCGCTGATGGGGTCATGCTCATTCTCATCTACGGTACTTCTGCTGCCGGTGGAGTCATATTTTTTATTATCCTTGTCCATTCTTTTGGGGGTTGTAAGGTTTCAAGTTGTCGTTCATTGACTTACTGTGTGATTTTGATTGTTTACTAAATCCAAATTGTGTAGGGTGCAAGTGTCAATGCGGTTTCAGATTTGTCACGTAAATTAAAATTTTAATTTTCTAACGATTATTATTTCTAATTATAAGAAGTGCAAGTTGTCATGAGAGCGTGCAAAAATGGATGATGAAATTAGATAAATTTGCATTTGTCACGTGATGCACCGTATCGTATGCATAATTTCATATTCAAACAATTGTAGGTTTCATGGTACAAATGCTTTTATTACAGGACAGTGAAACAGACTTTATTCATTGAGCAATCAAGAGTGAATATTAATATTTGCGAAAATGAAATGTGTGAGTTCAGAGTTGATATGAAAATAAAAATCTGTACAAGGTGGAAAAGTTGCAGGTTGAAGGGGCAAGAAAGTGCAGGAAGAAGTGTATATTCAACAGTGGAGGATTGAACAGCGAAATGACAAGAATTGAACAGAACATTAAAAATCATGGATCTATAATGTCAGACTTTAGAAAATTTTGCTAGGATTTAATCCCAATTTAAAGGGCTCGGATAAGGGCGTCATTCTTAGCAGCAAAGTGTTGAAGTTTGGCTTGGGTAACCTCTGGCGTGTCTTGGACTGGAAGAGGGAGTGGAGCCACGTGGACTGGTCCAGCTATCAATACACAGAGTTAATTAATTGAGTTACCATTTAAAGCCGCTAATTTCATGATATCTCATTGATCTCCTACCTTGTCCTGGGTGAGTTGGTGCAACAGCGACGGAAACTGGTTGAACGGCAGCGACTGGGTGAGCAGCATAGGTCACTGCTGGAGCTGCGGCGACGACGGCTGGGGCCGCAACGACGGCAGCAGATCGGACGAGGGCGGGTTGTGGGGCTGGTCCGACTGGAAGGTTGGTGGCAGCAACTCTGAAACCGTTGACTGGGTCGCTGATGTAGTTGACAGTTTGGGTGATACCGTTGGCATCAATGTAGCTGTATCCACCTCGGGTCACTCCGAAAGCGTCCTTATAAAATTAAAAAACTGCTTATACACCAGTTAGAACTAGGATGAGGGTCACCTCCTACCTTGCTCTCCGTTTTGGCACTTGGACCCCCAGAATAGCCATAGCTGTATTGGCCAAGTTCATCCTGAGCGTGGAATTGAGTGGAGGTCAATCCTGGGGCAACAATGCCACCATAGATGAGTTGGGGTGCGGCGGCAGAAACTGCCAAAAGGGAGGCGAAAACGATCTAAAGAAAGCAAATTCGAATTAGACTTTGAAAATCTTTTAGGCCGTTTACGAAGGCAGTTGAACGTAGTAAACTTACAGCGGAATGCATTTTTGGAGGTTGTAGGTCGTGGATGTACACTCTTCAGAAGAAGCTGCTAACAAATGACTACGGAGATAATGTAGCCTAAGGAATTTATAGTGGCGATATTGACCTTGACAATGAAGAAATGATGATCAAGAGTTAGTTGTGCTGTCTCATTGTCAATGTCCATCCCAATCATCGCCTCTCATTGCTTCGCGATCCCTTCCTTCACACACAGATCACATCGCATACTTATTACAGTGGCGTGGCTTTTGGTGCACCTTATTCACCTTTAATAACAATTTCGTTCAATTCAATTCCGATTCGTGTCATCATGAAAAGCTATAAAATCTTAACTACAAATACAGATACCACTTATCGTACCATGTTGTAGCATCAATTCTTCTGGAAATGTGTACCTCTTTACGAGCGAGCCTTTCTGTGTGGGGCTTCTAACCCAAAACTGGTACATAATTATAAAAGGATAGATGCTGAATGTTTTTTTTGTAACCACGATCAGCATCAGAGCATGTAATTAGCATATAAAACTACATATGTAAAGCTTTGATAACTTTTGAGCTTAACTTTTCTTCGTTCAAGAAATGTATTATCATTTCAATTTACATGGAATTGTGAGTGTGTGTGGGACGTGGAAATTGTAACCAAACTCGATGATCTTCCATTAAATCTGGAAATACTTTCTAGCGTGCTTTACTCACGTCTGGGACAATGTGGCTCCAACTTCAAGGTTTTTGGTCAGATTTACCTTAAATGGCTTCAAGATACATATGTACTTAATGCCACAGATTTTCCAGGATTTAACTTTAAGTGGTTGATCGGAGCCAAGTCTGTGAATTACATAACTTCTTTTGCATGCAAATGTCCTGTTCGAAACCGGAGTTGCTTTTGTAATAAAGTTAAAAACACATCGTTGACTGTACAATCGGGTATCCATTGTAAGTTGAATTATAATTGGCACGCCCTTGTTATCATGCCCTGATCTGCTGATCAATAAGAAATGTAATAATAAAAATAGAAGAAAAAGACACAAACATTAGGCATTTTTATTGGTAGTTTATTGGATACTTTTTTGTCCATAATTACGCAAAATGTTCCATTATCTCCAGAAAGACTTAACCACAAAGACTTCTTTGTGCATGCACATCTCATGCAATTTATATTTTAGCAGCTGCAGCTCTGAAAATCAGAGTTTGTAGAATATAATCTTCCATTAGAATCACGACTCATTTATTAATTTATCATTCCTTGTTTCTGGTGAATTCAAATAAAAAATGCCTCTCCGACTTAAAGAAAAATCCAGACAAATACATAAAAATATTTACAGATCAAGAAGTGAGATTGATGTCAACGTGACAAGGCCGTTTTGAATCGTTTGGGCAGAATTACATTATTTATGAAAAGTGGTATTATTAGCAGTATTAGGCATTTATCTGCACACCTAGAGAAACCCGTTCTTGCTACAACTCATCAAACTCGTAAATGAATATCGTGCGTGACCTTCACCCAAACCTGACAGACATGGCAAAAAGCTTAATCCTCTTACATAAATATTCAGAATTGAGAAAATTATGATAATTACGGAAAATATATTCATAAAAGTGCAACTAAACACTCCAGCTCAGAAGATCATTCCTGAACGATACTTTATGCAACTACCATATTTAATTATAAATTGGCACCATCACCAAGTTTGTTTTAAATTGGTCTCGTGTTAAAGAGTTTATAATTAGTTTGTGTGATTGTTATAAGACAAACTGAAACTTAGCAAAAACTCAGAAACAATGCATGCAAACGCAAAACTACACACTAAACAATGTGTATGCGCATATAGGTACGACTTACAACTCGGAATTGAGCTCAACAATGTTACCGAACAAAAAAAGTCAATTGAACGCATAATCATGTCCATAAGTTGAGTCTATCATTGGCTTGAGGGACCTTGACGATCATCTTTGTTGAGATGAGATGGAGATGGGATGTGTTTAGTATTAGAAGACATTGTTTTGTCCCACGATGATTAGGCAGGCACTGCTTCTCTCATCCCTAACAAGACGACAACTTGATGCAATTTGTACATTGCTATTAATTGGGAAGAGTTAACTAACCCAATAAATCATGAGATTATTATAATATTTGTCTGGTAGGAAAATTATACTTCAAAATTATGCTTCCGGATCCTCATTTGTCTGCTAAATCAAATTTGACTAGTCACGTATGCGGTTCATGTTCAACCATTGTCGCAGGTATTGTAATTCATACGTGCCAGTAACCGCTTACAGATATCAAACAATTCATAATTTCAATCAATGTCTCATCATCAGTGGTTTTAATCCTCTAGTCTGCAAGGGCACCCAGTAGAAATTGCATACATTAATTAGTAAGAGAGCATATTATATGCATGCAGTTTCTGCTGTCTTTTGTGCTTGAGTTTGTAAAGTTAAAAATTAAATGTGTGATAAATAGATACATAGATCAAGTCCGTAATGTGAATGTGTGCCAGCAAATCCGGAAGTTCGGGTGCCAATTGTTTGTGGAGGATTGTTTAATATGTGTGTTGATAATATTGTATCCCCTTGACCGAAATTATTTCTTGCTTCAGTAAAATAAAAATCCCACATGATTTCTGTATAATTCTACCGGTTTGGATGGAATCTGAAGCAAGTTTTTATTTCGTATTTATTGTAAAACCTAAAAGTTTGTATAAAATTACGTACTAGTATATGAATAAAAGTAAGGTTCAGATTCAGTTATGATGATGATGATGAGATGTTAATTTGATCTAATATTTTATCCTCCATTACCTTCATTGAAACGCTTCTGAGAAACGGCTTCTCCATATATTGTCCAGGGCCCCATTTCACCACACCCTACTCTGCACTCCAGATTCCGCACTCCGCACTTTACAAAATTTGTAGAGTGCAGAGTGGGAGCGTTTCACAGTGGCGACCTACTCCGCGAACTTTCGCTCCACAAAAATGAAGGTTTGCGGAGTGAAAATGCGGAGTTCATTCACCAAAATTTCAGAACTTTTTAATTTTCTCAATGTTGTTTCATCCTCTTCTTCTCACACGACTGACACCTTCATAAATTTATTGTTCTATACCCGTGATCGTCCAATCAAGTGATAATATAATCAGTTAATTTAATTACAAAAATATTGGATTGTAGATAATATATTTCACTTCACTTATGGTTGATCAAAAATCATAAAGAGAAATACAAAAAACCAACAGTGCAGACTTGACATAGCCCGAGTCATGCCAAGAGTTATCACTCAATCCGACTTTTTTGCATGAAATTTTATCTGAAATGTGTATCAAAAAATCTAAAAATTTAAATTGATTTTTCAAATTTAAATTCATATTCTTCCATGAGTACCAATTAGCAGCCTATGTGACAAATTTCAGCCTGATACTACGATTTAAAAAAATCGGTATGGGTCACCTAATCGAGTCCTCCAGATGAGAATTTTTCCTATTTTAATTCATATTGTTTCATTAGCATCCATTACCAACTTTTCTACCAAATTTCAGCTCGATTTGACGAATTTGAAAAATTGGTATGGGTCACCCCGTAGGGTCCGTCCAGATGAAAATAGGTCCCATTTCAATTCATACTTTTCCATTAGTTGTCAGTAGAAATCCAAACACCAAATTTCAGCTCGATTGAATGAGTTTTAAAAATCGGTATGAATCACCCCCTAGGGTCCCTGTAGACTAAAATTTTACTTTATATTCTTTCATTACACACCATTGTCAATCTCTATGCCAAATTTCAGCTTTCTACAATAATTTTGAAATTTTGGTGCATAATACCCCACCACCCAGATGACCCCCACCAGTCAACCACTTGACCGATTTCGCCCATCTACGAACCTGACTCTTCATTTGCCCCTTTTCTACATTTGTGCAAAATTTCGAGTCGATCGGATTATTCTACGACAGTTATCGCAAGGCAGACAGACGGACATGACGCGTACATAAGCCCTGACTCGGGCTAAAAAGCCAATTGCAGAGTGTCCGAGCACTTTGCAAAAAAATATGTAGAGTGCGGAGTTTCGAGCGATGACCTTTCGCGGAGTAAAATTTGGTGAAACGGGGAAGGTCAAATTTCACTCCGCACTCCCCAAAATTTGACTCCACAATCTACACTCCGCACTTCACAAAATACTACTTTTGTGAAACGCTCCACTCCACAAATCCACAATTTTTTGTGTGGAGTACGGAGTGCGGAGAGCTGGTGAAATAGGGCCCTATCATATCTAGACTCTAGATTCTAGAGATTGAAAGTTTAAACTATGTATGCAGCATACTATTTTAATATGATAATATGATAAATAATAATTTAATTTATTGCGGAAAATATATAAAATGATATTGTTCGTTTTCGGTATAGCATTCTTGACCGTGCTAACAATTGGGATTATTAATTAATTATTTTTATGCGATATTTGAACTTTATTTGTACAGATTCTTTAAATTCGGAATAGTTCTGGCCAATTTTCACTTTCTTGATACACCACCATTTTCATTTCCATTTGCATTTCTGTTCTGCCATAAATTTGACCCACCATTATTATTCGGAGGGTTAATTACAGCATTGAATTGTCCTACGAAAAGCCATTAAATATTAATGTTATATAAATTATTTAATTAACTAATTGTCAATTAAATATGTATGTTTATATTACTCGGTCTCTGTTTCCATTGAAAGGGCTGAACATGGATCGGTCTCTTGCCGACTGAATTGCTTCGACACGTTGAAGCATCTTCAGAAACATTGCGATAATCTGTGCCAGAGTCTCCAATCATTGTTTCGTCTCTGAAAAACAATGCATAAGTAGAATTAATTATCTAATAATTATTAGTTACAAATTTGCCACGTCGGTAAGATTTGCATGCAAACGAATCGAATCACAATGTGATTTTAAATATTATCTCATGGTCCATATTATTACATTTTCCAGTGGAAAACACAATATTAATTAATTAATTCCGACCTCATACAAAAAATTAATTTAATTTAATAAATTGCCAATGTCAAGAATATTGAAAATGCCAACTTGGACCTTGCATTGTGTAGTAGAATTCCAAGTTTAAAGGAAATTATATCAAGTTCAAAACGAAACTTACCTATATTTTGACAAGCTTATAACTTGTGGGAATTCGTGCAAATTTGCTGCCTTGGTCTTATCACGCGACGTTATTTACTACGTAGAAATTGACCGAAGAAGACGCTCAACATCCGCTCAACTGATGATGCAATGCAAGCAATGCAATAACTTGCTCCTACTTTATTTCCAATCGAAACGCTTAAAAAAGTTATGTTATAGGTAACTTTGCAGAAAGAAACCGTAAGTCACGAAATTGTGGGAGTGCTACCAAATCTATGTGACAATCTTAAATGTACAAATCACATCAGTGATTATTCAGATGGGACACAACCCACAAATCTTCCATCGTTATTACAATGAACTCTTATTTATGTAAACAATGTCCCCGTTGTATTGGCAATAGGTAACTTTTGCATGGGCGTGCATCGTCAAAATCATGTGATTTTGCATAGTCCTCAAATATAACTGTCATAACTGCAAATTAACAGCAAATACAACTGTGTTGAACTTATATACGTGATGATGGGTACGTACATTGCTGATGAAGAAGGTCCGAAAGTAAACTTACTTATTTGCACTAGTTCATTCATACTGTTGTACACGTCCCCCGTATTTCAAACGGGACTTTTAACTTTAACTCGACAACAACAACAACAACATCATCATCATCACGAATTTCACCAACGACGACCGGGACCCCAACCAACTAGTGCTACAAATGTACATGCTTGCTAACAATTCTCGAAGGAATGCTCGTTTCTGCCCCTAAAGAAGATTTATTTCATGCATTTCATCAAAGAACGTATTACATAATGTATGACCAACTAATGGACGACTTTATTTACAATTTTTTTAAATAGTTAAACACATACACTCGATTGAGTATATAAATTAACAAACACGACTGACCAAAAAAGAACTAAACAAGGTACATAGAAAGTAATATACTAACAGTAAATAAGTAAATAGTATGTGTAAATGGCGAAAGTTTATTTGTACAAAAAAACACTGAAATTATGAAGTTATCATAATCTTGGTATTAATATCTTGGTTTAGTTTTAGGCTCGATACTCGTTGTTGCCCCCACTTGAGGCGGTGGTTGGCCGAACGTGCCATTCTACTCGGTCATCATAATTCGCAGCTTTCTTTGCGAATACTCCAGCAACAATGGCGGAAACGATGAGATAGATTAGATTGATTCCAAGAATAGCGCAAAACGCCTGCCCTTCTGGATTGTATTGATAATACGTGCCAGGAAATTGGTAGAGTTGATAATAGTTGTAAAAGTAGTAGGGATAAATGACACGATATTGGAATGCAAGGCCGAAACAGGCGATCAGAACGATGAAAATGAATATGGCTCCGGCTACGTATCCGATTGCCATTCCTTTGGCGTTCTGCACATGTAAAGGAAAATTAATAATATCCATATTCTTGAATACTGGTACAAATTATATGCATTTAGTAATGTTTTACGTCTTCGTTGACACAGCATAACAGCAAAGAGACCAAAAATTGTATAATTCCAGCCCCCAGTGCAATGGCGGCAATGGTGATAACCCTGTGATATCGGTAGATATCATACCCAACATCTTGATACCCGATACCAGCACCAATCCCTCCGTAATATCCTGTTTGGCCACCCCCATAATAATTCCCCTGTCCATAACCGACTTGTTGCCCCCCGTAATAACCACTTCGACCTGCCCCACCATAGTAATCGTATCCTCCTCCCCCATACCCGGCCCCGTAGTAATACGTGTCCCGAAATCGGATAGCTTGGTGTAATAAAGCTCCAGAGGCGGCAATCACCCCGATGGCGAAGATCTAATAAGTTAGTAAATCAATTTTACGTGACACTAACTTCTGAATATTAAATTTAAACTTAATTTGCATGAAAAATGGCCTCTTCTTTTAATGCTCACACCATAACAAGCATGAAAAACTGAAACTTACTGCAGAAACTGTGGCCACAACCCGAAACGCCACTGGACCTGTTGCTGACGGGCGACCCATTTTATTATTTTAAATAAAATGATATCACACTTTGACACACACACAATTTGACACTTTTCTCTCCTAATTTATTACTCCGACTGAACAGAATGCTATATTTTCTCGAGCACACGCACGATTAAATGAATCTTAATTGTCAAGGTTAGGTCTTAATCGGGACAAGTGAGCCTAACTGACATGAGCTGCTCTGTCGTAACACAATTTTAAGAATGTATCGCATCACATAAACACACTTAACCGTGATTTATTTACACTGGAGAAAACGCGACGACGAATGTGTTTGTTTGTACTTACGATGTGATGCAATTTTACTAAACCAGAGATGTTATTACGGCACACAAGATAGTAAAAATCGGCACAGGTCGATGATGTAACAACGACTAATCTCTGCTACTACACACCCACTCACTAAACTAAAATAACCAATTTCCTCTCCCAAATCACGAACAATTATAATCAGTAAAATTATCTTAAAAATTCTGGCGACTTAGAATTCCTACCCACCTCTCTCATTACACTGATTAATGATGAGTAAACCCATTTGCGACGCTCGTGTACTTCATACTTGTCCAGCCTTTCAGAAGTTGTTGTAAACCGTTCCTCGTCGTATCGCGGAGTGTGCTTTGTTAAACTCTCATTTTCAATTCCACTGCATTATAATGCACCATTCCTTCTTGCATCCATTCCCATTTCCTTAAAAGCTATTCAGCTAAAAAGGAGGCAAAAATCCCAAATGTATAATGACTCATAAAATTTGTTGTAATGACAGAGCATGCACGTATGCATGTAGGGAGAGACTTAATAATGAGTAGGTAATTAACTACGCTTTTACCCCCGACGACACAGTGTTACATATGGAAAACACATAATGTAATTCTTAAATAAATAATCTATTTCCTTTCTTTAATACGAATACACATTAAACATTACCTTTACACGCAGATTGTATTAGCATTTTGTTAAAATATACATTACGTAGGAGGTTGGAGGCTGTTGCGGCTTTTGTGTATTAGAAACAACCTTAAAAATACAGCCACACTGCATGGAAATGTGGCAAAATTCTCAGATGTCAGATCCACAGAGACGTTACCCAGACCAGTAATAACTAGAATTATGGCGTTCTCATTGTCATAATTTGATTCACATGGTGGCTGGATTGCCATGTCTCATTTGGCGAATCTCGAGTCTGACATGCATGCGAATTTTAGAATCCCCTTGAAACTCCAGTTCTAAAAAAGCTGCGAGTAAATATGATGTAATTTCAATTTCAATGTTTCAAGGTGTGACGACGTCTTCCGCTCTCTGATTACCGTACTGTTCTGAATTCCACACTCTCATTCAGTTTAATAACGTTTAAAGCGACGTACTTACAAACAAATAATGAGCCAATATGTACATATGTATGTATGTTACGGAAGGATATTGTCACATTTTAATTATTATTTCCTCGTATTTTTGGCCTGTTTAATTTTGAGGTTAGCATACATATTACGCATGTATTATTTGAGGTCTGACTGAGGACGTGCATCCTCTTCCACCAGGTCTTGACTTTTACTCATAATCATTGTATTTCGATGACTTGGATAAATATTTAAATATGTATGCTTTTATCTCTTTGATGTATTAAATAACACAATAAAAGGAAGCGTCATCAAACTAAATTTATTTTGCATACTCCATTCCGTGAATAAACAACCTTGACTCATGAGAATTTTTATGGCATGACTTACTAAATTCGGAATTTGAATGCGGATTCGCATGTATGCAATGCTATCAAAATTTCTTCTAGAGTTCCTTGATACGTCTGCGACTAATTATTCGACTACTCAAAGTTTAATTGTATTTCGCAGGTAATTGTCAAACGGCATAATACAATCTGCCAACGCGGGTGGAGGTTAAGAGTCCAGCGTCGTCACATGCTCACAAAGGCAAAAGGTTTCCTGATGATGAGACATAAAACTAGGTACATTTGCTAATTAAAATCTCACAACAAAATAATAACAATGTTTAGAATGCTTCATTTATGTACAATTTTCGTAAAATATTATTATTTTATGGGTTTAAAAGTCAAATCTTCATTGTGCTAACGAAGGATGTGACGAGTTAGTGTGCGTGTCAACAGATAATCCGTCAGCGATCCACTAATGCGTACAAGTAATAACGTGAACCATTTTCATAAAATTACTAAATTATGCTCTGCCCCAAAAAAGGAGGCTCTCCCTGCCTGACAATTCCTCATAATATACAAATAATAACATGTACATGCTGTGACTGACTCGTGTGTCATGATCATGATTGATTAGCTCCAGTTTCACCTTTAGTCAATAATAATGATTTTGGACAAATAACGTTGTCTGTCAGCTTACTTATTTTGTCGGACGATCGGGTCGGGGCAAGGTTGCCAATATAATAGACACGAAATAAGGTTCATGTCTTGGGAGCAAAGTCACTTATTTAATATGCTATCTGGCTGAAATGATGATGATGAATTCTCAATCTTCGTGTCAGTCAGTGTTAACTTTTATAGTGGTACAATTTGCATTCATACGCCGAAAATAATATGAACATGGCATGAAACTTTCAAATATCGAAATGTGTATGTATTTATTTGCCATCAAATCATCAAAGCGAAAGGAAAAGCAGAACGGATAGTTTCTCAGATTTTTGAGAATCATGCAACTGTTTAACAATTTGTAAAAAAAATTCCTTCAAATTATTTGCATGCAGACTCCAGGGTAAGTAAAAAAAAAATGCATACATTTTACCATGATACTTAACCATAATTTAATTTCAAGTCCAGGAAATTACAATATAACGAGTTGGAGGTCATGGCCAACTCCCAGTTATACTCGTCCCGTGGTCGTTTGCTTTTTCAAAGGGGCAGATACATGTTCAAGCTGCGAGACGCTTTTGTATGGAGATTACTACCAAAGTTTGTCTCAATTTTCCCTCACTAATTAAGTGTACAAATTAATCATGAAATAATTACTTGGTTATTTTTTGTAATTGCAGACTCCTCTGGGAAAATAAATATTTGCTTCGATTGTTTTAGAAACATTTACGACCCGATACGACGAAAACCTGGCAATTTTCATAAAATGCGTCACTGCAGATCATATCATACGCATATTGACGTTGAGAATATTGTGCATCATAAAACAACTTCCAAAAAGATTCGGAGACTTCAACTAATGGAAAAACGAATGTGGAACAAGTTCGGAGAAAGTTTAGATTACAGAGGAAAACCAATCTGAAGGGATCCATGTAAAATCCTAACATTATCTTAAGCGTTACTTTTTATCATTCCATTGTAGAATTATGACCGAGTAAGTCACAATTATGCCGGCGACCTGAATAAATTGTCAAACAAGTCAGAATTTAATTTACTAGTTACATGTTCGTTTGTTGTGACATACCGATAAAATAAGTCGATAAGTAATTGTGAAAAACTTTCCACCTTGAAGACCAATATTGTCACTGGATGACAATTCGTGCAAAAGCAGCATCAGCTTTTTTGAGGATAATTTTTCTACGTTGTTATTCACTGCGAGCCAATTTCGTACTTTGTCCAACTGAGATAAGTACAATAAGTGCTTATCGCAACAGCTTAAAGATGTGTAAATATGTTTCTGCTTACATTATAATTTCCTTGGGCTGCCATGTATAATGAAGCAACGGTAACAATGAGATAAATTCCAGTCATCGTTTTCGACAAAAATTTACCCTCAACTTGTACAAGCAAGCGAATTTCTAAACAGTGAAATGGTAATCCAGTCATTAATACGAGCAAAGTAAAAACACGGAAAGCCTTGTTAAACTTGTGAAAGTCTTTCTTCATTTGGAAATATCGGTCGAAAATCTGTTAGAAAATTGTGAAAATGAGATATTTTAATAAATAACAGAATAATCTTAAATGAATACCTCGACTGGAGAAGATTGCGTCCTTAGTTGCTCAATAAAAACATCAACACGATGCTTTACAAAAGTGCAAAGTATGGCAAATATCATATTCGAAAAATGCAGATACACGACAATCATTACGAAAGGTACTAAACCCAAGTATAATGATAGATTTGTGTTGTCCGTGACTAAATTATGCATAAGTATCAAATCGACACCCTTCATAAATGAAATTGCAAAGAATGTAAGCGTCAAGAAAATTTTTGGGTATGGATAACTTTTCATCCATGTGGTTTTTGGTCTAATATTTGCATTATCATTGGATTTGACTGGGTTACTGGAAATGGAAAACATCCACTCGAAAGTGGTCTTGTGTGCCCAGAAAAGATAAGTTGAGTAAACCAAGAAAATGTTTGACATTACGTCCAAAGATACGTAAAATATGGTCGGAGGCACGCCGTATTCCTGGGAGGTTGATATTTGGGAAGGATTTGTCAGTTTCAAAATTCGGTAAAATCCACTCACCCAGACGAAACAGTGCATGACAATGCAGCACAACTGTGGTAAAATTGTTAATTAGTTGCCAATTAATAATATGAAACCAAAACTCTGTATACAACCTTTTGGAAACAATTAGTCACTGCATAATAGCCAGTAGTGGACGACTTAACAAACCGATAGGGCACGCAGCAGCAATAAAATCCAATGTCGAAACAAGTTTCGAATAGTTGAATTGCTACCGGAGGGGGTTCTGATTTAAGTTTGTCCCCATATTGAAGTTGAGGAAAAGGTTTAACCTGAATAACTGATATGGGAACTTTTTGCCCAATTTCACTTTTCGCCATCCTGTACCATTTACATTGTCGACTGTTTTACCATGAAATAAAACGAATCTATTTATGACGATGGTTAATGAAATTTTGTAATCCATTAAGGAAAAAATACTCCACCCAAAAGGAAAACAAGCATGTTAATCAATATCAAGGCATTAGACATTTTTAATCATTAAGAACCAATAAATAGGCTACAAGTATATTGTCTAGTCCTTTAATTGGTAAACCGGATCTGTGATATGATACATATCGCATTAACAATAAATAACTATAGAAGAATTCTCTACACAGCATTTATGTAATCAAGTTGTAGACTTCAAGTTCACGCTCAGTCTATAGACATAATCCAGATTTTTCATTTTTTTTTTACAAGAGTGCGTTATGTTTTACTGTACATCTAAGCAAATGGTAGATGAGGTGTAAGAAGAGACCTGACCTAATTCAAATTTTCATTGTAACACAATGAACCATAAAAACTGATGAATATGTTAATTTATACTGGTAGTGAAAAATCAATAATGATTCTAAACTATTATGTATTATATTCGTTACAAGGTGTATTAGTTTCCCTCCTGATTAATATCTAGGTCTTGGAGAGGAACCAGGAGTATTTGTGGCGTTTCGATTTTGTTCACTTTCACGAATGCGTTCTTCATTGAAATCCTTAATTTTTCGTTTCGACTGGCGGACGTGTTGTTGTTGCTTGTGGTATATTCTCAAAATGCCTTTAAATGCGACGAAAGCGACGCCACCCTACGATCACAAGAATAGATTTATTAGCAACGTCGACCGGACGAAAATTATATATCATTTCATGTTTATGTTACCAATAAAGCTCGTCGAAAATTTGATTTAACATTTTCGAATAGGACTTTTCCAAACACTGAAGCAAAAGTAGGAAGGAGTAAAGCACCACACAAAATTCTCGTTGCTGCAGACAAACAAGTGTTAAATTATTCAAATCTCGTTGAATGATTTGATGAAAGTTAATAATAACTCTTGTTACCTGAGACTGGGTCGGAGAGAGGAGGCAATTCTTGACTTAGCCTTTCAATAGATGTGGGGGGACTGCAATTACGAAAAATGAACATAATAACTATGCGTGCATGCTATAATCAATAAGTTTCATATGGATGAAAGTCTCACTGTATGGATGGCAAAATGTGTCGAAAAATAGGTATCTTTCTAGAATGTTTCCGAATAAATCGCAAGACAGAATCCTCCCAACGAATCATTTTGCCCAAGATCAGAATCACAGGAATACAAGGTAGTCCAAACAGGAGAAGGAGCGGATCGGCCATTTCCATTACGGTCAGACCTGAATTAAATGAATTTATATTAGAACCGAATTAAGCACAAAATTTATGACGTTGCTCATTATTACCTTCTTTATGACCCATAATTTGCATGCACGTTATTGCCCCGTACTGAAAATAATTTAGTTTTCAATTCAATTTCAATCCCCATATTCTGAGACTCCAAATTGATCTCACTCACCGTTACAGCCGTCCAGTAAATAGAACCAACTACAATACCAGCAGCAACAAATGGGCAAACACGGGAGATAAGGGCGTCGCAAGAGTCCATAATTACCACAAGTGATCCTAAAATAAGTCGTACGTTGAAATTAGAAACAATTTCTAACTAATAACAAAGAAATATTGATTAATTTAATGCTACGAGAAAATTCCTCACCTTGTGGGGGATAAAAAATGAAATATTCCGTGTTACACTGTAGGAAAATTATAATATTTACAATTTACATACTTGACGAATTAATATAACTCATTTATTCTAATGACCAGTACTTACCTGAGGACATAAAACTTTTGCTGCGGTATTTCCCTTTTGTTTTTCTGTTCAAATAATAGTATTCCAGAATTATTTTAAAAGACAAGTTGTTTCACTAAATGTGTTGTTAAACTAACCATCAATCCATCTCTGGATACAGGCTTGGTGCACCCATTTCGTTGTCCCTCGACATCTACATGGTTTAACCCACTGAGCAGTTTCATCATCTTAATTGGAATAAAAAAAATTAATAATCTTATCATCACAAGATGGTAGATATGCCAATACACCAATTCTTGTTAAGCAAACAGATAACCTACCTTCGTCCGTTGCAAAACAGACCCAACAGTATCGTTTACTAAAAAAAATGGGACAAACCGCTTTAATAATACCAACTAATAATCTCTTAATTTCAGCAATTACCTGTCTTCGTTAGGATCTACAAGCACAATAGGAGGCGAATCTCTCGGAGCAACTTCTTGGTTATCACCGCCCCCAGCAGGAATCGGGAGACCAGCCGGACCCCCATTCAAACGAACGTCTGGCAATATTATGTGAGGGATTTCGGACTCGGAGACGATAGAAACTTGTCCATTTTGACCTGTTACGTCTTCTATGATACGGTTAATCGCTGCTTGTGAGATAGATGATGACGACGTGTAGATGGGTCCTGCTTCATTGCGCAGCAAACTGTCGCCATTATCACTGCGGTTTCCATTATGGTTTGAAGTAGAGTGGGACGCGCAAGGGGGATTATTATTACTGGGTTCCATCGTCAATCTGATTGCTTCCTTACTTCTACATATACAAAATCACAAATTATGCTTCTAAATTTTTCATCACCCAATTCACAGTAAATTATTACAAAAAATCGTTTCAGTTTTCACAAACCTGCTAATAATAGGCTGCTACGAAATCCACAAGGTTAAAGTCTAACAATGGCACTTGTTATTAACAAGTTGTTAATGCCAAATTGTCTACGTCCTACTTTTTTAATTTGAAATTTCAGCCTTCACTCCTTCCTTTTACTTTAATAATTTAACAGTGTAAACAGAACAACACTGAACAATAAATCAGTCTTTCAAACGAAATAAATGCAGAAACACAAGAATAACAAGTTCATTTCAGTATCATATAAAAATTTTAATTAACAGTTATTTTGATAAAACTGTATTTTTTCAAAAATAAACTTTCAAGAAAAAAATCTGGCAATTTTATATGGCGAGTTGAGTGATGACGAAGATTGACTTTTTTGGACTACGCCGTGGGAGGGGCGACGTGAGAAATTCGTTCAATTGTCACAAAATATTTTTATTGACTTGGAAGCTTGACAATTAGGTCGGCAATTAGCCTTTAATTTGCTAATTTAATTTGCCCCAGGTCTCGCCGTCTCTATTAATTAATGGTTAATTACTAGTCTGGCCACCCCACAAAGTACATACAAACTTAACATTAATTAACAAATTTGATGTTTTCAGGTACTTTAGTCATGACGTATTGACGACCTAAACAAGTCAGAAAATCATAAACTCATAGGGTCACTTTAAAAGTGTCAACCATAATAAGGAAAAAATACACAAGAGTCAGTCTAGAATTTGTCCAGCTAAATAACAAAACTGGCATGGATAATTTAAGAAGGCGAGATTTCATTCGAGATAACGATGCAATTATGTTCGAGACTAGACTAATGTCACGCCATAAATATTATATAAAATAAGAAGATAATATTTACTCAGATAAGATATTTGGGCTGAAAGCCCTGACCATCGCAACAGAGATAACAATGACCTGCATCATTCTTTTCCTTACAACCTTACAAACTGCATATATTAAAAACCATGTAATGAATCCTTGTTTGAGTGACAAGTGCAGTAAACGATTTGGAAGTTTGTGCAGGTTCAGGTTAATAAAAAAACTGAGAAAAATTCTCATCCCGATACCTGCACAACTTGAAATAACGGAGTTCAGAGTTTAAAACCAATTAGAATTCTTTTGTTGCTGTTTGTACCATAAAAATTTTGCGGTTCTTGTTGCAATGAACTAGAAAACATGTTTTCCTAAGACAAGGGAGGCTCCCTTTACAAATTAGTCATGCTTGCGTAACTGACGAGGTATGCAGTGAAGAAAAGGAACCCGATAAATGAAAAAAAGGTTCCAGAAAATAGGGCCGACCCTTATTTTATGGGTCAATTGTTTCTAATGTATTCATGTTTTCCAACCATTTATTATAAAACCAATGTATGTATGTATGTATGTAACCAAGTAACCCAAACAGTCTGGAAATCACTCATTATCACGTCTTGTAATATTCAGCAGTCTTTTTAACACTTGAAGTTCAAGTCTTGAACACAAACTTACATAAAAATGTCTCGGAGCATTTGTCACGATAAAATGTCCAGAAAAGGTGTCATTCTTGTTATCATGGTTGTAGTATCGTGTTTCAGTGAAGTTCAAACAAAACCAGTTATCTCTCGATTTAGTGAGTGCAGACAGGCTTATAAAATCATCAATTTATGTAAAACCACTCAGATAATAATAACTAATATTTTCCCCGATAGACAAACCAGGGAAATCCCCAAAGGTTACGAAACCTCCAAAATCCCAAGGCTACAGGTCATCAATGTCTCATCAGGATCGTCTGGAGTCTACTTTCCCCAATGGCTACATAGGTCCCCCCACCGGAACACCTCCCACATCCGCAAACAAGCCAAGCACCTCGAATCCCTTGCTTCACCTCACCGTCCACATTCCTCCAGCCTCCGTGAGTTATGTAAGTTTCAAGTGCTACATAATATTAATTATAATGCCGATCTGTCAATCAATTAAAAATTAAAACTCCGTTTGTTATCTGACAAATCATGATTATCATAAATAGTTAATTTATCATTGCACAGGGAAAAGAGCTTGATGTCAAGGCTGGCGGCGCGTTCACCCTGATAACGCCCATGGAGAATTTCCATTACTCGTCCAGGTTCGAAATACATACATAAGAACAATTATCGCCATTTATTTTGTACCAGGTGTTCGTCAGTGCATTCAGTAGATATTTTAGTAATCAATACCTACATGAATTTTAGTGGCAACGTCAATCTGCGATGTTCTTTGATCCAGTACCAAATGCAGAGCAGTTATTCCCCAACCCTGGCGTGCTTTTATCTACATTTTCTGACCCTGAAGAAACATACCGGGACGAAGGGAGGAAAACAATCAGAACTATGTTACATGATGGTCAGTAATGATGATCATGATAATGATAAGTACTTGCCCAAATAGTTAACAACTCTTGGGTACAAATTTTTGTACATATGTGTGTGTCCCACTTCAATAAACTCTTCAACCCTCATTCTGGATTAACCGTCTGTACTCTGTGCCTACTGTCGTCACTCCCACTTAAAAAAATTGTTTTACAAATTCAATCGATGATTAAGGGTTGGATTGCATGCAAGTGATAAGCTATTATTTAAATGAATGTGATTTGTCATAATTGGGGTGTGTGTCTCTTCCGATGACCAAAGTTCATGCGTACATACACACAAAAACTACTTGGCCATGAAATTCGTGGCAGATAAAGCTAGCTTATTGCTTAACGGAGTCGAGGGTTCAAGTGGATTTACGATATAATTAGAGAGCTTCAGAACCTTTTGTTGTCAGTGTGAAGGTGAAGCTTCACAAGGCAAGTTGTGTTTTCATGAAACTTGGTGATTTTAAATTTTTTAAATTTTATTTTTATTCTTAAAAATTTTTAACTTTAAGAAATACAAACTTTTTTTACAATGAATAAAGTGCTTCTTTTTTTAATTTTTACGACGACATTGACAAGTTGCATACTTCCTTGCAACAGTAAAAATATTTTAGTTTTCTTACCCATTTCGAGTCGGAGCGTCAAAAATGTGTATCTCCCACTCATCAAAGAACTGGCGTCAAAAGGCCACAATATAACTGTCGTTTCGGCTGCAAGTTCACCCCCCATCGAGAACGTTGAGGACATTGTTTTTGTTCCGGGGGAGAAAGTACTGGAAAGATTGGCAACCCCCTTTGACCTGCTGCGCCTACCCATCCGGATAAGGTGAAGTTTCACAAGCTAAGTTGTTTCTCATGTAAATTTTTAACTTTATGGAATGCAAATTTTGATTCAAGGTTGGCCGCACTGAATCCCGATTTGATGCAAATCTGCACCGAAATCTACGAGCAGGAGGACTTCAAAAAGTTGGCTAAAGACCCCAAGGGCAAGTTCGATCTCGTGATTTTGAATGCCGTTGGAAATTACTGCTTTTATGGACTTATCCACGAGTTCCAAGCTCCCGTCATAGGCGTCATGTCGTTCCCGCCCCCCAACTTTGTTACCGAGCCGTATGGATTGCATCTCCCTTACAGTTTTGTTCCCGTCACATTCCTCGGCTACACGGATAAGATGACCTTCTGCCAAAGAGTACAGAACTTTATACTGCAGTGGCTCATCCGTTGCAGAAAATATTTCCAACATAAACCAGAGAGTGACAAGTTTATAGCCAGCAAGCACGGACCAAACATTCCATCAATTGAAGAAATTGAGGGGACATTCAGTCTCCTCCTGTCAAATACTCATTTCGCTATGAATTCTAAGCTGCCCTTAAGTAAGTCAGGATGAAAATGTGTACTGGATAACTAAAAAATAATTCTGCCATTAATATTTTCAATTTCGTAGCTCCTGATATTATCGAGGTTGGTGGAATGCACTGCAGACCAAGTAAACGAATCGAAGAGGTTGGTTTTCTCTGTTTGTGTTAATTCATGAAATTAATTTAATAATAATATGGAATAAATTTATTAATTTTAGGGGAATCTCCAAAAGTGGTTAGACGACTCTACGAATGGATTTATCTACTTCAGCTTTGGATCTGTAATTCAAGGGAGCCAGATACCCAAAGAATATAAGATCATGTTTACCCAAGTATTTTCAAATCTCAGTGTAAATGTTTTATGGAAGTGGGAGAGTGATTTTGCCGAATTCATTGGCGAGATACCTCCCAACGTTCGGCTAGAGAAATGGGTTTCACAACAGGACGTGCTAGGTAAATTATCTAACCAGTAGTTTTCACTTATATCAACTGATATATATGTAATTGAACAAATTAATATTTATGTGCGTAGGTCACAAGAACATAAAACTGTTTATTTCTCATGGTGGAATCTTGGGCGTTCAAGAAGCAGTTTATCACGCAGTTCCAATTCTTGGATTTCCATTCTTTCTGGGTACGCATTAAAGTTTAAGCCATACACGATTTTAATATGATGATGCAGAATTCATGCTAAAATATTACATCCTACAGATCAGGGTCAAAATATGGCTTATGTTAAACAGAATGGAATTGGGGAAAACTTTGAAATATTGGAGATGACTGAAGAAAAGCTTAGTGAAGTTATTAATCAAATGATCACGAATGATTCGTAAGTTACGATAATCGCTATCAGTAACTTATAAATATATGAAATGAGTGATTTTTTGTTCTAAAAATATTTTCTTATTATTTTCGCAGATACAAAACACAAATTCAAGAAATGTCACGTGTATTCCGTGACCAACCGCAAACCCCCCTGGAACGGGCTCTTTTCTGGGTAGAATTCGTCCTCCGCCATGATGGAGCTTATTTTTTGAAATCGGCGTCTCGGGACCTCTCGCTGTTTAAGTATCAATCATACGACGTTGTTTTGTTTCTTGTCGTTGCATCTCTCATCCTTTTAATATTTTTTTATGGATTGTACAAATATTTCTGGATAGCTTTTTTAATTGTACTGGGAATTTTAGCTGTCATTTTAGGCATAGCTTGGCAAATGGAATATATCTGAGTGTGGTACACAGTTGTTTTTGTCAATTATTATTATCTACACAAGCTAATTTTAAACTTTGTAATGTAAATAACAAACGCGTAAAAAAAAACTACGCGTGCATAAATAAAAATGTCAATGAGCTCTGATTATCTATTATTTGAAAATGGGACAGTCATTTAAATAGCTACGAGCATGACAAGATGATGAGAATGAGATATCATAAACTGATGAAAGAGTGATTCACCATTTAGTCATATTCAATCATAAAGCACTCCAGGCAGCATCAAGGTTATTTTTTACCTACTAATTTTTTCATGCACAACTAAAATTATCTGTGTCCATCCAGAATAAGGCAGTACATATATTCATTTCACTTCACTCAGATTTCATTCTAGTGGCGAGTGTAGTTTTACGACGAAATTGAAGATAAGATATGTCGAATATCTGTTTGACATGGATAAGAATGTGCGCAAAATTATCTGCACGTGCTGCATAGGACGCCTGATCAAATAGTATAAATTGTATCTTGGTATGGTACATGCTGATTTATTCGGCTGAATTAAATGTGTTTTGTGTGTGTATAATTAACATTAACATTGATTGCACAAAATGAAGAATTTGGGCTTCATTGGACTGATTTTAGTGGTAGTGCTTCAATTTCAAGATACTCACCAATCTAAAATTTTGTTCTTGCTTCCAGTAGCTAGCAAAAGTCATGTCCATGTATTTGAGCCTCTCGTTCGAGCATTGGGAGAACGCGGACATGAAATTACATTCCTTGCTTCACAAGAAATAAAGAATGCTCCAAAAAATGTCAAGCAAATTGTGGTGGTTCACGTGTCGGAGATTTTTAAAGATATGCAAAATCCCTTTGACATGAGAAAGTCTGGAAAATTGGCAGGTTGGTCAAGTCACACTGTTTCTTTTTTTCGGATAATTATGAACTAAAAATTATATGTATTTTAATTTTTGTGCAGCATTAACCAACGCGAGCACGAAATACATAGATGATGCGTGTGAAAAAGTTTTCGACAGTGACGAAATGACGGACATGCTCGAGAATGACAAGTATGACTTGGTCGTAGTGGACATCTTATTAAATTATTGCATGCTAGGACTCCTGCCACATTTCAAGGCACCCTACATTTTTCTGACGACGATGGTGGGCCCTTCGTTTGTCATGGGTATCTACATTATTTTTTATTTTTTTATCAAATTTTATACAAATACTAACAGTAATATTCTATCCAGATCCAACAGGAAATCGCCTCCCACCAAGTTTCATACCTTCCCCGTTTCTGCAGTATTCGCACCGTATGACATTTCTTGAACGCGTGGTAAACTGGAGTTTCAGTGTGATTATTGATATTGTCGCACAACTAATGTTTGTTCCCGACCTTGAAAAAATTTACCAAAAAAGACTTGGCATTGATACAACAGTCAACGAAATTGCTATGAATGTCAGCATGATTTTGTCCAATACACATTTCACTCTGACGTATCCCCGTCCATATTTACCCGACGTTGTCGACATTGGTGGGATGCATACCAAAAGTGCAAAACCTTTGCCGTCGGTAAGGTTTTTGAAAGTGTACAAATACGAATTTGTATACAAAATTAGGCTATAATTGACTAAATGCATAATGTTTTAGGATCTCGAACAATTTGTTTCTGGGGCGGAGCACGGATGCATTTTCTTCAGTCTGGGATCAATCGCGCAGGGAAAAGATATGCCTGAAGAATATCGCAAAATTTTTGTAAACGTATTTTCAAAATTGAAACAAAGAGTATTATGGAAATGGGAAACTGACACGATGCCAGACTTGCCAAAAAACGTGAAATTAATCCAGTGGGCTCCTCAGCAGGTGACATTACACACAATCATTTACACACCATTAGTTACTCACCATCATTTACACACCTTGCACGACTGAAAATTAACCTCTTTCGTATAACTCATTTTTTTAAATTTCCAGAACATTCTTGGACATAAGAATATTAAACTGTTCATGACTCATGGTGGGCTCTTAAGCATTCAGGAGACAATTTATCATGGGGTGCCTTTGCTCGGTAATATATGCATAAATATTTTATGACTATTTAGTTTTACCTTGTTTTATACATATAATTACTTAAAAATATATTTTTAAGGAATTCCTCTCTTCGCTGATCAGGATTTAAATATTAAGCAAGCTGAGACTGCTGGATTTGCCGTTTCATTAGAAATTTTGGAAATGACGGAGGAAATTCTGAAAGAAAAAATAAATGAGGTTCTTGGGAATTCAAAGTACGCTCCCGTTTAATTTTAAACTAAATCAATTAAGTCATTACAGATATTTTCATAATCCTTTTTCAGATATGCTGCCAAAGTTAAGGAATTATCAACAATTTGGCGAGACCAACCCATCACTCCGTTAGAAACTGCCGTATTTTGGACGGAATATGTAATTCGGCACAAAGGGGCACCTCATCTCAAATCTGCATCTCGTGACCTCAATTTCTTCCAATACCATTCTCTGGATGTCATTTTATTCCTAGTTTCTATAATCTTAGGCGTTTCTTATATATTCAAATGTTTTATAAAATTTTTGTGGAGAAAGTGCTGCAAGAAAACTAGTGTTGAGACAACCTCTTCCAAGAAACGTAATTAAAGAATCTTCAATCGTGTCCGAAATTTTTAAGTATTGTCACGAGTATTACAAATTAGTCATGAGTTCCACACCTGTTAAAAAATATCAGATGCGTAGGTTGATGTAATATGAAAAATAGTTTACTATATGTATTATAGCCCAATAAATAGAAATGATTGCATTAGAACTCTTGTAAGTACATATGGCATTGTCATTTTTTATCGTGGTATCACATGCACAGTCGCACCATGATATCTGAATTGGATTCAGTCTCAGTCATTGAGGCAGTTATCCGTCAGTATCATTTCAGCTTTCCTCACAACTAGTCAATTACTTGGAACCAATTTTTTTTTACTAATAAATAATCACGTCAGGATGAAATCACTAATTAAGTTATCAATAGTTTTAGGAATCGTTTTGCAAACTGTTAGCTGTGCAAATATTTTAGTTTTGCTCCCAGTCGCGAGTAAAAGTCATGTCCATGTTTTCGAACCTTTGGTCCGTGCCCTCGGGGAGAAAGGTCACAACATCGTGAGTTTCACGTCCCAAGCGTCTAAAAACATGCCTCCCAGCGTTAAAGAAATTGTAATAGTTCCTGTGGCCGAAATCTTCAAGACGATGGACAGTCCATTCAAGTTGCGTCAAGTCGGAAAAGTTGCTCAAATGACGAACATGAGCACGGAGTACCTCGAAACTACGTGCAAAGCGGTGCTGAACAGCAAAGAAATAGAGCACCTGATAGCACATGAAAAATTTGACTTGGTCGTAATCGACATATTAATGAATTCATGGTAAGTTCAATATATTAATTAATGAAAGTAATTAAAAACAGTAATTAAAATGTTGAAATGTACAAATTCAGCCTCCTCGGTTTGCTCCACTATGTCAAAGCTCCGTACATTTATGTTTCCACGATGGCTGCACCTTCATTTTTGGTGGAACCATTGGGCAACCGTTTACCTCCGAGTTTCGTGCCTGCCCCATTTTTATCATTTTCTCATCGGATGACCTTTTTCGAACGTCTCATCAATTTTTCTTTCAATGCCTTCATGGATGTGGTTGGATATTTCCATTGGATTCCTACACTGCAGAAATTTTACCAGGAGAAATTTGGCATTAGCACGACCATTTTCGACTATGACAGAAATGTTAGCATGGTTCTGGTCAACAGCCATTTTGCTCTGACTTATCCCAGACCGAATTTGCCCGATGTGATTGATGTGGGAGGTATGCATGCAAACCCATCGAAACCACTTCCAAAGGTATATCGCACGTTTTTAAGCATTTCAATTACTCAAATATGCAATCTGTAATGATTATTTAACTCGTACAGGATCTGGAGGACTTCATTTCTGGAGCAGAACACGGATGCATTTACTTCAGTCTGGGATCAATCGCGCAGGGAAAAGACATGCCTGAAGAATATAGAAAAGTCTTTGTAAATGTATTTTCAAAGCTAAAGCAACGCGTTCTCTGGAAATGGGAAACTGACACGATGCCAGATTTGCCAAAGAATGTCAAATTAATCCAGTGGGCCCCTCAGCAGGTGACATTTTACACATAATCATTTACACACAATCACTTACACACAATTATTTACACACCATTAGTTACTCACCATCATTTACACACCTTGCACGACTGAAAATTAACCTCTTTCGTATAACTCATTTTTTTAATTTCCAGGACATTCTAGGACATAAGAACATTAAATTGTTCATGACTCATGGTGGGCTCTTGAGCATTCAAGAAACGGTGTATCATGGGGTGCCTTTACTCGGATTTGCGCTTTTTGCAGACCAGGATTTGAATATTAAACAAGCTGAAAAGGCTGGATTTGCACTATCGCTTGAAATTCTTCAGCTCAATGAGCAGACATTAGAGTCAAAATTGGAGGAGGTATTATCAAACCCAAGCTATAAAAATCGCGTCAAAGAACTCTCAACAATTTGGCGAGACCAGCCAAAAACGCCGTTGGAGACGGCCGTATTTTGGACAGAATACGTAATTCGACACAAAGGGGCTCATCATCTTAGATCAGCAGCTCGTGACCTAAATTTCTTCCAGTACCACTCGCTGGATGTTATAGCATTTCTTGCATCCCTAATTCTAGGCTCACTCTTCATTACATTCAAGATTTTAAAGTGTGTATTTAAAAGGTTATGTTGTAAGGACAATTGGAAAAAAACAAAGCATGCAAAAAAAGTTATCTCTTCAAAAAAGTCAAATTGACCAGACTGAAGTATTTAATAACCAATTGTGTTAAATTAACTGCATTGTTATAATCAACTTGAAAACGAATTTATAAACTGTAATGTAAGTAATTGTCGGAATAAATGCGTACCAATTATTTATTAGCATGTGATTATCATAAACAATGAAATAGATAAGCCTATAAAACAAAGCATATTTATTGCTGCCCATCCTCATCAACGTATGCAAAAGAAAATACATAAATACCACGAGACAAATGTGTAATAATCATCACAAGCTTCCTGATTATTAATTCACGTGCTGTTGGACTTACACAAATTTTATCTTTCCATGTGAGTCATGAGTCAGGGAATTGAACTTTAGTGTTAGCAAATGTACGTTTAAATGTGATGGACAGGTGGATAAGTTATATAAGTGAATATAGCTTATCATAGTCTATTGACATTTCCCAGACTAAATAATGCGTTCATTCAATTGTTCTGTTCATTCATTGGTGTGGTTCCGGACCCTGCCTTATTATTCTGGTTATTACAATAATAATGTGTTAGGAACCCTTTAAAGTTAATCTGCAGTCAACAACCCGTGATACTCGTCGATCACAATAACTACATGCGTCGTATGTTGTGGGCAAAGTGCAAGCTTATATATAATGTCATTTCATGTCCATCGCATTTTAGTCACACTCAATTATTTGCTCCAGCTTAATTAAGACTGTATTTTTTATCCGTCTCAAAATGAAGTTATTTAACCACTGCTACTTTTTACTTTTTAATTTTGTACTATTAACATACCTCGCTAAATGCACAATTGCCTCAAAAATCCTATTTTTATCCCCAGTTGCGACGAAATCTCATAAAAATGTATTCGATCCGTTAATCGACGCGCTTGCCACGCGTGGTCACGAACTAACAGTGATATCTCCAATGAAAACGTCTAAAGTGCCGAGCGTAAAGGAAATCGTGCCAGTAAATCTGGAAGGAGTGATGGGAACGATGAAGGCAATTTCAATTAATTTTAATATTCAAGTAATTTTTGTAGAAATTTTTTGATAGTTTTTGACAATTTTATTTCAGGACGCTTTCGAGTTGAGGCAGGCCGGTCCCCTCAGTTTTCTGACATCCATTAACTTCACAACTATCGAATTCACCTGTAACACAATGTATGAAATGGAGGAGGTAAAGTGGATCATGAAACATGAAAAGTTTGACCTCATCATCCTGAACGGAATGATTTGTCAATGCGCGTACGGTTTAGTTGCGCACTTCAAGGCTCCCTACATGCTCGTCACAACGATGCCCGCATCCGCCCATCTTGCTAGCTCTCAAGGACACAGATTCCCACCCAGCTTTGTTCCAGAACCGTACCTTCCATTATCTCAAAAGATGACTTTTCTCGAGAGGGGACTTAATTTAGCGGTGTCAAGCTTTATTCCGGTCCTTGGTCGTTACTATTACAACCCGAGGATGGAGGCAATGTACAGAAAATATGTGCCTTCTGCCCCAGGAGTAACAGAGACTGATCGCGATGCTAGCATGATCCTGATGAACAGCCATTATAGCTTGACCTATCCACGCCCACTGCTGCCCAACGTGGTGGAGGTGAATCTCATTAATTAAAGAATAACGGGCAGCATTAACAGTAAAAGCATGATCTAATTTATGTATGTATTTTGTAAAGGTTGGTGGAATGCATTGCCGTCCAGGACAAGCGCTACCGAAGGATTTGGACGACTTTATCTCCGGGGCTAAAGACGGTGTCATCCTCTTCAGTTTGGGGTCCATAGTGAAAGCAAAAAACATGCCGGAATCGACGCGTAAAGCGTTTATCAATGTATTCGCTAAATTGAAACAACGAGTCATTTGGAAATGGGAAGTGGAGACTATGGAAGATTTACCAAAGAATGTCAAACTAATTAGGTGGGCTCCTCAGCAGGACATTTTAGGTGCGTATTATTTAGACAGATGCATTTTTAACTGCAATTTACACACATTTAAAGGAATTTCTATTTCTCCAGCTCATAAAAATATTCGGCTATTCATTACGCATGGAGGTCTTCTAAGCACTCAAGAGGCTGTTTATCATGGAGTTCCTTTAATAGGTATTTACCAATACCATTAAATATTAATACTTGGTGGCGTAAAACTGTATGCTAAAAACCTTTGTTAATTTGAATGCATGCCTCCCATTCTTCGCTGATCAAGACTTGAATATGGGCCAAGCCGAAAAAAATGGGTTCTGTTTAACATTGGAAATTATGGATTTGTCCGAACAAAAATTAGAAGCTGCAGTTACCAAAATTCTAACCGAGCCCAAATTCAAGGAAAATGCCCAAACGCTCTCCAAAATTTATCGAGATCAAATTGAAACGCCGCTAGAAAGGGCTGTGTTCTGGACTGAATATGTCATCCGGTAAGTAAATACAGTCCTGAAACCTATATCATCGGACATGACATAAGTTATGCCATGTCTCAGGAGGGCCGGGAGATTATGTATTATCAACTCCCGGATCTCGATGCCCTTTGGATATGTTGTAGTGTCCCATGAATGAACAAGAACCCTGAAGTGGTTTGATTCCATGGCCACATTTGCGCTCGTCACACCCACTCAAAGGTGCCCAAAAATCGCTTTCACTCCAGCTTTCACTCATTCAAATCCACGCCAAAAATCCAATTTTACTCCTATTTTGAAATTTCTTTCACCATTATACTCCCAGATAGTTGCTCTCTTATATCCAACATTAAACTCAACTTTGTTGATGATTATTTCGCAGGCATAATTTAAATTATGGCATAATTTCGCAGGCATAATTTAAATTATGCCTGCGAAATAATCATCAAAAAAGTTGAGTTTAATGTTGGATATAAGAGAACACCTATCTGGGAGTATAATGGTGAAAGAAATTTCAAAATAGGAGTAAAATTGGATTTTTGGCGTGGATTTGAATGAGTGAAAGCTGGAGTGAAAGCGATTTTTGGGCACCTTTGAGTGGGCGTGGCGGACGCAAATGTGGCCATGGAATCAAACCACTTCAGGGTTCTTGTTCATTCATGGGACACTACAACTTATCCAAAGGGCATCGAGATCCGGGAGTTGATAGTGCGCAACCTCCCCTCCTCAGTTATGTCACATAACTAAACATTTTTTTCCATTTCAGACACAAAGGAGCACATCACATGCAATCTGCATCCAAAGACCTCAACTTTTTCCAGTACCATTCCATTGATGTGATTTCCTTCATCCTTTTGTCCACTCTCACGATCCTGTGGTTGCTCAAGTATTTGCTCTGGAATGTTATCCTTTGTAAATGCATTTGTAGAATATTTAAACATAAAAGAACTGCTAAAGTAGACCATGCCAAAAAGTCTAAATAAACAAACAATGATTACCTAGTATTACTTATACAATTTTCAAATATATGGTTGTGCAATTAATCATGTATGTATTACTGCAAGTATTTTCAAATAAATGACTTTCTCCCATCAAAAATTTATTCCATTGAAGATCAAGGTTAACTTTATTTCAGAATCACTTATTCTTTTATGTTGTGTTACAATTATAAATATAAAACTTTCAGTTAAACTTAAAGATAGATTGTACTACACAAACACAGTCAAATGTGTAACGACTGTTTGACCTAACTCGTCATCGAGTAGAGAAGAGAACAAAGAAGTCAATTAAATTATTATATTATTTGTATATTTTTTTACACTATGTACATACAGCTGTGTGTATTATATTAACTAACTTCATACATAATTAGCTTTCACACCAACAACGATGATTTACATACATAAGTTATATATAAAAACCACACCACTAACTTTTACTACTTCTTTTCATAGGTTGGTTTGATCCCTTGAATAATTTGTAAACCAGAGTCAAGGTACATCAGACGAGAGAGTATGAGAGACACATTTAATCAGTTGCAATGCAGTTAATCCATTAAATAATAATAAAGAATATATTATAACATTCAGGAGAATGACAACGACAACAACAATGGTAAGAGAAACAATTGCGTATGATACTACTAGTAAAAAATGATGAGGTAGATAGATAATCAGTTTGCGAAACTTTGTCAATAAAATTCTTGTTACTTTCAAAAGTGCCAAAAATGGTCTTTTAACAATAACAATACGAGCTGAGAGAGGTTATTATTTTGTTTGGGCTTTATATTTCAATTCAAAATCAGTTACGCTTTTACAAATACTGAATAATTCCTGGGAAGTTTCTGTCATTAATGAAATAAAGTCAGAGTCAGTTTCGAGTTTTTTTCTTTTTCTTTGTCAACGTATGGCTATAATTCTTTCGTACTATTTTTAATATTTATAATAGTTAAAATTCCCTGATAAAACATTGAGATAGTGTTCCGTTCCAATCGGCAGAAAATCTTATTAATTGAACCAATTTTACACAAATTGGATAAAATAGGATGACGTGATGCTAAATATTTGCCCGTAACTCCGACTTAAAGTTGTCACCAAAAAAAGAAGAATAAATTAGGAATATTTTTTCTACCCGTATAATGTATGCAATAAATTAAATATGTGAATACAACAATAACAAATAATTAATTGCATGTTTTTTTGATGATACTTTCATAACTTTCAATCGGGATAATAATAATGAGCAACAAATGACACCACTCTTTTTAAAACAATTGTTTTTTGATACACATGCATAATAAAACCAAAAAAACGCCAACAATGAAACGAATCATGCCTCAACTAATTTGTTTTTTTAAATACTAAAAGTCAAACGGTGAAAAACAGCAGATAATAAAATACCCTAGTTGTCTCATTCAACAACGAAACCTTGAGAATTACCAACTACATACATATTTAGCTTCATATTTGTAAAATTACCATTAATAATCTAAACCTTCTTTTCCTAAATTTAATTTAACGTAGCACTTTTAATAATAGTATTATTTTTGTAAAAGCTTTGTTTGTACTTTGAGTAAAATCTTCGTTTGTTTCCTTCCACTTTGTAATTTAACTGTTGAAGGTCCGTGCTTTCTTTTTACTTTTACTACTCAAAAACTAACGGCATTCCTTATACAAATAAGATATTAGATTTCATATGATGTACATACACGATATTATTTATATAATAACTTGATCTAGAATGGAGAACCTGATGGTGTAATGTATAATGGTACTAACCTCCTCCCCTTTATTTCACCTTTTCTTATCAACTAATGAGTAATTCAACAAGTAGTTAAAAATTTAAAACTTGATTAATATTATAAAAATCCAAGTGTAGTAGATAAGATGATTTGTTTTTTTTTAAAGGTAATACGCTGCACATGACATTGATCAAATCTTATTTCCAAAATCTAATTATTATAAATTGTACCTTGAATTTGTAATTTAATGACTGAAGCTACAACTTTCTCTTGCTACATACCTTTCTTTCTCGGCCTATTTCTTCCCATCATTATATCATCATCATCATCATCATTTAATTAGTGAAAAAGTTGCCAGTTAAAAATGTTGAAGGTATAATTTTTTGTTTATAATGTCGCAAGTTATTTGTACAACTTAAAAAGGCACACATTCAAATACGGTATAAGCAACTTATGTGAATTTGGTATGCACGTTTTTATGTACGTTATATCGTTTTTTTCTGATCTAATTTTTGTATTTCTCTGATCTATTAGTAATGTTTGCTTCGATATATTTTCCAATTTTCTTTCCTTGTTCACAAATGTTTTGCTTGACCTTGCTCTTTCATATATATTTACTTATATAACCAACAGGACAGAGACGGAACGTGAAACGACAGACAAAAATATAAATTTCCTACGTGTAACACACTACTCAATTTACTACGTATTATTTTTAATATTATTCTATGTATGTTTTAATTTGCATTTCAATAAAGAAACGATTTGTAACTTTCAATGAGCCTCCGTGTTGCAGGAAACAATTATAAATATAAATATGTAGTTGTACAATTTTTTTTTCATTCACCAAGTTGACGGAATTTTAACATTGATTTCCATCCTCAAAGAGATTGTACAAGCTAATACAGCCAGGTTCACTTGTCCATGAAAAAAAAATTAGTAAGCGATAACCAATAGAGGAGAAAATAATGATTGGATTTTTTGAAAAATATGAACAAGTATGAAATTTTAAAGATTACAAGGTAGACAGTTTTTTTGATTGCGATTGTTTTTTCATACGTATGTATAAGTGAATTTTTGATTCCCTCTGATAACGTTAATATTTTTTCTTGTAACAGATACAGAGTTTTTTTTAGTAGTGTCAAGAATATATAGTGAGTGCGAGAACTAGAAATTTCAATGATGATGAAAACTATTTCTACAAGTACAATAAATAGACAATTATGTAACTCTCCGTTTGCTTCTTGGCTTAAGTGTACAACTCGGTTGATAAAATAGATCATTCTTTTGTCTTATAACTAATTTGTTTCATTAAGCGATTTTTTACAACTGCAGCAACAACTACTAAATATATATGTTAGATGTATATATATTATCTTAGCGTTTGACAGTAATAGGTTATATTTCGCCATTTGTTCCACAACAAATCATTCATCAAATCAAATGGAAAAATCAGGTACTTGATTCATCTTGCGACAGTTAATCCTATACTTCTTTCATATGCAATTCTACTACTTTTACAGTCACTGGTTAGTTATATGTACTGCTACTTTTATGTACGTACGGGTGTGTTCAGAGTGGAACAAGATTTTTATGTAAAGTCAACGGTCAAATTTAAAGAGCACATTTGGTAGGAAGAAAAAAATGTGTTTTCAATTTTTATCATGATGAAAATCCTTGGAGTTGTTTCAAGCGAGTTTGTTAATAATATTACATTTTTTATAGCCCCATTTTAGTACGTATATAATTGTTCCGTATTAATTATGCAGTGACTTATACTTGCTTGTTCAAATTAGGAAAAAATGATTTTTAAATTTCCAAGTAAATCGATAATTGACCTCATATGAAACGAATCCGCAACTAGAACCATATACGCATTTTTAGGTTACTTTTAGGCATAACGTGCGATTGATTGAAAAATATAAATAATTATCGGGACCTTGAGTTTCGAAACAAGTCTTTTGGGCTACATATTTTTTGGGCACAATTAATAATGCAAGCATATTTTAGTCTGACTTTTGGATAACTTTATAAGAATAAGATTTTTACAAGGTTTCAATTTTAGAAGGGATCGTCAACACATATTTTTACATGCAAATACATGGCATTACATAAACATGCGTTGAACTTTACGAAGAAAAAAAAAACAGTCGCAAAAATTTTAACCTAGTCAAAGCAGAAGATTTAGCCTGAATTTATAGTCATCTATATGGCTATATAAAACCAGTAACACCGTTAATAAATTCTTGTCGTCGTGTATAGCTGACTTAGCAATACCCACAGATTACTATATGCTAATAAATTAATTTGTATCTTAGGGTATGTATATTATAACAATAATTTTAGAAGCGTCATATTCAAGAGAACGTTCGAGTCAAATATGGTATTATATTTCCCTCGGATAGATAATACACGTCTGATCGAACTGTTATTACTCTGTAAGATTAGAGCGTACAGCAGCAATTCCGTACCATAATTACACACTAAATTGATAGACAGTATAAAACAATTCTTTTGGAGAGCACGAATATAAAGTGCAAGATTAATAATTATTATTACAAGGACAAATTCTAAATATTTCTTCTTAATCTATAAAATTTGTACTTTGTTTGTAACCGGATTAGGTTAACACTAAACAGTAACTCAAGCTACAGAAAGTCATCAACAATGGATGCACTTTTACACGTACTTATAAAGATCTATTGTAGTTTTCCTCGTATCCATTAATTAACAAAATCCCTTTCACTTGATTAAAACGAAACTTATTAATCTTAATTAATTCTTACCGCAAATAAAAAAACATTAAGCTTAATTACCCGTGTTTAATAAAAAGCCTTAATAGCTTAGAATAACTATAAATATTCGAGACTTAAAAATTTGTATTTCAATTGCATTTTGTATTCTTGCAATGATGTCAATATCCTATAGAATCTTCAGTTGACTTGTACTTTGAATTGTTTGGTTTGAGCTGGCTCTGCAAGTTATAGATAATAACTATGATTTGAAATTGTCATAATGATTTCCAATTTACGATAATTAAACGTTAATAACCACTCATCTCAACAAATTCTCAATAGATATTTACCTCAATCAATGAATGCAGTTTGGAACTGTTTCTTCGTCTTCGCGGCCATGAGGATCATCGATAGGGTTTCGAACTATACGCATGAGTAATGGATCTGTGGGGGCAGGTATTATGCCATTTTGATGGGAGTGTCCTCCTTTCGTGTCCAATTGTTGGTCGTTTGCAGTAAGGCTTTCAAGCACTTTCATTTCAACGCCATTAAAAGACTCGACGGAACGTTTAGCTCGAGGGGGAAATCCATTACCATTGACATGCACTACATTGCAATAAAATTATATTAGTTTAAATACAAAATAATTGAAAACAAATTTCTATCTTACTTCCAACAGGTTGACGAGTTAACATGGGGAATAAACGGTGACGACTCAAGATGATGATTACGCATACAATGATGAACAGTACGGATAAACCGATACCAATAACAATTCCTAAAATTAAAAAGCATACAATCAATTTCACAAATCAAACATCATCGATTTGTATATATATCAATTGATTAAAAAATATTTACCCAGATGCTGACTACTGGTCTCTACAGTTTGTAAAGTATTTGTTGCAGGAGGGCTGTCTCCAGGAGGGAGAGCCTCGGGTGAGGTAGGTTTTCGAATAAATATTCGTACATATATTGTTTCTGACGGATTTCCAACTCCAGCTTTAGTTATAAGAAGAAAAATGATGGTTGATTTGACATTTACTTGAATCTAAAGGGTGATATTTAAGAAATAACTGACTCACCTTTCGTTTCAGCAATAATACGAACCATGTACTCTGCATGTAAAAATGTTTGCTTATTATCTATCATCATAATTCATTCAAGTATTTTTGTTGTATGCTTAATTTTACCTTCGTTTTTAAGTAAATCTTCCAAAAACACTGACGTGTTCTTTGTCAACTTATTTTTCCATGAGGTATCTGAAAGGACCAGTCATACATACATACATTAGTATATGAAAACATTAACAAGACAAGAAAATCTACTGCAATAATTGATTACCGTTTACACCACCATTATTAACTCCCTGAGGAAGCAACGATGCATTCTTGTGCCTGTACTGCACCCAATATTTCAAAATTACACCGTTGGTAGCAGGTGGTGGCTGCCACTCAACTTCAACGAGAGTTTGGTTCAAAACTCTCCAGTGCAGTTGAATAGGGGATCCAGGAACTATAACAGACAAGTCATTTGGTTAAAAAAATCATTTCATTAGTTTGACAAAACTTGAAATAATAATAAATTACTGCCGGGCAATGTCCGAGATTCGATTTTTTGCGAATATGGTCCCCCTTCATCGTCTCCCATCAATTGTACAGAAAATTCATACGATGTGTATGGCTTCAGGTCTTTAATCTCAATAGACTCACTTGTGCTAAAGGACAATGAAAGATTCGAGTTAAAGTTAAAGTTTATTTCGTGAATTTTTGTTTGTAATGAATGATGTTTGAAATATATTTTTATAAACCTGCTGATATATTGATAATCGTTATGATCCAACTTGTTGTACCTCACGGTGTAGTAATAATAATGTAACTGAGAGTTTTTTGGAGGTTCCCAAGTTAGTCTCACTTCAGAAGAACTGGATGAAATTGAACAGCATTAGATAAATTTGAGAGTATTTTAATTTGAGTAACACTATCACCCTCAATAATTGAATGAATGACTCACCTTGTAGGGATAACCTGCAATCCTGAGATCTAAATGGAGAAAAATATGAAAAATATGAAAAATATTAGCAGAGGTCAACTCAGTTCAATATCCAGTTGGGAAAAAAGCCACAGCTCTACTTTTATTTCAGTTATTGTTATTCCTCGAGTTTAGTTTTTTTTTCACCAACTTTTTACTTAACAATATTTTCACTTTTAACCCCCATCACCACCACACCTACTTTTAAAACAAAGTTATGGAAAATACCGAGGAACTTCAGGTAGAGTTATTTGTATGGTTTTACGAGAAGAATTTATAGTAGGAAGGAAAATATACCGTTCTTGTTAACATTGTCGTGTGTTTATTATAATTGACACATCTATATTTTTAATAGGTGCAGGACAAAGTTAAATGTGATCCTTCTGATCATACTCTGAGTAAAAGATACGAGGAGATTTTTGATGCAATTTTTAGAAAAACGCAAGATACTTCTAAGGGCAGCATGAAGACTGCAAATTCAGTCATCCAAGAGTTTAAAAAAACCGTATGTTTGTTAATAATCAAATTATTAACTAGCCATTTTTATTATCAACTTCTGGTTGCCAATTTCTATTATAGGTGGATTACTATAAAGCGATGCCAGGTCCTGTTTATGAGCCAATAACAGTGGAAAATTGTTCGATTAAGATCTCTGCAGGTTGGAAATGTAAAGTGTGTGATGTTGAATATACGAGCAAGGGCAGCACCGGCAGCAACGAAAAAAAGTTAGCAGATCATATCGAAATCAAACATATCTGTAAGAACAAATTTAATAGTATATGTAGTTACTATTTCCATTAATTAAGTTTGATTTCATTTTCAGATCTCCAACCATACATATGTAAAGTCTGTAATAAGTCGTTTACCGAAAAATCTAACTTACAAAAACACAAAACAAATACACACATTTATCTTCCTGCAAATGCGAATCTCTACACTGAAGACAGTAGGAAATATGTTTCATGCAAGATTTTCGAAATAGATGATGATGACGGTAAAAAATATGCCATAAAATGATAAAGTTAATTATTGAATTCTAAATAATATTTAAAATGTCCTCATTATGTGCAGACGACTATCTCAAGAGTCAACTTTACATGGTGAAGTTCTTCAAAAAGACTGACAAGAACAAGAAAATCGTGTACATCAGTATTGATGTCACAACTTTCAAAGATGTGAAAGTGGCAGCAAAACTCCTAAGAGATGCCAACAATTTGGCTGCAGAGGCATTGAAAAGAGGGGAAACCACGATTGGTTGCAGCTATAAGCATCTCTTCGTAGAAGGGTATGATTTCAACCCTGAAGACGTGGAAGTACTTGGGATTTACGGAAATAATGAAACAACTGGGCATACATTGAAAACATTTGCCCGAGTAGTTACCAAGTCTAAGTGTTACCACCTCCCCAAAATGTCACTCGAACGGATGGAGAATTGTGAGCAAACTTTGTTGGACCAACTTAAGGCATTTCTTTCTAAAATGCCACAAAGAAACCAAACTTACTTCAATACCCAAGCGTGGAAACAACAAAGTGGAGAAATTGAAGATTTCGAACCTGAAGATACTTTCTCCCCAAAACGAGCAAGAGTTGAGTAAAGTTTTCTGATGGAATGATGGGCTAATTAATAATATTCACCGTGTCTTCGTATTTACAATCACAGATCTTAATTTTTAGTTCTTTTATGCAAAGTAATGCCAACTTATGTCAAATTTGTAGATCATTTTTGATCATTTTTGAATTTTATGTTTTCTTCATCCTAATAAAATCTGTTAACATTAACTGAGATCAATTTTCCTATAATTTGCCAATGTTGTTAGAACAAGTAGTTTACTTATTACTTACCGTTGGAAGAACTTTCGATGAAGACATGGAATCCTCATTGGAAGTAGTAGAAAACGTTCGGATGAATTTGGAAACTACTTCGCTTTCCCAGCTATCACCGAAGGTTTGAAGATGGACTTCGTACGAAGTTGAAGGAGCTATAAATTAATAAATATCATATATTTATTCTTATATCTACAGCCTTTGCCTTTAAATATTTTATAATTTTTAGCTTACCAAAATTCGTGAATAGGTACGATCGATCGGAGTAATTATAGGTCTGCAATTCAAGAAAAAATTATCAAATAATGCTAAATTAGTTTAATAAATAATTTATATCCTGAATAAAATCAGTATGCAAAGAAGAATCTTACATGGATTGGTCCAAAGAAGACGAAATCTTCAATTTTTCCGACTTCGGTAGAGTAAGTTAGTCGATAGCCCTTCAAAGAAAGATCCTTGTGACGAGGTGGTTCACTCCAGTTTACAAGGATAGACGAAGAATTTAGAACCGTGAGGTCCATCGTTGGAGGTGCATAATAATCATCGGTGACATTGGCCTCCAATTTTGTAGTGTTAACACGAGTCCAAGGAGCTAAATTTCATAAGAAAGAAATTACTAATCAAGATACTTGTTGTAAAGACATAACGAGAGCGAGTACTTACAATTTTCCTTGTCACTTGGCCAACCAGCAGACGTACTTGGTAACAATCTAAGTTATATATATAATTAATGAAGTATGTTACGTAATTAATTATTTCTAATTATCTTGTCTAATTATTATTCCTATCTCACCGAAGTTCGATGGGTTCGCCTGGCGTCAATTCTAAAATGGGTTACATAAGAAATTAATTTAAAGTCTCCATTTAATAAACTGCCATGCAGGCTAGAAGGCAAATTGCGCAGTGACATCGTATGCATGCACATACCTGTTATGAGAAACTCGTCTGAATCTCCATCGATATATCGAACATTAGTAAACTCCCCGTTGACTGACCTCCATTGCAATTTGTAGAGGGTGATTTTACCCCTTGCTTCGGAGTCTGAAAGTGGCCTCCAGCGTATCCTGACTTGAGACGCAGGGCCATATCTTTCGAAAATAAAATTTCGTGGAGCTTTGATAGGTGTATCCTCAAGAGTGCTACAAATCACTTTCTGAGACTGCGCACTGGCAGATTTGACAGAATAACTCCTGTTAATTAATTATAAGAGATAATCATTAAGTTGCTGATTTGTGGCAATGTAATTAATTTGCACATAACGAATGCCGTATTGCTTACCTGACATAAATGCTGTAGTTTGTGTAAGCTTTAAGGTTTTCTATTATAAAATCGTTGCTTTTACTTGGAGTTACTTTCTGCCTCTCTTCCCCTCCTGCAAATAAATTACAAGTCGTAAAATTATAAAGTATGTATATATATACGTGGCCAATGACAAATATGTATGTACACGAGGTGGGCTTACCAATTGCCATATAGTGAATCGTGAATGCCGTAATGTTGTCCCTCGAAGCGACTTTCCATGATATAACAAGAGCTTTCGCTTGACTTTGAATGCATTGCAGATCAAACGGTGCGTCGGGCGCTGCAGTAGCAAAATAAACGTTAAAAGTGTAAATTAACCAAAATCCCAATACTCATTTTGTTACGCTTATTACCTTCGCGATTATTTTCAACAGAGAGACGAGCGGTCCCAATGGCATAAATGTGGTCCTCTGAAACTACTTCGCACTGGTAGAATCCAGAATCATTTCTGGAATAGATACGATCGATCAGAATAAAAATTTTTTTTTGCTTATAGTTTGTTATGTCTATGGTTTTATGCCTTGGTTTATATTGTGATCATAGGATTTCACATGTCTACCAAGACTACTGCTAGTTTGAAACGGTCTGTGACAAATAGGACATTCCAAACCGTCTCTATGCAGGATCATATGATTGTTGAATTCTTCTACTATATGTGTTTCCTTATCACACGTTAAACACTTAAGTTTAGGAACTAATTTATGGCTGCGTTCGAAATGACGAGGCACGTCAGATGTTTTGAGAGTTTGACCACAAATTCTACAGTTACACTGTCCTATGCTGGATATCAAGCCTCTGTTTGATTTCACTGGAGAACTAATAATTGACTCATCTGAATTTAGTTTTTGAAGAGATTCATAGGTGAATTTTATGTCATAAAACTTTACTTGTTTAAAACTTAAATTTTTAAACAAAGGATGTATTTCACTACTTATTTGTATATCCAACAAATCAGTGTGTTTAAATTTAATTAACACTTCAGCTAACACTTCCTCCTTGTTTTTCCAGTGTTTTGCGTGAGTTGAAACTTGAGTGTTTTTCCCATCCGACAGAGGTAAACGAAATGAAGGAAACTTTCGATGTTGAAATTTTATCACTCTTGATAACAAGTATGAGCCTGCTTCTGCAGCATCACACGCCGAACTCACAGATTTGGAAGTCTCACTAATTATTAGGTCAGACAATAATATGAATCTAAACTTCGAGTCTTTGTCAGAAGTGTAAGTGTATACATTCGCATAGAGTTTTTTATACGATGGGCAAACTATAAGGTCTCTTCCGCCTAAGGTTGATACACGGAGGGACAAATTGTCTTTATCTGTAGCGTTAAGCCATAACATTACCCGATAATGATTATTTTGATTCCTTAAATTTGCGTCTTCATTTATAATCTCTAAAGCTAACTTTTTGTCTTCACTATCTTCGTCTATTTTTATCACTTTAGGAAGAGTTTTAGAAGCAGGTCCCGGTCTTTTACAACTAGTATTAGTAATAGTAGATAGCGCTCTACTATTTTGACTCATTTTAAATTAATTAAAATTGGAAGCACCGGAATTGACTAGACTAGAACTAGACTACTGACGTTCCTCATGCTCACCGATTCCCGGCCTAATTCAACATGATTCAGTATACCCCTTCACCAGAGATTAGGACGACTAAGGAGACAACTCCATGTATGTACATATGTACATAGATATTTACTGAAGGAACCACCACGACTTTATCCAATATTAAATTCAACTCAATCATTCCTTACCTTATCGTGTTCGAAATGACAATCTCGTTCCCTTTCGCCTGAATGCATACATTTCGTTCAATTATATAATACCCTTAAATTTAATAGGAATCAATTAAATTGAAGAGTGTCCAAAACTGCTGGATACCTTAACACGACCTTTCCCCGTCTCTAGACGTTGACCATCTTTGTACCATATCAATGTATATGTTGGAGGAACTTTACATTCAAAACGAACGGTTTTTGCAGGAGGGTATTTGTACGAATTGGGTCCCTTTATGAGGGCTGGGAGCCGGACTACTTGTATGGTCTAAAGCAGGTGAAAGTAAAAAATTATTGTATTACATACAGGCCTCATCTATTGTTGTTGAAATAGAAAATCAGACCCACCTTGGAGATTGGACTACCAATGGAATTGGTAATAACGCACGTATAATTCCCTTGAATGGAATTTTCAGATGTCAAAGTGATGCTATCGTGGTATTCCTTGCCCTCCGATAAGATTTTACTGAATGGCTGGACATCACTTTCACTCTCATTGGCTGTTTAAGAAAATTACATATAATTTAGATTTACGTTTAGTAATTGTGCAGTCATTTAAACAAATCATTGCATGCAGGTTTGCACAAATACTTACCAACTTCATAGGTCAAAACCCAGGTAATTGTTGGCACAGGTATGCCAGATGCAATGCAATCCAAAGTTTGTTCTTCATCCTCTTCGTCAAGTATAATAGTTTTCTGAGTTTCGTAATCATTGGCAAACAAGAACTTTGGTGGTTCACTTGAAACCAATTCGTTCGCCGTTTCAACAATCAGTTTCACGTCTGCTGATTTATTTGTATTCAATACATCATGCCGTGCAAAACATCTATTGGGATCACAAAATAATATTTGTTTAGGAAAAACCTTGCTCCAATTTACATGGCATCATCAAGAGATTCTGAAATAGAGCACGTTTCACTGGCTTCCATATTATTGCCATATAGAAACATACCTATAGTTTCCGGCATCTCCACTTTGCACTGAGAAAATTACAAGTGTTCCTGAGTGAGTTAGTATACTAAATCTGAAAAGGAAATGAATATATGGATGTAAGCCTTTGATTTGACAAAACATTGGCCTTGAAGCTATGAAACTTCTGATTTCCTCCTTGTCCTTACCTATTTGTTTCCTGAGCTAGTCGAGATATATTGTTGGTGCGCCCATGTGGCATAAGCGAGACCCATGTAACATGAGATGATGTTAGTGGAGGCGTGGATGCAATTTGGCACTGGAGTAAAGCAGGCTGCCCAGCTTTCACCTTGACTTCTTCCTTATTCCCATCTTGCACTTCGAGAACTGCAAAGAGAAATTGAGTAAAAAATTAACTTCCTCGTTCGTCTTAATTGGTTATTTATTTATAAATCCTATGATATGATAAAAAAGAAAGCCTATTTTTGACTCCGGTATGCAAATATTTGCAAGTATGAAGAGATTTTGTTTAACATTTCCTTAACTCTAATCAAAACAATAGTACTTATAGACATCTTACATATGTATATTCTTGCTAATTTTAATACTTGCTAACTCTCGGAGTCAGTCTGACTTGGGAATTATTTCGTCAAACAGAATAAGCAAGTCTAATAACTAGTGCAATACATTTAAATTTACACAAGTGGAGTATGGTCTCTTATTATTACGTATGTGTAGCAGGCAGCAGTTTGTACATCAAAAACTTTGCCCATCCAAATTTAAACAATCAATATTGCACAGACACACGTCGACGACGACTCCACATATTTAACTACATCCGCCATGTGCATTCTATGAAACAAAGCAAACTCAACAACAATGGAATGGAAATCATTACAATATTGCAGAGGAACGTACACATTGCAAGACGCGAGAAACATGAGTCTAACTAATTATTCTGGAGACTGTCGAATTTGTTGTCTAATTTTAAAAAGCGTGAATTCACTTTAATTGTGACGCCAAGTAGGAATACGAGCATGCATACATATTTACCACATAAGAATGTACGTGGTGGGCCATGCAGAAGAGCGAGTTGGAAATTATTTATGAATACACAAGACAAAGGATGATTAACATCTTTCACCGCAGTTTATTACCTTTTCAACTTTCAAATGAAGAGAGCAAACAATAATAATAAAGTCAAAAGTAGATTCTCATTTATATTTTATGAGTTTAAATGCTAAACAAATGCTATGCAACAACGAGTACCACCCGGACTGCAGCAACTGAAACAAAACGTATTAACGAGAATAACGTCGAGCTAAACAGAGACTGAAAATGCTAATAATTCTTCACTGTGCTTAATTGCAGCACAACAGAGCAACAAAAACAAAGTATCTTGGATGCTTCCAAGAAGTTCTGAAATTGTTTAAAGTGAAATTTCCGATTGATATATATAAATTGTAATGCGCAATTTTAGAAGCAAATAGATTTTCATGGTATTTAACAACCAAGGAGCTGGAAATTTAATAATCGTAATTAATTTAATAAAAATGCCTGCTTGGAGCAATGATTAGTAACTTAACAGAAAATATTCCAATTCCAGTTTAACATCAAATATGTATGCGACACTCTGGTACAGATATTGTCATATGTCCGGGTAGTAAAACAAAACAAGTTTATACCGAAACCTTCAAATAAGCCTGATTTATGTGCATATGTAAAACAATTCAACTGGACACACATAGTTTATTTTGGGGGTGACTTTATTCGTAACAAACTGAATATGATGATGCGAGAGTAAGATAATAGATATAGAAGATTCCGCTAAATCAAGTCATTATATCGGCCTGGCATTGATATCACCAAGATATTATATTACTCCAGTTTTATACACACCACCACCGCCGCACGCCTCTGCCTCTGCCTACTTACGCAAAAAGAAAGTAGGCCGATTTGCGACGCAGAAACCCCATTTGCCAATACAGCACCACCACCACCACCAAGACTTCACCAGTCAAATCCACAAACTCAACTCTTCATCCAACCAACCAGCCTACACACAGCAGTAGGAAGTATTTATAGTTCTGTTCGATATTTCTCCGTGCTTTCTCCCCAGTTCGCAGCTAGCGAGAAAGCACGGCGAATAGGTGAATTCTGCTTTCTCTCTCTCTCATCACTAATACTTAACCATGCTGCGAATCATTGTTACTTTGTAATATGTAGGCATGCAAGAAGAAGTGTGCGATGCGATGCGATGCGATGTGATGCTTTGATGCTGTCGTAATGTAAACAGTCAAATAATATGGATAGGGTTGAATGTTAAGCCTCCCATTTTCTCTCTTCTCACAGGAAGGATTTGCTGGTTTGTTTGTTTGTAGGTGCTCAATAGCACAAAATAACACATTCACCATTTTAGTCACCAACCACCAACTTTCACTCTGCAGATAGAATAATATGAAATCCCCATTACTTTCACCGCTACCGTGACCTGGTGGTACGTACATATCACTAATGATGGGAGTTTCTTTTTCATGATACTTTCGCACTCCATTTGTCATCATGTCGTCGTCGTCGTCGCCACCGCTTTGCAAGCGAAAATGCCAAATAGTCACCATAATCATATTGTATGAGGTTCTGTGTCGTGGTTCCGTGTCACCACTAATTTTTTAATGTCTACTCCTTCCCCTCTTTATAAAAGCTTTCCTTTTGATGATTCCTGCCCTCATGCATATGTACATACATTTCTTCATAAATACGACTTCTTCCCCTGCGATACTATTTAGGGGCAATATATTCTAATAATACAATTACCATGTTACGCAAGAAATATAACATGATCGATTTTGTTAACGTAGATATTTATTGTTGTGTGTGTGGAGAATAAGGTTTAGGTTAGGTTAGGTTGGATCAGAGTCATGGGGAATTTTATTTACATACGTATTCAAACTGATTGCTCTACCAGGAGGAGAAAATGCGTAGTTCGTTTTGTTGTTGTGACACAGGTTTAGGGGAAAGTTTACAACTTCAATGTGTAGTGGTTATAAGATGTCAGTTTGTCTATTATTAAACTCTTACATAACATTTCAAACTAGCCTATTAAATTTTTACTGAGCTATTTAATTTGACAAAATCGATATTACTAATTGGAAAAATATGGTGTGTCACAAAATATTGAAATATAATATAATAATACGGATTTTTTTTAGTTGAAGCAGGACAAGCATGACAACTTTTATACCGAAAGTTATTTTCCCGTTGCATTCTTAAATTATGCAAACGTTTTATGAAATAGACTAGCGTATAGCCCGGCCAAGGCCGGGTTCTAGGGGGGGTGTGCCCAAAGCGAAAAATCCGTCATACTATACTTTAAATAATTCCCAGTGGAGACTTTGTCATACCACATACATACATCAGAGTGAGGGTTTGCCCAAGTTATTTGAATTTCAATTGAAATAACCAATTTCAATTGAAATAATTGAAATTTCAATGCCCAAGGCATTTCAATTACTCTGGTCACAGTACAATTTGATTTCCCACTGTGGGAGTAGCTGAATAGCTAATTACTTAAATTCCCGTCGCGTGGGAGTAACTGCATAGCTAACTATTTAAATTCCCACGCTTCACGCTCCCGTTAAGTTCCATAAACCCCGTTAACTTCTACAATTAATGCCAAGCTATTGACGGATTCGGATTCAGCCTCAAAAATACATTCGAATTGATGTGCGACATCACGAATAAGCCATATTTGGCCCCCACGGTCACGGCAAGGTCACGGGGGCCTCGCAGGTCAAAACCATTGACGGCGTTGGATTCAGCGTAAAAAATACATTCGAATTGATATGCTACTCGCTGTGGGTGGAGTTTCTCAAACTAAAATAATTAACTAATAGTGTTTATCAAGATCACTTATCATGATAACCACTATTGATGAGTGATGTATGTACTGCTCACTCACTCAATTTACTTGCACACTGCAAATATACAAAGACATTTAATTTGATATTGATGGCAAGCGTACGTAAAAGTCACGTGCAGGCGAAGTGAGACTCATGCAGAAAATTCATGCATGCAACCGTTGCATGCTTCCTTCTTTGTCTCCTCTACGGGGCAATTTGCATTGAGAGCCACAGGGACCCAGGCAGAACTTAACACTAACGCTTTATGGAAGTAGATATGTAGCGTAGACTAAAGAAAATCGCCAACCAAAACATACGGGCTTAACATTCGGACTCTTCCGTCGCCCATAAAGTAAATACATGTGGAATGTCAACATATTTATTTATATTTGACGTCTCCACGTGTCAGGAGGACGTACTTACCCAAGTCGCAAAACAAGCCTGTGCATGCTTTACTTGATACGCGTGACGAAAAATTAAGTTCAAAAACCTTTGCATTACAGGTCAGTCTAAAAGAATTTTCAACAACAACAGATCAACTATGCATGAACCTTTTAAGAGTGTGTGTGTCATTGTTTGCGATAACATAAGGGATCCTTCTTAACCATGTTGAATTATTAAATATCAATAACGTGCCGACACCGACGAAGCATAATACTAATCAATAAATCTGTCCGTGTCGTGGTTTGATGTCAAACGGTTTTAATTAACATACAGTCCGTGTAGATTGAAAGACTTAAGATTAATTTAGTGCATGGAAAGTTACTACGTAGTACTTGATATTAAATGTCAATCTAGCTAAATACTTGTGTCGGTTTGACCTATGTATAATAAAGTCATTTCAAAGAAACGCTTTTTCGACACCGTTTGGACAACATTATACGTAATGTTTTTGAAATTAGATACGCTTCAGTGGGAGAAATGATAATAGTGGGAGGCCAATTAGTAAAAGGCAAGAGCAATGTATAGAATGTCCTCGTATTTAGTTCAATGGTAGGGGATTAATATTTTTGCAAATATCTGCCATAATACTGATCGGAAACATTGCAAATTCCTGCCAGTTCGAAGAAAAATAAAATTTCCATAATTTATTTTCAGAACAAATACGCATTACGTAATAATAATATTATCATCAGTTTCAAAATTTGATATTACTGACTGAATGCAAATAAAAAATATGGTGCTTTCTCCATCTTAGTTTTTCAACATTATTAAACATGACGCCCGTTCGTACCCACACTCTAATTCTGTACACATGCACTCACTCTTCTCGTCCTCCACTAACGCTATCCTCCTCCAGCATATGAGATGAGAGCAAATGTTGTTTGTGCAAAAAACTGCAATGATGGACCCTAACTAACTAGCCTATCCAATCCACATCACCAACGAATCTTGTATCCTGCTTCACATGAAATTCGCAAACTTCTTGCCACTCCGTCGCGAAACCATACCCTACTACAATCTATACACAACAGATACGTGTATACT